CAGCTCCACAGGTTATTCATGACACCATTAAACTTTCAGACATATAGCCATTACTGTGTCTTTTCGCTTATTGAATTCAAACAATGTACACAAACTGCATTGAAAGTAAATAATATGCACCATTTGTAAAGAAAATTTCTCCCATTCGCCTCCTTGATGTCTGTGTCCCAAATTTGGCATTGTTCTTCAGCAGAGGGAGAATTTGTAGGCAAATAAATGCAGAGCATCGTAAATTGGTTCTGAGGAAGAAATTCGCGTATATTGACTTATGGAAATTGCAGTTAAATTTACGACATCATCTTTTACATCTATTTTACATCTTCACCGACTCATAAATCAAGAATCTCCTTCAATCGACATATTTGGAGATGTTTTACATGACTTTAAAGAGAATATAATAGGATCGCCAACTGTGTCAAAATTGATAGAATCAGCAAACGGCCTTCAAAATCGGCTATTCCTTTTTATTTACTAACTGAATAAAATTTTAATGAGTGCCTTTGACTTATTATTTTCAACATCCACAAGAGCAAAAACATTTCATATTCATAAAAGTTTATTTTTCCTAAAAATTAACATTCATCCATATAATTGCAATCCTCTTTCTGAACAATTACAATAATCTAAAGTTCTTCTCTATAAAATAAACTCTTTTTCCCATTTCAGTTGAAAATGTGAAAACTGTGAATATGAAAAGCCGTCATTCTAAAGCTTATTCTTTCATCTCAATTTCAATAGAATTTCAGTTTTTACATAATTGTGAAAAGTCGCACATTTTCAACTTTAGTGAAATGAAATTGAAATGTTTTTCACGGAAAGGTTGAGAGACAAAAAGGATCTGCCAAGAGTGAAAACTATTTGATATACGTATCCCAATTTTTTATTCTAAATCTGTCAAACTTTTTACTGACTGAATGAAGATGGAATAAATTTTCCAACAAAGTGAAAACTTTTTTTTTCCTTTGCTTTCACGTGTAAATGCGATATGTGAGGTGTGGTTTTTTGCTCCCCACAAGCTCATGATTGTTGGGCCTGAAAATATTGAAAATGAGACAATTTCATTTCGTTCCAACGCATAAAACATCAAAACGGACGACATTGTCGTACGACAAGAGGGTGAGATTTGAATAGATTACCCAAATTTTCTGCCACACAACAAACACACTCTTTCTGTGTAAACGCATATGAAATGGGGAGCCACGAGAATAAATTGGATCATGCAGGAATGTGAGCTTAAGTCTCCCACGCCAGTGTTCCCTTTTTTTGTCAGGACAGTTCTCGAAGTTGTGTGCTGGGCGAAGAAAAGTTTTAAGACCATTCTCGAGGGTGCTCATGCTAAAGAGCGCGTGTGTTCCATTGACAAAAGGGCCATCATGACGAGATGGCATATTGGAATATTTCTGAATTTGTCAATTTATTGCTTATCCTGCTTAAATTTTCGACTCTCTCGTACCATAAAAAGATCAAGCCGTTAAGGAGAAGAAGGAAAAATTGAGTCATTTTATTGCTTCTCCACGAAATTTCAACCCCTTTCCTCGGCCTTCTCTCTCTTTCTCTCTGCGAGCCTCCTCTTACCATTTGCGCAAAAACCATCATTCTCGTTGGTGAGTGAATTTGAGATTCACGATAAAACACGGAAAATTTATCATTTCCATTCAGGCGGCGTAATACACATTCCCATTCGTCCGCTTTCAAGGACTGCATAAAAAATCGTGATGCTCTCAAAAAAGCTTCACCCGTGGGGATCTTCTCTACCTTCCAATTTGAAGCACATTCTGGACAAATAGTCGAAAAGTATTGAATGCCGAATTACATCTATCTGCCCAGCCAGTCGGCCGTCTGCCAATTGAGTGAGAAGAGCCAGATCATCTCATGAAATTACTCATTAAAAAATCAATCAATGAATCAATGAATACCGAATTCGGGAGCGATGAGTTGAATCATATTGATATTCATCATCAAAAGTCTCTCAGAATTGACTCTTTGATATGGAATTGTGTTTTCCACGTCATAGAGCATTTTCTCATTGGCGAATGCCTGAGAATGAAGAGAAACTTCTGGCACTTCTTCAAAGTTAATTTACTGTATTCCATTACTTTAATTTAGAACACGAATTGCCAATTATTTTTATGGGCCATCTCTTTTCGATGATCTATGATTCACCAGCAGATAATATATCCAGTCATTCACTTCGTTTCATCCCAATAACTCTCAATATTTTTACGTTATTAAGCGAAAAAAAAGCCATGAATGATAATATTTCACTCATATAATTCGATATTATTTTTCATCAATCCATTTTAAATGATATGAAAGTGTCACGAAAAATATTTTATATCGGAATATGTACATTTGAAATGGAAATATAATTTTTACTCAGGGATTTTATTAGTCTTCAAAAAATCTATAAATATATTCTATATAAAATAAAATTGCATTATCGAAATTATTGATGGTGTTTTTTGCGGAATCATAAGTCTAATTGTCGGTTATATATTGTGAAGAGTTTGGAAGCTTAGTTATGCTGAATGACTTCTCCTGACAAAATAGTTGAGTTTTGACTCAAATGCTTTCGTGAAACTTCTCCATAAAGTCATTAAAGTTGATCATGAACCACACTCATTCATCACTTGTATGAAAGAAGGTAATAAATTCAAGTGCCCCAAGTGCTATAAAGAGATCATTTGCGAGCTTGTAAAAGGAAGACTGCGAGTGGAAAACATCATCTTGAATAGCAAATTTCACACGTGAAATTTAAAGGTACTCGAAGCACACAGTCTGGATGTGTTCTCGCGGTTAAGAGGAAATTCAACGAAAATTCCTGAAAATGTATCAACATTAAGATAGTGTTTCGGAGCACAATACCATGATGATATCATGAATTTTGCCTCGAGACGTTTCGTTGTAATTTTCAGGAGGGACAAAACCACCTTGTCGACATGGTAAGACAATATCACTTAGTGTGCTGAACATTTTCCTTCTTCGGAACCCGAATAGGGGAAACAACGAGGGAAAATTGCCACTCCAAGTGCGACATGGAATTTGTGGGTTTTCTTCGAAGAGTGAGAATTTACGTAAACAGAGAATTCTCCTAATGAGAAAATCCTTCTTATACCATCAGTCCACTCGTGTCCGCAGAGATTGCAGGCCCCCAAATGTGTCCACAGGAAATTGGGCATAAGGAAGGAAAAATTGTATTAATACGTGATGATTTCATGACACCTCACAAAGTTAATTTCACCCAAAATGACCAGCCCAGATTTTCTGCAGTTTCTCCATTTGGGGTCAAAATGTGTGGCTCGAAATATTCCTGAAATTTGTCTTAAAGAGTTCGCTCTCTGACTGTATCAACTTTAGTCAATTTAATTGTTTGAGGAAAATCATCAAAAAGTTTCTCAGAATTAATCAAACTTTGCCTTCATTTCTATACACAATATGAATGAATAAGGTAAAATAGAGCAGGAAATATTAAAAAAAAAAGAGTTTAAGAATGGGAACTGAAACACCACAAAATGTTAAACACAACTATTAAAATCATAATATTTCTAATTTTTATTTGAAAATTGGGCAAATAGTAATTTTCACAAATGTCTGAACAAATTTTCTTTGCTCTCTTCATTTCAGTTTTCCGAATGGGAGGATCCAGGACAGCATACACGAGAGCCCGGTGAGTGAAAACAAACAGAAAACAAATTCTTCAACATTTTTCGTGAACTATGTACCAAATAATCGTAGCTAAAATAGCAGAATGTGAAAAATTCTCAGTGAAATGTTTATTTTCCACCAATAAAGTCTCCTGCAACGGTACGTGTGTATTCAAATTGGTGAACGGCGTGGAATCAGGGAAATAATTGAAAATCAATCAGAAGCCGGGACTCATAAAACCGCATGACCCACATTCCAACTGGGGGCATACACACACAAGCCGAGTGTTGAAGAAAAAGCGCGCAGATAAACCGCGACGAGGTGCATTGACTTCCTTTTGAGGATTATCGACCGGCCTCCCCAAAAATGGGGCGCTCACTCATGCACTTCCTTCCACCTTCGTGCTTGTCGACCTACAGACACCCTTTCTCGCGCATACACCGCACAAATGAAATAACACAATTGAAGAAACAGTGTCACTCAATCCTCGAGGGGATACACAGTACATAGCCAAGGAAGGGCGCGCAGAAGTGCATGGCGAGCAAGAAAAGCTCACAACTTTATTAATCTCTCAAAGAAATTGTGACGAAAATGTTCTCAGCTTAGCACTGAGTGTACTTGATAAAGTATAAATGAATTTGTGTTTCTCTCATTTCATCCAAGAAACTGCCATATTTTCCTAATAGCACTATGCAATAGAGTAATACAAAGGAATACTTATTAGCGAAACATGCAAATGCAGTTGAATGCAAATTTGCATTCTCCTGGGGAAGATGTGAAATGTTGTAAAATTTGATTCATGATTTCGTGTGTTTACGAGAGCGAGAGAGAGAGAGAGAGTATGATGAATTTGACCCAAAAATTTAACACTCCTTCAAATTTTTATTACTGGTTGATTTTATACATTTCTGGGTAATAATTTTCCATTCAGGCAATGTATGAAATACATACACACCTATTCAAACTAGAGCAACAGCCATCAATGCCGAGTAGCTTGCTCACTGCTAAAGCAAATTGCATTAGGAAGGAAACAAAACACATGGGCTGAGTGCACTATATCACCTAAAGATCCAATTTGCGATCAATTTCAATTTCAACACGATACATAATTTTTCCTTTCTTCTCTATTTATTTTCTTACCTCTTCTCCTGGATGCTGATGGTCTGGGATTTGATTTATGCTGAACTTTGTTTTCTTTTCAGGTGTTTTTAAGAGCTTCGTGTTTGTGTTTCGCTAAATTTTAACGATCTTTCTTCTTGCTTCTTCAGCCAAGTGTAAGCTTAATAATAATTTTTTGTTGATAGGCCAATTGCCAAAGGCAGAGTGTGTGAAAATTCGTACACTGCGTGTTTTATTCACACATATGAAATTGACTTTTTGGCGAAGACGGCATGTGAAATTTCGTCAAGTCGCTTCTCGAGTGCTTTTTGCGCACCTTTTCACAATTATTTTCCTTTCTCCTTAACTTCTCTGTGCTTTTTCACCTCCTTCTGTACATACATACATCACAAGATCAATAGAGATTTATTTCTTCGCTAACTGTGTGTGTGTGACTGTGCCACTTCCAGTTTTGCACCTTCCCCATAACTTTCTCCGTTTCTTGTCACTAAACAAGCTACTCTCTAGTGGTTTCTGCAAACTTATCAAAAATCTCCCAATTGGGAAATCAAGCAAATTTGAGCGTCAGTTGCACTGAAACTTTCTGATTGAATAAGACGTGGAGAACTTTTAGCCGGTTGATGGAACGTCATTCCCTATAGTCTCTAGATGTAAAGCTTTTTTATAGATATTTCATTGAAAAACTTGTGGAAAGTCAAGCCTCTTGAGCATCGTTCTTGATTTTACTGTTTTTTTTCTCTCAGAATTCCGCTCTGGATTTCTATGACAACATTGATACCTATATAAATTCCAATATTTTTCTTAGAATTGCCTTAAGAATTGTTTTTGCATTTTTGAAGCTCCTCTATGGAGACGGAGGATTGAGTTTTGAGAGCTTGTTTTTTACTCGAATGGCTCATATATGTGCTTTCTGACCCTGTTCTCTCTGTGCTGACCACTCTGGGCGACAAAACTCACAAACTTGCAGAAAGCGGAGACGAAAATGGAGAGAGCGAGGATACTGTGGCGGACAACTTAGATAGCATCGGTGGAGGATCACGAGCGACATCGCGACGCACGTCTCTCGCCGAAATGATATCCAGAGTGCGCCGGACCTCTGGTCAGGACACCAAAGTTGACATCCCGCTGCCACACTACACCATCCCCATTGAGAAGTTCGCTGACAAGAGAGTCAAAGTAAGTGTCATTAGTGTGATTTCTCGACTTCGCTATACAGAGAAAATCTGCAGAGAAGATTTTCCTTGAGATGCGACCTTCGCATGTACATGTGAAGTGAAAGAATTGTGATATGCTCGTGAATTCATAATTCATTTCCATTTCACACATTTTCTGACAACGTGCTCGCCGAAATGCTCTGCAAAGCAATTCAATTTGTCACTACAGAATTATGGAAATTTCATTTCTCCATTTATATTGTGTCATGTATACTAAATAATTCAAATACACTTTAGTCAAAAATCCGTGACTATATTTCTAGGTGGAATCATTATAACGCATGGCGCGTATTTTCTTGGAAGAACAGGAATTCCTTCGGAAAATTTAAAATTATCAATATAGAGATATTGATCTCAATATTAACCTCCCTTCGCCTCAAATACTCCAAAATAAATTTTGAATTCCATTTTTTGCACCACTCTCAAATATTCATACGTGTATTCGCCTTTTCGGGTTGATTTTTTTTTCAACTTTTCACTTCTTTTCACCTCTTTCTCGGGCGCATTACTCAAACGTGGCCAACAAAATGAGTTTATACATGGAAGTTTCTCCCATCCCTTTTATTGTGTGAGAATGACAGGGAAATGTATTCTGGATTTCCGCCAGAGAAGTTCTTTAAAATGTTTTCTCCCATGCCAGGAAAAATGTTCATGCGTACCTTGAGGCTGGGCAAAGTATAATCTCCTCTTGTCGTTTGAACTTGAGTAAAAGAGACAAAGGTGGAAAAGGTGTATTTACCCCAGCCAAAGTAAGAGAAGAGAGCTGACACGTAATACAGGATTTATTTTTCGGAAATCCTTCTGTCTGAAGAGTATTATTATTTATGTTTTCACAATCCACCTGCGTTTTTCTTTCGCTCCAGAGAGATCCTCTTTTCTTTGGGGAATTAAAACTCAATTTGACTACTGCCTCAAGACTAATTGCTGCTTTATTGTGGCTGAAAACCACAATATTCCAATTCATGTCTGATGAGAACACTCCCTTAATGCTGAGTGCCTAATAATGTCGTTTATGCATTTTGCAACATTTGAAAATTAAGCGGGTCTGGAAGATTTACGCCCGTGAATATTGATGCTCCTTGAAATTGCCCAGATAAGACATTAGAAAGCTACTCTCTGCAAATTTAATGCTCCCCTCTGGATCTCAGTACATCTTGAAATGCTAAGTGGCTGCGATAATTCAGTAGATTAGTGGACGTTTAGGAATATAGCCTTGAATTTTTGATAACATTCTTAAGGCTGTTTGCAAATGTTCTTCAACGCTTATACGTCGCATTTTATTCAAGATCCTTAAGAGGGAGGATTTCAATTGAGGATTATATTGCTGTTTTACCTATAGAACTAGAGGATTATTTAAAAAATAATGGCTTCCAAGGGTATAAATTTCTTCAGAATTCATGTGCCAGCAAAATTTCTTCATAGATTCTTCATTGGTGTGAATCTTATAAGGTAATATGTGTTTACTTATAACTAATAAAATCATGAGGTGTAAAGATATGGGTGTTTAATCTTATTCCACACTTCAAAACAAATTATGGTTTCATTAATCAATGTTTGCTTCTCAGAAAGGTGTGATTTCATTAAGTCTCGGGTAAATGTAATCTCAAGCACTCCACTTAATTATGAATTCACAAGAGAGCATAGAGAAATCCTTTGGGAGTTCACCATTCGTTCAATGACACACCCCCGAAATCTCCTTCTTCACCGTATAAATCTCCTCTGAGAATTCCTTGCCTCAATTAGAGAGCGAGAGTTTTGCAAAAAAAGGAAGTATCTCAATGGTTTTATCTGGGAGTTTTCCATCTCCATTAATTTGTCTCAATGTCCCTTGAAGGACCCTCAGAAGAAGTATACCTAATGTCTAATTCTTTTTTTTCCGAAAAAAACAACCCTCAGAGACACAGCATACACGGAATGATGGAGGAAGAAAGTGGCCAGAGACCCCATCAAGAAATGGAGCAGTTGTCCCTGGACGAGAAAAAGTTCCTTTTGGCTGTGGAACGCGGAGATGTGGCGAGTTCACGGAGGCGAGTATTTTTTTTTTTTCAAAATATAGCAGGAGTCAGTATCTTGAGCTGGTATTCAATTTGCCTAAAAGCTTCGGAAGTGGCGAGAAGTTGTTTGAAATTGGATATTCCGGCGTAATTAGGGATTCTCTGTTGTGGGCTGAGGAAGTGGCAGTAATCTTTGTCTAGACATACCCTCAGCAATTATCACATTCCGTTCATTTGATGGATATTTAATCCATTTGCTAAATTGCAATAATTGCTGCATTGTCTTCTTCGCTTTACTAATTGTCGCTTCTGTGCAACAGAATGCTGCAGAGAGCCCAGGACACCGGATACATTGACATCAATTGCATGGATCCCCTGGGCCGCTCAGCCTTGCTGATGGCCATTGACAACGAGAATCTGGAAATGGTGGAGCTGCTCATAAATCACAATGTTGATACGAAAGATGCACTGTTGCATGCCATTTCTGAGGAATTCGTCGAGGCTGTGGAGGTTCTCCTCGACCACGAGGATTCCAAACAGCAGCACGGTGGAAAACATGTTGGTTTCCATTTCATTCCGCATTCATGATGATTTATCGTGACTTCTGCATACTCACTCTTCCCATCACATTGCAGAGCTGGGAGTCTCTGTCTCCAGACACGGCCACTTTCACACCCGATATCACGCCGCTCATTCTGGCCGCTCACCGCGACAACTACGAGATCATTAAAATCCTCCTGGACAGGGGATCAGTGCTGCCCATGCCACACGACGTCCGCTGTGGTTGTGACGATTGCGTCACGTCGCGTGGTGAGGATTCCCTACGACACTCGCGGTCACGCATTAACGCATATCGAGCCCTCGCCAGTCCAAGTCTCATCGCCTTATCATCCAAGGATCCCATATTGACGGCCTTCGAGCTCTCCTGGGAGCTGCGAAGGCTGAGCTTCCTGGAACATGAATTCAAAGTGAGTATAACACATTTCGATACAGTTTCTGCCTCATATATGAAGTTTAATAATACGATTTTAGCTATACACCACAGTGAATTGACTTTGTCAACACTTTTAGAACATAATTCTCCAAAGTTTATCACACAAATTAAACCGCCATTTCAACAGAAGACTTTAAACTATTTCCCGGTTTGTCGCACGTGTTTAATTGTACAGAGTGAGTATCAAGAGCTGAGGAAACAGTGCCAGGACTTCGCGACTGCCCTTCTTGATCACACGAGAACATCTCACGAGCTGGAAGTGCTTCTCAACCACGATCCCACGGGACCAGTGTTTGAGCATGGCGAGCGAATGCATCTTAACCGCCTAAAGCTGGCCATCAAGTTGCGCCAGAAGAAAGTAAGTTGATCTATTTGCGTTGTGGGCTAGTGGCAAATGGAATAGTGAATGAGATGATGCCCAATGTTCATTAATCATCCACGAAAAGCGGTGGAATCAATCATTGAACCGTGAAGCTGTTAAAATTTATGATGTCATCAATATATTATGGTCTCTCGCAGGCAATAAATGCGGATAAATCATTTATCCCAGCATCCACAGAGTTTGTCTTTCTCTTGGCCACCCACACACACACACACAGGGTGAACTGGAGGGGGATAATCTCGAAGATGTGGTAAATGATTTCTCAATTTCCTTGCGCCCCACTCCACGACCTCCAGCGTCGTTATTTGATCCTCGACTTTGAAACGCAATGGAGCGGCGCGTCGGAGGATATTTTTCGATGCTAATGAGGAAAAGGGGCTCTTTGTCCGATCCAATTGGCTGGTTGTACAGCAAAAAAGGGTCTCACGATGGGTGATAGATGAAGAGCGAAAGAGAAAGAGAGAGTGGATAATAATAAACATTTATGGTTGACGTCAATTTAAATTGCAAATTGTGTCCTGTGTCATTCCTCTTATTGTCTCGCTTTTTTCATCAACAGTTTGTCGCCCACCCAAACGTACAGCAACTTCTGGCAAGCATCTGGTATGAGGGATTGCCGGGCTTCAGACGGAAAAACATGGCTCTACAGGCACTGGAAATTATTCGAATTGGTGAGTGAAAACTTCATATTCGACAGGATGAATCAATTCAGAACATCCCAATGAACACATGCTTTTGTTGGTCTTCACACATATTGTTGTTTTTTCCCCGCCAGACTCACGAATGATAATTGTTGCAATTTGTTCCTCAATTCAATGTGCTTTCAGGGATGCTCTTTCCGCTCTTCTCGATCGCGTACATCATTGCCCCACATTCCACTTGTGGCCAAACCATGAGGAAGCCTTTCATCAAGTTCATTTGCAACAGCGCATCGTATCTCACATTTCTCTGTAAGTATAACTCCAATTCACAGTTCCGGCCAACTCTTCCACTCTCTCGTATCGGCGATATCACTTCTTCCGTCAGTTGCCAAACTTTAAATGGCATTCAACGTGCGCTCTTGCTCGCTTTATGGGGAACGTGAGCGAGATGGAGGCGCCTGGTAGAGAGTTTTAATTCAATTGGCGTGCTCCATGTTCTGCGAATTTTTCTCCCCGCGAGAAATACCGGTATATGGTTGATGGAAAATATATATTTTAATATGTTTAAAGAAGTTATAACAGTCATGTAGGGAAATGCAGCAGTAAAAGCGTAATATTTGTTAATTTACTTGAAACTTTTCGAACTTCTCTTTATAAATTTATTGATTCAGACACTCCGCGCGAAACAATATTATCTATAGAGAGTTTTCACAAACACTTTGTGCAATGAAAAGCTCCGTAAATCCTTTTGCAAATTTTGTGGTGAAAAGCTCTTGTTTGTACCCAAAGTAAAGAACAATAAAGCCAGCATTCGGAAAAGTTGCTCTTTTCCTCTGAATCTTGTTAAGACAATTGCTTAAAATAAAGTTTAGGAGCAAATAATGGGAGGGAAAATTCAGTCAGAAGGAATGAAGTTGTGAATTAATTTGCTGGGTGAATTTTCAGTAGATGAATTTTCAAAAATAATACGAATGAAGCTTTCACGTATAAATCGCCTCGTACGCACGTATTCTCTGATAAATCCTGAAATTATTTCAGTTGTCTACCAAATCCATCAACATATTGGATGATTTGATTGAGTGAGAACACTTAATATTCCTCATCAGTCGTGATATTGTGATAGGAATTTTTTGGCCAAATAGATGAACCGCAAATTCCTCAAATTGGGTTCAATCTCCCCACATAAATCGTCGTCAGCCACCCTGTCAGAACCCTTCGACCCAAAGCTCGAAAGGGTTGTAAAATTCTTTTGCCTTCCCCTTCAAGTTCTCCTCATGCTGGCCTCGCAGCGCATTGAGAGTGTGGTCGGAGGCTGGTTTTGGGAGACGGAAACGGTCCAGCAGGACGAAGTGCCGACGAAGAGAGGCTCCACGCCCACCTTTGTGGAATGGCTGATCTTGTCGTGGGTCAGTGGCTTGATCTGGAGCGAGGTGAAGCAGCTGTGGGACGTTGGGCTGCAGGAATATGTCAACGACATGTGGAATGTTATAGATTTTATCACCAACTCACTCTACGTGGCCACCGTGGCTCTCAGAATAGTGTCGTACTTTCAGGTGAGAAACCAAAATCACCCACAACATCTCGCATTCTTGGAGATGGAGAATTGATGACTTTCTTCTCCGTCTCCACAGGTGCAAAAGGAGATGACATTCAACAAATATGCTGCCGATTTGCCACGAGAGAAATGGGACACTTGGGATCCGATGCTGATTTCCGAGGGATTATTCAGTGCCGCCAATATTTTTAGCTCCCTCAAACTCGTCTACATCTTCTCTGTGAATCCACATCTGGGTCCGCTACAGGTTTCACTCTCACGCATGGTCATGGATATCATGAAATTCTTCTTCCTCTATGTCCTCGTCCTCTTCGCATTCAGCAGTGGCCTCAATCAGCTTCTATGGTGCGTATCGCCGCAAACTTTCATCTCATCCCCCGCTGGCGAATAATTAAATTTATCCACCAATTTGCAATTTTCTGCTCAGTCCAATTTTCCTCAACTTTGCCTCGTCGACTCGCCAAACTCAACCTCGCTAGATAGCACAGCCTGTCGAATACACTGCGTGAGTGGTTCATTGCATTGATTATTGCGTTGATAAAGTGGATTAGCGCGAGAGTCTGCAATTTCCATTCATGCGAAATGCGAGAGATATTTCCGCAGACGAGCAAAATTTAGCGAATAATGTGATTCGGGGGGGGGCTGTTCGAGGAGATATTTAATTTTAAACACGAAAAGTATTCTCTAAAGCCATTTTGTAATATCACACAATTAATTTCCAGTCTCATGTTTTACTCTTCATTAACTGTGTGAGAGAATGCGAAAAGTATTTTCATTTCCGCAGAAACTTTTACTGACTTTTCTGTGAAGCATTCTTTTTCACAACATATTTTGACTCATAAAAAGTGGCAACTTTTCGTTAAATGGCCCATTTTAGACTATTAACTGTTTCGAGCAGCGAATATTGTTCGCTTAGCAATAACCGCTATATCTATAAAACATGTTTTTGAATTTCTTCGCGAGTTCGAGAGCAGGTGAAAATAGGGCAGAGCAATTTGGTGTACGACTCAATTTTTGCTATCTCTGTAACATTCCCCCCAAAAAACCTCTTCACAGGTATTACGCCGATCTGGAGAAGAAGCGCTGTGTCGACAATATTCAGTCCACGAACCCTGTGATTAATGGCACCGCAGACCCCAACGCGTGCATCGTTTGGCGTCGATTTGCCAAGTAATTACTCTTACATATTCACCTTTTTAGACTATTATTTCATGCGGTGCTGCATGTGAATTTTGAGACTAGCGAAAAGCTCCGCTGCTCAATTTTCTGTGCAGCCTCTCGAGATAAACGCTAAATGTGTGCTGTAAACATTTTTGCAGTTTGTTTGAAACAACGCAGACGCTATTTTGGGCTGTCTTTGGCCTTGTGGACTTGGATAGTTTTGAATTGGATGGAATCAAGATCTTCACGAGATTCTGGGGAATGTTGATGTTCGGCACGTATTCTGTGATTAATATTGTGGTCCTCCTCAATCTCTTGATTGCCATGATGAATCACTCATATCAATTAATTTCGGTGAGTAGAAGCACTTAAATTTGCGGGTGAGATAAACAATTTGGAGAAATGGGTTACGGTCCAGAGAGTTCATGGGTGGGATTTTGTTGGGTATTTCACAAGACATTTTCAACACTTTGTACAGCATATGCTTGCACAATGTGCTTCGCCAGCATCTTTTCTCGGAATTACCATAAATCATACTCTCTAAACCTTATGTCTTGATGACTGTCTGACATGCAAAATTTATTAAAATATATACTTTATATATATATATATCTTGAATAATTGTACTGTTGAAAAGTTAGTTGAAAAATAGTGCAAGAACTCAAATTTACCGAGACATCTTATGCATAGGAACGTGCTGACATCGAGTGGAAATTTGCAAGATCTCGCTTGTGGATAAGCTACTTCGAGGAGGGTGGCACGTGTCCTCCGCCATTTAACGTCATTCCCACACCAAAGTCCTTCTGGTACATCTTCCAGTGGATCAAACGAAAGTTCTGCGGTCACTCGAGATCCGTGAAGAAGGAGCACATGCGAACAATTAGGGTATTTACCATACATTTGACAGACAATTTAATCTGAGTATTTAACTGGATTTCCTCTATCTCTCGTTCCATCCTGTTCGTGTCTCTTCTTGGCTAGCAAAAGGCTAAACAGGCCAATCAGCGAGATTTCATCTATCAGACCATCATGAGAAATCTCGTGAGGCGCTACGTGACAGTGGAGCAGCGCAAGGCAGAGTCTCAGGGAGTGACTGAGGACGACGTGAATGAGATTAAGCAGGACATATCAGCTTTCCGCTGCGAACTAGTGGAGATCCTGAAGAACAGCGGCATGAACACGAGCACGGCGTCTGGTCAGGGCTCTGGAGCGGGTGGCAAGAAGAACAGACAGAAGGAGAGGCGCCTCATGAAGGGGTTCAACATTGCTCCACCACAGCAGTCTACTCAGCTTCCACCTGTAGCTGAATTCATCTCTGGCCTTACTCACCAGAATTCCGACTCTAATAATTATGAGTTGTTTGGATCACCTCTTGCAAATGTCTACGGACCTGGAATCACCCCAAAGAAAACTCACCACAATCCCATTCAGCAGTTCAGCTCCTCGCAGAGCTCATTCGGGGACTCACAGCCAAGCATGAGCGCCAAGTTGGGCAAATTAGCACCAAAGTTTCACACTAAACGCATTGGAGGATCTCACAAGCGACGATGGGGAACGCTGATCGAGGCCGCGAAATCAGGAAGTGTTTCTCGCTTCATTGGGCGCTCCAGGAGCGAGGACTCCGTGTGCAATGCTCCTCCCAACGTTGGAAATCGCATGGATTCTGCAAGTCACAGCAACAGTCCAGCCTCAGATGAAGCTGTGACGGAATCCGCGACGGATTCGAATCCGAGCCTTGATCGACCCGATGTCGAGACGCCGAGAGAGATGGGAAAAGAGCCCACGACACATCATTTTCACTTCAGCGCCTTGGCAGCACTCAAGAGGCGTCGCAAGAAGTTCTCCAACAGCAGAAATGCTAGTCCAGTGCTGGAGCCACCCATTGAGCACGATGGGGTGTCCAAGAGCAGCAAGAAGTTACTGAAGAGAGCCTCAAGCGTTCCCACGAGGCCCACAATCAACGAAAGCACCGAGTCTATCCCTCAAAATGGTCAGGACGTTCCGGCATGTGGCGATGCAGTGAGTGCAACGCTGACAACTTCAACGACGGATGAAAGTGTGGCTGGCCATCTGGTCATTCCCATTTGCCCCACGGAGCCTCTCCTCGCGGGCGCAATGAGTAATGTGATGAAAATGGACGCTAATGGCCACCAGCAGATGCCCAATTTGCCTAATGTGATCCCAGTCAGAGGACATCTGCATCAGCAAGGATGGCTCTAACTATATACTCTGATCGGTCTAGCAGTGTGTGCTACAAAAGGGTACTATTTTTGCATTCTTTTGTTTTTTATCGATTTTAAAAACTAATTTCGTACAAAAATAATTTACATAAGGGAAGAACTACAGTTCCAGAACTCTGTTTTTACTTTATATTGAAAAAGTTAATTCACAGCACAGACCAAAAAAAATGCAGAATAATTTTGGGAAAGCGGGAAAGTCGCTGCTGGAAGAAAATCATAACAAAACATTTCATCGATTATAAAAAGAATTTGATATATTATATCGTTAAAAAGTATCACTTTATATTACTACGCATTGCAAATGTGAGAGTTAATGAAAAATAATTTTAGAAAGATGCATACTCATTAGATAAAAGCGCGAAGTGAAAATTTATTGTATAGCTATGCAACCAATACATGTCATTTGGAAAGGGTGGAATTGACGAAAAATTGTTAAATATTTCACTTAAGCATGTATAAAGTGAAGCATATGTGTTTTTGTAGTTGGAAGAGATTTCAGGATACAATTGGAAAATATATATATATATATGATATTGTATAACTTTTAAAGTAGGGGCCACAAATCACACGAATGAATTATATGGAAAAGATGGGAAGTTCGTTGAAAACCACAACCACTGAAAGCAATAGAAAATAGAGAAAATATATATATTTTTCATGTGAATAGGGAGTTATTCGAGAGAAAAATAAAGCACAATTACAGGGCAGAAAAATGATTAAAAAGGGATTCCACGTGCAGACAAAGTTTCCGATGAAACCCCCAGAAAATCACAGTTTCAGCAGAGTTGGAAACATTTCCCGTGAATTGAACTTGAATAATAAATATATGTACCAATCCACCCATTTAACAGAATATGGCTATTGCAGATACATTACAAAAGGATATATATTACAACACATAGTTAGTTTTGAAGGGTTAAGAAGCAGGTGAAAAAAAATCATTGGATGGCATCATCTTAAGTAAACAAGTTAATATAGAATTTAAGAGAGTAGATAAATTGGTGAGAATGAGAAGAAAGAAAACAGATAAACCACAATACAGAGGCCTTACTTAGTGTGAAACAGAATAAAATTTTAAAATCACTTATTATATTTGATGAGAAGGTAATCAAATCATGAGAGAGAAAATATTAGAAGTATTAAATGTTTAGGTGAGACGGAAATATTAAATCTGTTGATGAGAAGCAGAGAGTTGTTTCATTTTACAATTTCATCTCAGTCGTTTATCTTTATTTGCAACATTGTGGCAATGCTTGTCGTGTGCAAGAACAAATGCCAGATGAAGAAAAAAGCAGATAAAAAGGCAAGCAATATTATAATCACAGAACATTTGCATTTGCGCATTCATTGAAATGCTTCGAAAGGATTAATTGAAGACATATTCCTTGTTGCTAACTGCACTCAAAACTCCTACAATTGCTGACGAAAGCGACAGTTTATCTACAAGAAAATGTGCCACACCGTCAAAAGCGTGACTTTTATCGGTCACGCTGCCTGTGAAGAGCATTCTCAAGCGGAATTGATTCAAGTGACGAAATTCGGGTCATGCTCTCTCGCAAGATTACCATGAAAACTACACTATATAGTTTGCGTGAGGAATTTATAGAAATTACAGATGATAGAGGATTTACCGCGAGACTTCGAGACGCTTGAGGCATCTGGAAAATTTATATTCGAAGCGGCATGAACATGCTTAATCCCCGAGTAAATATAACGTGCTCTATAAATCCAATAAACACGGTGAATAATAAACATTTTCATATTGTAATTGCCTGATTAAATACGCAATTTGCCGTTAGTTGACTTCTTCACGACTTTGCATGCAATTTTGAACAATCATTGCATCCATTCATAAAATAATAGCAATGGTGACGCAAGTCTGGGGTTACTGATGAGACATTTGGGTATATTTGGAGTTTCTTAGACAAATTTGCTTATCCTGTTTGCCTTCTATGTGTGAGAAATCACAGAAAATGATTGGTTTTCTCTGCCAATGCACTCTTGACTGCCACATCACAGTGATTACCCATGTTAAACATCCTCTTGGGGGCTTGATTTCGTCCCACGGTGGCCTCAGTGACGCGATGAATAGCAGAAAACGCCTCAATGGGAGTACTTTAAAGCTGCTCTGACTCAGGCAAGGTAGTGAGCCAGTAAATGCCCATTCAATACTATCCTAATAAAATTTATATAATCCATACACACACAATACACGTGCAAGAGTGTTCATGAAACAGCAGAATTTTCCTTTTCTCTTCACCAATTATCTGTGTGTGAGTAATTTTCACTTATCTTCCAAATACCCCTGTCACCCTCGGTCACCTCTTTAGCCCGCCTTATCACCCATTATCATCTGAGAACATGACAATGAGATTTTTTGCACAATCAACACACGAGCGATTGATATAAAAAGCATGCCCCAACGTATTACTCCCAGTTTGTTTGACCACAGTGCTTCGTTGTGACAGGTGAAAATTGTAGATGCTCTCCTTGTGACAATCTTGTAATTTTCGCTCTTGATGCTCTAAGTGCTGCTCATCAATTACAACAGTTTTTTCTCTCTCGTGTGTTTTGGAAATGCTTCTCAACCTCTGTAGACTGTCGCCTCAAGAGTGACAAACTTTCTCAAAAGGACTCTTATTTATTCTGTCCAAGAAGGACAAATAAAATATTAAAGGACTGATTGTGTGTGATTTCCTAACATCGTCTCCAGCCAAGACCATCATCTTTCAGCTCTGGACGTAGATTGAAGTGTCGAAAAGGACGATGCAAGACTTCTGTGGAGGTCCACTTTGGGTGAGTGTAATAAATTATCACATAGTCAGTGTTATAAATTATTACGAAATTCGGGAAAATTGAATTTTCATCCAATTCCCACCCACACAACAAAACGCGATTAATGATATCAAGACTCAAATACGTGCAAAAATGTGTTGATAAAAAATGTACTGATAAATGGTCAGCGAAGTGACACAGTTGAAAAATCTCCTTTGGGCATTGAAGAAGAGAATATCTTACCCGGAAAAACCGTGAAAGATTAAATTTACATCTTCAGACATCATCAGTCCTCAGCAGATACATATATGGCAAGAACTGCATATATGTAGCAGGATAAGACATCACTCGCTGTATATAATGTATTGAAAAGACAGCAAACCAGCAGAATTTATGATTCATCGTTTATCTTAAAAAATATTAACATCTATTTTTGTGAGTGAGATAATTTCTGTCATGCCTCCAGAGTCACACAACCAATATGCGTTCATCACTATTACTTAAGCGCCTCTTTTCGATTTCACGCCATAAAATTTACTCCAATATTTTGGTACTCAAAGATGTGCACTTGAGAGCTGTGTGGCGATAAATTCAGACTTTCTGCTGTCTCACGCCCCTTTATCAGGAATTTTTGTAAAAATGTGGGAGTGTTGGATGAATTATTAAGTATCCGCAATAATGTTGTAGTGAAAAATCCACACTTTAGTTGAATGACTGAATTGCTAAACCAAGGGCAAATTTCCATCACTTATCACTACAATTTATTTAATTTCACAATATTAATATATTTCAGGATGACGATCTCACGTGGGCAACGGAAGATCCGGACTTTACGCCATGTTTTCATAAAACCATAATGGTGTGGGTTCCATGTGGTAAGTCATGTGCGGATTCTGTTGAGCAATCACTTGGACATAAAGATGTATCTGTTTTTTTTTCAAGGGTTCCTTATCTTATTCGCACCTCTTGAGTTTTACTTTATTGCCACTAGCCAAAACGGCCGTATTCCATGGAGCTTTTTCAACGTTGGAAAAACGATTACAAACTTCCTCTTGTTTACTCTTGCCACGGCGGACCTGGCAGTGGGAGCTGACCTATGGATATCCGAAGTGCCTGGAGTCTATCCGGTGCACATTGTCACGCCTGTGATTCTCATGGTGACCTTCATCTTGTCCATGACACTCATGTTGCTCCACAAACGCAAAGGCATCAGATCGTCAGGACTTATGTTTCTCTTCTGGCTTGCCATCGTTTTCCTGGCAATCTTCAGATTCCGCTCACAACTCATGAACTTCGATCCAGATGGTGAAACAACAGAGGAACAAATTGATTTCCACACATACCAATATGCGAGTGTTATCACGCACTTTTCCCTCTGTGTCATAATGTTGCTGCTCAACTGTTTCTCTGACAAGCCGCCAGAGGATAGGATCAAAGTTGGCAAGCCAAGTCCTGAAATATCGTCCAGTTTCTTGCGCAAGCTGTTCTTCCAATGGTTCGATCCCATGACATGGAAGGGTTACCGTAAACCCTTGGAAATAAGCGATATGTGGGATCTCAACACTGAAGATCAGAGTAGAAGTCTGATTCCCGGCTTCGATAAGCACTGGTACACAAGTGTACAGAAGAACCAGATGAAGAGTGATGCAAGTGCAAATACGAAGAAGAGCACTCAAAATGGATACAGCAATGGCACGGCTTTCCAGTCTAATAGTCAATTCAAACCTCATGGAAGAACGAATGGATCAGTCCTTCCAGCTATGGTTAAAGCATTCGGAGGACCTTTCTGGTTCGCTGGAATCCTTAAGCTTATCATCGATCTCCTATCCTTCGCCTCACCGCAGCTTCTGGGGTAAGAATAGTTGTTGTATTTATTTCTATTATAATACTAATTTTGCTTTGATTTTCAGACTCTTGATTGCCTTTACGAGTAATCTGGAGGAACCACTGTGGAGAGGACTATTCTATGCCTTCCTCATGTTCGCTGTGGCTTTGCTAACATTATTCTTGAACGGACAATACTTCCACATGACCTTCCTCGTGGGATTCCGAATTCGAAGTGCCCTCATCTCAGCTATCTACAGAAAAGCTCTGAGAGTGTCGAGCTCAGCCAAGAAGGACACCACTGTGGGAGAAATAGTGAATCTTATGGCAGTGGATGCACACAGATTCTTTGAGTTAGTGTCCTACTTGCACTTGCTGTGGTCCGGACCATTGGTTATGGCACTCGCTCTTTACTTCCTCTACGATCTTCTTGGCGCTGCTATCTTCGCTGGATTAGCTGTGATGATCCTGATGATTCCACTGAATGCGTGGATTGCGGTGAAATTGAGATCCTTGCAAATGGAGCAGATGAAGAAGAAGGATCATCGTGTCAAGATCATGAACGAAATCTTAGGCGGAATGAAGGTGCTGAAGTTGTACGCCTGGGAACCGAGTTTCGAGCAGAATGTAAAGGATATTCGTGAGGAAGAGATATCAGTATTGTTCAAGATGGCATACTACAGCGCAGGTACCTTCTTCGCGTGGACCCTAGCACCCTTTTTGGTGTCTCTGGCATGCTTCACAACGTATGTCTTCATGGATGAGGGAAATGATCTTGACGCGACCACAGCATTTATGTCACTGGCCTTGCTTAACATCTTGCGCATGCCTATGACGATGTTCCCAATGGTCATCACAATGTCCATGCAGGCCTGGGTTGCAGTCACTCGAATCAACAAATTCATGAATAGCGAGGAACTCGATCCCGACAATGTCACCCATCATCCGCACAAGAGCGCTCTAGTTATCGAGAATGGATTGTTCACTTGGGGTGAGGAAGAAGTCACGCTGAAAAATATTAACATGAACGTTCCCAAAGGTGCTCTTACTGCTGTTGTCGGACCTGTTGGATGCGGAAAGAGTTCCCTAATCAGTGCACTCCTAGGAGAGATGGAGAAGAAGCAAGGCAATGTCAATACCGATGGAACAATCGCTTATGTTCCTCAGCAAGCTTGGATTCAGAATGCTACGCTTCAGGACAACATTCTCTTCGGCATGAAAATGAATCGACAGCATTACGATAAGGTTATCGAAGCGTGTGCCCTGAAGGCGGACATCGATATGTTGCCAGGAGGCGATCAGACGGAAATCGGAGAGAAAGGAATCAACTTGTCTGGAGGACAGAAGCAGAGAGTGTCTCTTGCTCGTGCGGTATACAGTGGTGTTGATATATATCTACTCGACGATCCTTTGAGTGCTGTAGATGCTCATGTAGGGAAGCACATCTTCGACAATGTCATTGGTCCAAAAGGATTGCTGGCTGGAAAGACAAGGCTCTTAGTCACCCACGGAATCTCGTATCTTCCTCATATGGACGAAATTCTGGTCATAAGTAACGGTGAGATCAGTGAAAGCGGACATTATAAAGAACTTCTCGCCCAGAAAGGAGCCTTCTCTGAGTTCCTTGTGGAGCACTTACAAGAAATGGAAGATGATGAAGTCGATGAGATCAAGGAGGTTTTGGCCGTGAAGCCAGAGGGCAGACAACTTCTGGAACGCGCTCTCTCTATTCGATCAACATCCTCAAAGTAAGTATTACACGCTATAGCTAAAATCTATCTTCCTTCTTCAAATACAATGTGATTTTCTGAATTCTAGGGGATCAAAGAAGGGTTCTGTGAGAGGCTCTATGAGAGGTTCGATGAGGAAGAGGCCCAGCAACTCTAGCAAATTGGAAAAGGAGGGAATCATTGTGCCGAAAGTCGGAACAACTTTAATTGAGAAGGAAGAATCAGCCACAGGAAAAGTCAGCTGGGCAGTTTACATCAAATACTTCAAGGGCGTTGGAGTATGGATGACTTTCTGGGCTCTGTTGATGAATCTTCTGAATCAAGGTTTCTCGGCCGGAGCTAATCTTTGGCTGACAAGATGGGCTGAAGACGATGAAGCTCATCTTCCAGCAAACAGAGATATGTATTTAGGAGTCTACGGCGCTTTGGGCGGAGGACAGGCAATCACCCTCTTCTTCAGCACAATTGCACTGGCTATTGGATGCCTCAAAGCCGCCAAGACTCTCCATCACAAACTCCTGAGCCACACGTTGCGCCTGCCAATGTCATTCTTCGACACAACTCCGCTGGGAAGAATAATGAATCGCTTCTCCAAGGATGTGGACATTGCCGACAATATTCTGCCAATGTCCATCAGATCTTGGATCCTGATGGTCTTCTCTGTAGTGTTCATTTTCGTCGTTATCAGCATCACCACGCCAATCTTCATGAGCGTGATTATACCCATTGGTATCTTCTACTACTTCATTCAAACATTCTACGTAGCGACTTCAAGGTGAGATTGGTTATCTTGTTATTTACATTTAGCAAACACTTGTGAAATTTACAATTCGCGGCTTTGACTTGTTTTGACTTTTTCAATATTTATTTGCATTGTCTTTCGTTTAGGCAACTCAAGAGAATTGAATCGGTTACGAGGTCTCCCATCTACTCTCATTTCGGCGAGAGTCTCACCGGCCAGCCAACTATCAGAGCCTATGGCAAGCAAGACGGCTTCACGAAGCAGAATGAAGACAAAGTCGACTTCAACCAGATGTGCTCATATCCCAGCATCATTGCCAATCGTTGGCTAGCCATAAGACTGGAACTTGTGGGCAGTTTTGTCATCCTCTTCGCTTGCTTGTTTGCTGTTCTTGGCCGAGAAGACATTGACGCCTCGCTTGTGGGTCTCTCCGTGACCTACGCTCTGCAGACTACACAGGTTCTCAACTTCATGGTGAGAATGACTGCTGAGGTGGAGACAAATATCGTGGCCATTGAGCGCATGGAAGAGTATTCCCACGTGGAGAAGGAAGCCGAGTGGGAGAAGGGAGAGCGTGATCCTCTGTGGCCCAAGGAAGGGCGAGTTGACTTCGAAAACTTCCAAGTCAGATATCGCGAAGGATTGGATCTCGTTCTGAAAGGCATCACCTTTTCCGTCAAGAGCTGTGAAAAGATTGGCATCGTCGGAAGAACTGGTGCTGGAAAATCAAGCTTGACTCTTGCTCTCTTCAGGTGGGTTTATCAATATGATTTTAAGTCGTTTTCTTTATTTACGGAATTTCGGTTTTGATTGTTTGCAGAATTATTGAAGCTGCCGGAGGAAAAATCACCATTGATGATAAGAACATCGGAGAATTGGGTCTGCACAATCTCCGCTCTCGCCTCACCATCATTCCTCAGGATCCAGTGCTCTTCTCTGGCTCTCTCAGGATGAACATTGACCCTTTTAACTCCTACAGCGACGACGAAATTTGGCGCGTGCTCGAATTGTCGCACTTGAAGCACTTTGTGAAAGGTCTGCAGGCCGGACTTCAGCATGAAATTTCTGAAGGCGGCGAGAATCTGTCCGTTGGCCAGCGCCAGCTAATTTGCTTGGCCAGAGCTCTGCTGAGAAAGACGAAAGTGCTTGTGCTCGATGAAGCCACTGCAGCAGTTGATCTCGAGACAGATGATCTCATCCAGAAGACCATCAGAGCGGAATTCGCCGACTGCACAATCCTCACAATTGCCCACAGATTGAATACAATCATGGATTCGGACAAGGTGATTGTGCTGGACAAAGGTGAAATAGCAGAGTTTGACACTCCGACGAATCTACTGCAGAACCCCAATTCCATTTTCCACAGCATGGCAAAGAATGCTGGAATTGTGGGAAATTCGCAATAGAGCAGCACAGGCTGGATTCAATAGATGACAGACACTTAGGAAACAATGTGGGATAGCAAGCAATAGCTGATTCCTCAAAATGACGACTGATTTATAAATTAAAAATCACATTCGCATTCGTCAAAGAGATGTAAAAAGTTAAAAAAAAAAAAATGTATTAGACTGTAGTTTAAAAACAATTTTGTGACAGCATTGAGAGATTATAAAAGTGTAAAATATGTCCATATGAAGATTGTAATAATGTAGGGAAATAGCAAATATGTGAATAAAAGTTTATGTTTTATATATTTATGAAATAGAACAATGTTCAGTTTCTTATGTTTGCCACTGTTTCAACGCTCAAATTTACAAAGTTAAATGTTTAGACGAGTGGTTTGTGAACTGGGTAAGTATAAAAATTGTCCGCCAGGGGAAATTAAGCTGAGACACTCTGTTATCAAATGATGAAGCGAATATTATAATTCGGCAAAATATCTCCTCAAGTGCAAGGATTTGGTGAGAAAACAGTGTGAATGTGTCAAGAAACGCGCGTGTAACAATATCACGATCTGAATTTGTAGCAGTGCTTCTATATATCCGAGAAATTGCCCAAGTGGAAGTGCTTGCGCGCCACTGGAATCACTGATAAAGTGACAGACCCGCGGGGACAAATTGTCAGATGATAGAGTGACAATATGGCGATTTATTTTCAGACGTGTTGACGTTTCGTCTTGAGTTTTTCTCCCAAAATCGTAGTGTAAAAGTGCGTGAAAGTGTCGTGGAGTTGCGGAAAATTGCTGGGTAATTCACCCTCTGTCATTTGCATATGATTCCTCCGTGAGGCCCTTGTGCTATCTGTGAAAAGCGATCAATTGATTCAGTGGCATATGTTTACTGGAAGTGCGCTCGTAGGGTCGGTGGAAACAGTGGCCCCAAGCGTGGAAAAATTCATCACGACGTATGCAAAATAATCGATAGAGTGTCTGGTATTGGGCGATTGTTGGGGTTGATGGTGTTCTTGTGGCTTTCACCCCCCGTTGCTGTCCCCCACAGTTCCGACACACCATTTTTATGCTTCACCCGAATTGAAGTGACACAACAATTGCGATACGTTTCCGTTGCCATAGAAATCCTCCCATGGTCTCACCCCCCTGGCCTACCTCATGGTCGATCTCTTGCTCAACTTCCTGCCCAGACTCACCCCGTTGGCTGTCTGACCCGCGCGCGGGCAAATCTCCCGCCAAAATCGCCTTTCATCTCCGAGCGCGCGTCTTTCGAATCTCCGTCGCGAGATCTGCTCTCGCGTCGCTCTCAGCGGGCAAAAACCCGGCCGCACGAGAGAGTATCTGCCACCGTCCGGAGCGCGAGAGGAGTGAATCTCGGCGTCTCGCATTGGTCGCCAACGTCTTGTGATTTCCGGCCACGGAGCAATTACTATTATTAATTATGTATTTCTGATTAATGGGTCATCCCAGTGTGTGTGTCTCCCCGTCCCCAGCGCTGCGTGTGCCTCGAAGCGAGCAGTGAAAACTGAAAAATGAAAAGTGAGAAGTGATACCAAAAAGTGGCTTTTGTGGTTTTTCCTCACTGCCATAATACAACATTTTACTGGGGCTACAGAGAGCGAGCGCGCAAAAAACGTCTTCGCCAACTAATGTGCGTTATCATTGGTTAATGGCAAACAAGTGTTTCATAAATTTTTCAAGCAATGTCACACTAAAAATGTTTTAATTGCAATCTCTGTCCGTTTTTCTCCTCTTCGCACTCACACACCATGTGGGGAAAACTCTCAGGGTGGCGTCGAACATGCTCACACATTAACAATAATCATGTGAACACTGTGAAAAAATTTCGCTACGCACTATAAATGAGGGTTACAGGCGATCCATAAGAGAATGTAATGGGAATTCGGAAAAACAAGGCCTTAATTTGGAGTATTTTGTGTGAGAGGACTTTGTTTAATGGCACTTTCATTTCAAATCACCTTGAGTCAATATAACTTTTTTTTGGGATATAAAATCCTTTTTTATTTGCTCAATTTGTGTTTAGTAATTTGTTGAGATTGTATGAATGTAATAAAGATTAAACAAAAAGCTTTCCTTTATTATAATTTATCGTGGCTTTGTCACCTGGCGTTGTGAAGTGATTAATAAATGTCCTTAATATGCTCCGCCCACTCAATGGCTCCGCCTCTTTTCGCATTGCTTCTGAATGATTGAATTTTGACTTTCTTAAGTTGCCTAATTTAAATTCTGAACAGAACAATATCTTTCTAATTTCTCTTAGTGTTTTTTTTCACTAAAAGTGTTGGATGTATCAGAATTTCATACAGAGGAAAATCAACTGGGGGAAATACAATACACTTTTCTATCCGTTTACCCATTTTTCCTCATCGCACGTTTCACGTTTTGAGCGCTCAATCGATCGATTGATTGAAAATTCTATTCGTGTTGTGGCCAAAGAGTCGAAGTCAGGGTGGGCTCGTCGGGGGCAATCCCCCATTGGGGGTAACATGATCTCTGCATTTCTCATGTGTTAGTTCTCAGCCAGGAAATTGAATGGGGAATGTCTGGTGCTCAGCTTAAATTCTAATGGCCATTTAATTGTGTAATGTCTTGTAATCATTTTATGAATTGTTTCTAATGAATACTGACACTCAAAAACTGTGTTCTTATTACCGATTCATTGGGGGTGATGATGATATGAATAGAAATGTCTCGATGGCAGCAATATTTAATTTTGGGGATGGAACAGAGTGTCTTCGTGGGCGTAGCATTCGAAAATATGTATCATATAACGTGAGAAAATGGTTTGTTTCCCTTTGGCCACATCAATGGCACCAAATTTGAGCAATCAGAGTGTACAAAATGTATCAATTAAATGTCTAATGCCACTTTGCGGTCAAGTGGTCGAGGAAGCACCACTTTAGAATCATTGCGATTTCGGCAGCACTGCTGGCTGTGGCCTTTCCTCTGTCTCAGGGCGCGCATCCACCTAATTTCGATGCTGACTATGTTGAAATAATACGTGAAGCATTACAATATACTGTGTTTCCATATGAGACGTAGGAGACAGAAATACGAAGCCACGGACTGACAAGACGATCTACATTGTGACCCACAAAATATTTTATATAAACTCATATACAGTACGCATATTTATGTTTACGTCCCCACTCCACTCCTCGTGCGGAGTAGACACTTTTTCAGAGTGGCCCCTAAGTTCAATTATCCAATTGTCGATCGATTTTGTGCGCGCAGTCACTACAGCTCTGACTCTATTGCTTCGCTTGCCACTTTCCAGCCTTATCAGTGCGGAGCTCTGGCACCTGGGACGTGCAATTGTTGAGGAAGACCGCAGGGAAAGTGTCGAGTGAGCCACATTTTATCAGTTCACTCGACAATGTGGAGCGAATTGTCTCGAGAGGAGTTGTTCTGCGATTCTCACCAGAATCTTCCGGCTTGGCTGCGATTAGCCAGGAATATAATATTATTTTCTCTATATTTTCCAAAATTCCTCAATCACTCTCTTATCATCCACCATTCACGCTTTCTTCAAAAGAATCGCCTTGGCAATGTTCAGATAAAATTTATTACTGGCAAACCCCTCGCAATGATTCTCGCTTTTTTGTGCGACGTCCCTCAATGAAATTTCCTCAACAATAGTAATTTTGAAAATAAAAACCTACACGTCAGAGCCACGCAATGTTCGTGATAGTGGAGATTAATCAAATGACAAGAGCGAGAGAGAGAGATAGGGAGTGAGAGGGCACTTGAAAGCGCGTCATTTCATTTCAAATAAATAATGCATTTAATTAATATTACAGCTTTTAGTGCATCTGGAAATGTGGTCAAAGTTGACATAATTGGATTATGGAATTGTGCAATTTTTCTGCGGAAATACTTAACACATTGTGCCACTGCAGAGAGAGAGTGAAAAGCTTGAGTGGAATTTGAGCGACAATTGAAATTCCAGGTGCAATTTCGGAGTGACGAGAGACCCAGAAATGTTATCAAAATGTCAATAGAATGGGGCAATGTGTCGCTTCAAATACTAATTAACATTATTATTTCTTCCATCTCATGTACAGTGTATTCTCTGGTCATCTCACTCACGCATGACTCTCTTCGCGATAAATTATTGCCTACAATGAACATGAGAAAATATCAGCAAGTAGTTGATAGTGGCAATAAATAATCATTGCCTTCAATCACAACCACCAGCAATAAATCCTCTCAACGTTAAACAACACAACTCAAATATTTGAGCACTTCTTTGCCACCTCGATGGTATTCAGAGTGTGAAAATCTGTCGCCAAACCACAAGAATCTCTCTGCTCTGCTATGGCAGAATTCTTTCCATGTCGCTGAAGAAAATTGAGTCTCTTTTTCTCCATCACAGCTATTTTAGCGGATTGAAGTCAGTCAGTAGAAAATTGTATGCAGAAATATGACAAAATGTCGCGCAGTCATTTTTTGTCTGTCGTCGAGGGGCGAATAAGTGGGCATTTTAGTGGGAAATATTTTGCTTCTTACCCATAAAGTATCGCTGAATTGATTTTAGAAATATGCACAGATGTTTTCCGATACTTTTCTAGGCGCAGAAAAATTGCCACTTGCTCACCTTTAAGTGTATTATAAGTGTATGAAAGGTGACGAGAAGCGACAGAAGCGTCAATATATGAAACCATAGAGAATAAACTGCACAATTTCAATGACCTATGGGAACAGTATTGAGCAAGAATATTTGTGAGACTGAAGCCTTACAGTGTGTCGTTCACGAGACGAGGGTGCTAATGAAAATTGAATCGCTTAGCGGTTTCACTGATTAACTTATCTTGATTAAGTACTAATTTTCATACATTTTTACCTCATCTGAGGGAATTCCTTTCCATATTGCCGCAATGACAGTATCTGGCCGAACACTGACCCTGGTGGAAAGGAGTAGCTTGCAGGTGCTCACAGTCTCCCTATTGTAACTGTTCTACGCCGTATTCTCGTGACATGAAACGCTATATTGCTTATACACATAGATAGATTTTTCTATGAGCTGAGACTGAGGGAAGAGTGGCGAAATGGAATGAATTTTGTTAACATTTTATTAACGCATCACGTCTTCGAGTAATTTACATCACTTACTCTCTCGTATTTGACTATGATGTTTACGAATTCTGGAGATGAACATGAACACCTCGATGGCATCTCATCTGGCTTCTGCCGACCATTCACGTGGTGTTGGACGATTGAGTTGGGAAGGATGGTTGGAGCTTGTGGACAAGTGACGAACATTTATTGGTTTTCTGGTTGAAAAATGTGGAAAAGTGGTGGAGGAAAAAACGGCATAATTTTTCATAGCTCTTGATGTGATTCAGCGATAAAAGTCCGCGTTTTATACACTGGGTGCACCTCAAATGGGAAAAATATAGAGTGTAATTCTGTCTAAGCAAGGTTATTGTCATTTGTGTGGGGACAAAAGCTTTCTCAATTAATGTACTTTTTCTCTCTTGCTTCTACCATGCGCGCTTCATGGTCACAGGAGTGAGATCTGCAGGATCCTGATGAGCTTCTAATGAGTGGACAATGGATCATCATGGCTATTATCCGGATGTGAACGCATATGCCGGCGCAACGGGTGAGATTGGCCAGCAGTTGCCTCTACAGCAGCAACAGCAGCAGGCGACAATCTATCCCTTGCCACACCACCAGGCCTACCAGCAGCCGATTCCTTCGCTCCAGCAGCAGCCCAGTCAGCAGATCCAGGCGACGCAGTTGTACCACCAGAAGAATGCCCAGCAGATGCACTACAGGAAGCACGATATCCTGGACTCTTACGGTGCCAATGGAGAAAATCTGCTCAATTATTCGGTGAATAGTGGCGAGAGTCCCGGTGGTGCCATTGCCCAGTGCGGCGTGGATTATTCTGCTGTCCAGTACGCCAAGAGTGGAGTTGAGCAAAATCCCACCTACTACTATTCCAAAGTTCAAGCTGGAGCTTACGATGCAAACTACGGAGGATATCAGAACTACAGCGCAACTGCAACTCCCACGTACAACAATGCGTCCTCCACATCGTCCAGTCCTATCGTGCTCAGTGACTATCCGGAATCGCCCAAGAGTCACGTGTCAAATACATACGGCGGTGCAATCAAGTACAATGGCTATCAAGTGGCGGGAGGTTACAAGAATTCACCGGCAGCACCCGTGGCGCCAACGCAGTGGACAACTCCCGTCCAGTCAGCTCAAGTTCCTCCGGCCAAAGACATGAGGCATTCTTATGGCATGGTTCCTGTGCGACATCCATTCGACGATTCCTACAGCCGATCGGCAGTGTACATGCGACCTGGATCCCATCCTTATCACATGACACAGGATTATGGCTATGCGGAAAAGTACCAGTCAAATTACTTCACTCCCACGAATCCCTACAAAACAGCAAGCAATGGTGAGTCCAACCATATGAATCCTCTGAAGAACTAATTACTGAAAAAGACTCTTTTACATTGCAGGCAAATACCCAGTCATGATGGGCTCTTCTCCGCGATCTGGAAGGACAATGATCCAGTCAACGCCAGAAGCGCCTGTTCCGCATCCCTATTACAACATGATGCGGCCCGGAAATGGTTATCAACAGCCAACTAGTCAAGTTTACAATCGCCCAGCCACACATCACGTGCCGCAGAAGGAAATGTACATGGAGAATGGCATGTACGACGATCCCTACGGCGCCAAGATAAACTACAACACTCCCCCGAAGTACATTCCACAGTACGAAGACTACCACCATCATCACCATCGTCACTCCACCAATCAAATCCCGCAGCAATCGGCAATGAGAAGCTCAGTGATCCCTGGAAGCTATCAGGCATCGAAGATTGTGTATCAGGGCTCAAGAAATCCCAACGAAATGTGCTACACGAGTGGGTATCAAGGATCGTATCCTGTGAGTCAAGCTGCTCCGCAACAGCCCAATCGCGTGGGGTACTATGATGTGCCTCAGCAATCTGAGAAGTCCTACATTGATTTGGAGGAGCAGATAAACAGCTCTAAGATCTTGAAAGCGGGTCGCCCACAAATTTCTGATTACTATCAAGCGTCACACTATCAGTATTTGGGTCATCATGGCCAGGTTGAGGATCTAACGTCTGACCCACAGGTATAATTAATAAAAAAATACCATCAATATATTTTTCCCGGATCACCACAAAGTTGAATTAATGTTTAATGGTGCAATTTTGCAGGTGCCTCTCAAGAAAACCAACGTGCGAGACTTCCTGTCATCGTGGAATGAGGATGAAGAGGAGGAGAACAAGCAAAGTCACGAACACAATCGCTCTGCTCCGGATATGAACAGCGTGAGCTGTAGCTATGGGAGCTCCATTTACGACATGAGTCGGCCGAAGGAGTTCGACACTGAAGGTAATCCCCGAATTCACGTGGGCATCACAATAGACAACAACACCACAAATCAGAGTATCAACCTGCCGGATATAATAATTGACATTGAGAAGCCGAAGTTGATGCCTCCTGAAGACAATGTGGTCGTTAATTCGGAGAAACTTTACGTTCTAGAGTCCATCGATGTGCCTTTGTCGGAACTCAACAAGTACAAGCACTTGAGCGTAGTGAATAAACTACCTGAGAATATTGTGCACTTTGCCAATGGCGAATCGGAACAGGATGGTAAGGATTTTGCCGCGAGTGTAGAGAACTCCCTAAAGTTCATTGAGGAAATTGAGTCGAATCATGAAAACTACTTCAAGAGTGACTTTGAGATGAATGTGGAATATGATGAGAAGGATGCTGAGCCTGTTAAACAAGCTGCTCCACCAGTGAGCCAACCGGAGAGGAAGGAATCTGTGATTGTGGCAAATGGTGAGGCAGACAAGACTTCTCTTGAGTGTTCCAAGAAAGCCAAGAGAAAGAAGAAGCGCCGATCCTCAAGTATCGCCAGTGTGGAGTGCTATCCAATAGCACCGCCAAAGAAGATCAAAACACTCCAGAAGCTATGCATTACCGTGATAAATTCCAAAGATTTCCGCAAGTCCTACGAAAAGTATCTCACGTGTAAGCGGAAAGAGGCTCCAAAGCAGTCGGTTGTAAAGAAACAGAAAATTTGCCGCTACACTAAGAGGTACTGTCGGCGAGTGCCCAGTCTGAAGGAGCTCTGCGAGAAGTACTTTGTGCCTGTTCGCCAACCACAAAGTCTCAAAGAGGTCTGCGAAGCCTACATCTGTAATCACAGGAATCTCTTTGCGCTGGAAGAAGTGCCTCGAGTGCCTAGATTGAGTGATCTGTGTGAAGAAGTGCTGAAGATCAACAATTTCATAATCAATCTCGATGATTTCAGTGAGGCTCCAGATGGGGCGAACATCTGCTTTGATCTCATGATCTCTACTGCTGGTCAAGAGCTTTTGCCTCAAACCATTAGTCCGGAAACTCTCCTTCAACCCACGCAAACGGAGGAGAACTTCCTGGACATGGATGCGAACTATTTCTCTGATTCTGATACTTATCGTCTCTTTGATATCTGCGAAAATAATCACATCCAATCCGAGGAGATAATCCCTGTGGATGTGGCTCGAGATAGGAAAGAGAAGCTCTTTGAATACCTGCGATCGAAGTATATTCAGAGGCCTCATCATGAGAGGTTGTTCTTTGTAAAGAAGACCACAAGAAAGTACTTCTTCTACCAGCGCTACTCACGATTCCTATTGAGGATGTATCGGCGAGAGAAAAGCTCTGAGGGACAAAAGCTTCCGGCGAAGAAGAAGCGCTTGAAGATTGAAAAGAAGCGTGAGGGAAAGCAGATTCCGAGGAATCACGAGAACTCTCTGAACAACAATTACAGTCCAAAGAAGAGTGGGAGTGAGGGTGAAGGTCGAGATAAGAGGGTACAAAAGAGACATTCTCGAGTGGAGAGATCGTCACAGGTGGAGCAAAAGAAGAGACGCGTCTCGGAATCTCATCGTGTTGCCAAAGATCTCAAACGCCAACATGCAAGTGCATCTGCGACGAAGAGAAAGGCGAGTGTGGAGTCGCGAAAGGGCCAGAGGAAGCTCAATTTTGATGAGATGCTGCTCAACATTGACTCGTACTACACGAAAACCATTGGGAGGGTGAAGTCCTGCTCGAGGGACTCGGACGACAGCAGCAGCAGCAGCGAGCGGAGTAGTTCCAGCAAGAGCAGCTCCAGCAGCTCAAGCAGTTCAAGCAGCACGAGTAGCAGAAGCTCATCGAGCTCCTCGTCTTCATCTACGTCCTCGTCATCTGGATCAGGTACGCGATCGCCGTTCGTGAAGCTCGAGAGGAGTGTCCTCATCGATAAGATGGGGAAAATGTATACGTAGCATTTTCCTTCAAGAATGAGGGCCTTTCTTTTGGTCCCTGCTTGACATATATTTTCTATACGGTTTGAAGAAAATGAGTACAAATAATTTCTTCTGCGGCAAATTATATTTTGGATTAGGCATAAAACTGACAGCGAAGATTTTTTCGCTTAGCAAATTTCACACTAAATCGAGCCATTTCCCGCAAAATGCGGGAATCCCAGAAGACACAATCAAAGACACTGAGAATACCAAAATGTGCAATTAATATATTATTCTAATGACCTAATCTATTCTTCCTCCATAAGATGATTTATATCGCTTTCTGTTTAGCATTAATTTACTTACAAATACACATTTTGTTTACATTGGTTTTCGCTTCAGTGAGTAAGAAAAATTTCGTCTTCGTCAATACAGTTCCGTATCAAAATTATTGACACATTTCAATGGTTTAAAGTTTATTCAGTTAATCTCTTGAGATCTTGCGTCAGCATTAAAAGATCAACGTTAAAGTTTTTGTTTTTAAGAAATGGTTATTTCCTGTGGGAGTTTTTATTTAATTTTATTTTGTTGTTGAAATGGACATTTTATGTTGCTGAATAAATAAAAGACGAATAAAATGAAAAAAAAAATCATGGCTAGAAACAAAAAGTGATCTCAATGAAATCATTTTCTAAAATATACATATTAACTATATCTTGACGATTGAGATTGAAAAATGACGATTTTCAATAGAAAGACAAATTGAGAAAAATTATATTAATTGTTCGGAAAGGGAGTTTGAGGAAGAGAAATCAAAAGAAAAAAAATGTTGTGTTGTTTAAATTTTAAGGAAATTTTAATGCAAGATGGGAATGAATTGAGTTTGTGCAAAAAATATATTTATATCTATATATTGATAGTCATCTACAAGATGTTGTTGGCAGAGGTTTTAAACTAAATGTACTTAAATGTGTGATTGGCGGGGTTGATATTAGTGTGAACCAAGGAAAAATTTACAATGAAATTGTAGAATATCCCAATATTTATTCATATTGAGTGTTATATTTACAAATATATTTTATAGAAGAGCATAGTCAAGATTTATTCAAGTGCAGACATCAAATAATCATTATATTTACCAATAGAAAAAAAAGAATATTTATAATACACTGTGCAGATTGTATATTTACAAGAGATAAGAAGAAATATTTATAAAAAGATTACTAAGATGAATTTATTCACGCGTGCGTGTGTTTGTAAGTGTAGTAAATTTGAAAATATAATGCTACTAGAGTAAAAATGAGTGAAAAAAGGAAAAAAATAACAGGTTCTAAGGGTCCAAAAACGCGAAGAGTTTTCATAAATGTTTTCAATATACGAAACGGAAAATGTCATTCGGGTGAAGAAACCGTATTCATTAGATATATAAGAGAACCAAGACAAATTTGTTGAGGCCATTGTAGATTTCTGTAGCAAATTGTGTTTTCCTTCTTCTTAATTCAAATCCCACCAATTTCATTCCTTTTCAATTTTATTGTAGGTGTTATTTTTGATCATTTTTCTACACTTGTAGATTTAGATGAATATTAAAAATGCTTTTCCTTTTTGGCAAGTGGTTGAGAAGGCTTAAGTGCATTTACTAAGGTTTTTTAAGGAAACAATCCAGTGAATGAGAAATTGTACAATGAAACAGTGTTTTGTGGAATCTCTTGGGATTTATTGGAGATTTTTTTTTTTAATTTAATATACAAATATGCAAATCTGTATTTTCAAACTCACAGAAACAAACACTTTTACACACTTTTAGTGCCTTGCTGTGGAGCGATGTTTTGTAAAGGATTTATTTAGGAAAATAGCAAATGAAATCACCAAAGCTCTAACTAAATAGTATATGGACAGGTTTTACCCCAAAATTTCACAGTCATTTTACACTTTACCTGATGCGATGAGAAATTCCCTTTTTTGTGTAAATAAACATTGTTATTTAATATCTATCGATTACGACATCTATGTTGGTTGGTTGGAAGTGAAAAAAAGTATGAAATAAATAATGAAGAATTATTATTTGCCTCTTAATGCACGACTATTTCCTCTCAAACTGATGCCCATCAATTGATTTCACAGATCATATTCGGAGAGAGTCTCTTCATGAGTCAACGAACCGCAGTGTTTTTCACTCGGCGAAACTCTGGGTGATTTTAGCACGCGAAAGAATGCCTCTTTTAGCACTTTTCCGGACAATGTACTTCGCGATTAATTTGCATGTCCATTCCATGTGATTCACTGACGATAGTTATTATTTTTATCACTTCTCTGCACCATGAAAAAATGTGTTTCAATGCTTTTTTGCTGAATGATTGCGTTCATCATGAATTCTCAAATCTCTTCTGGGGTCAAATCAACTAGAATTCATAAAAGATTTGGCTAATCTCTTAGCTTTGGTGTTGGAAAACAAATCCATTTGGGAAAACCATATTTCCTTGTGTTGAGGAAATGAAAAAGTGCGTATTACATTTTCTCTGGTCTGCATGAGTGATTGAAATATATTATGAAACTCATGAAGCTTTTTACCGAATCACGAAAAATTGCCAAGACCGATTAATTTCCCATAAATTCGCTTATGTAAATGCAAAATGCCTAATTGGAGGTTATATTGAGTATCCCATCAAGGTTTTGTTTCCTCAGACGCAGCAGACAAAATTCAGCGGTTGTTTGGTGAATTATTTTATTGTTCATTTCAATATTCACTAAAAAAAAAGAATTCACATCAAAATTTTACTTGCCAAAAAACAGTTCTTGCAAATAAACCATTGAAAACCTCAAATTCACCTGAGTGATTGTATTATTAAAAAAAAAATCCTCTGAACTTTTGCATTTATATAAATTTCGAAGCTTTTCATTGTGTTCTAACATGAAGTCACGCAAGTGCCTTTTGGTGAATTTCTAACAGATCACTTGTGGGCCTTTGGATACATTATTCAAACTCTTCCAGTCTTCAGATGTTCACTTTCATCACTTCATACTTGAATGAGAACACCTGCGATAATGGTAACTGTCGTGAGAAGAGCGGCTGACATGGTCTTTGAGACTGCAGCGCTCGTTGGCTGGGAGGCCGAGAGTGTGGCCTGGTTTGTCTGCGTCTGCACGGGTTGATTCTGGAATGACGACGCTGGCGGCGGCGGAGGATTGCTGAAGGGCGGCTGAACGGGCGCTTGGGGATTGTATTGACCTGGGTAGGCAGCCAGAGGCACGCCATTGGCCATCTGGGGCTGCTGCTGCTGTGGCGGATACAGACACTGAGGCGGAATGGCCAGAGGAGCCGGAGTGCTGGTCGGCAAATCCGTGGCTACAGTTGTTGTTGTACAGTTTTCAGCAGTGCAGTTCACTGCATCCGTTGTACTCGTTATGCCTTCGGTGGTGGTCGACATTTCGCCGGTTGTAGTGGGAACTCCGACTGAAGTTGTGGATGTTTGATTCAACTGCTGTGTTTGATGCATTTGGTTCATTTGGTTCATTTGGTTCATTTGGTTCATCTGGTTCCAATACGGAGTGCAGTCAATTGGGAAGGGAGCCAGAGGAGCAGAATAGACTGGCTCCGTTCCAGGTGCATTCGCCGGCAGGGTTCCATTAGCCGGCACTGCAGCAACTTCGCCAGGAGCAGCAGGAGCCGCAGGGGCCGCTGGAGCAGCTCCTGGAGCCGCCTGTGTCCCATTTTGAATGATGATGGTATTATGCTCACTGGGCTTAAGGGCGCCATAGAGAGCAAGACCACCAATTCCGGCAATTGCAGCTGTTTGCAGTGCTGATCCGACGCCACTTCCTGATGATCCCTGGTTTCCGTAGTAGTTATTCACCATTGGCTGACCACCATAACCGGCCTGAGGATAGCCTCCAGGATAGTTGGGATGACCATAGCCAGGCTGTCCTGGCTGCCCAAATGCCGTTTGCTGAGGATATCCAGCTGAAAGTACAACGAATGATGACCTTTTAGTGCCACACTTTTCTCTTTATACCCTTGCGTCACTCTTTACTCATTTAATTTCGGACACATTCACGCATTCATGACGCATTACAAACAGCCTCATGAGAAAAATCAATACAAATGGACAATGGTGAGGAGCTGAAGAAATGTGTCATGGTATTTTCTTCACCGCAAATAAAACACAGAGTGGCTGTGATGTGAAATCGCAGCTTCTGGAATTCCTCAGCGGCAAGATTTCCCTGATTCTATTGTCTTCGTCAACAATCAAACATGAAGGAGGAGCCGAGATTGGAAATTAAACATCTTATCAACTTCTGCACATAAACAATTCTTTTGCTGCGTGGCGCAGAAGTCAAGGTCTGCCAGAGTGATTAGGAATCTGCATACGTGTGTTCTGGCATTGGTTGTGAAGAAATATTGAAATAATTCATGGTATTTATTTTTCTTCGCGCTGAAGGTGACAGCATGAGAGTTGAAACGCTAGCAAATTATCACTTTGGAAATCTAGAATGCAACTAGTAATTTTTTATAACCAGTTTTTAGTATTTGCTTCAAATTTTCGAATTGAATTCTCTGTAAAGTGTATAATAACAATAAAATTAAAACCAATTGAACAATTAATGCTCATAAAACCGCTGATGCGACATTTCTCTCATCAATAAATGTTTACTTTTTGTGGAAGTCTTCTCGAAATAGAATTGTGTCACAATCGTAGATGCATTTCCTGATTCAGACGTTTTTTATTCGCCATTTATTCAGGAAAGTGTTTCAATTTCACATTCACACCGTGGATTCGGTAATTTCAACAGAAATCATTTTTATGAATCATGCAGACTTTTGCGTCATTAATTCAATTGACTTTAATGGTCAGAGCAAACTCCACGTGATATGTGTATTGTTGGCTTTCGATAGCCAAGGTGATCCCCAGCCAAGGGGTCAGTCATTCCGTAAACAAGATGTGAAGGAGATAATAAGAAAGATAACGCTCAGCGCGCAAACTTTGGAAGCTCTTTTTACACTGGATTTGAGCAAAACGTCGTTCACGTTGTGATGAGCCCCTTGTCTTGAGTCCGATTTCACTCAATTAGCGTGGCTTTACGAGAGGTTCCGCTTACCTGGAGGGACGCCTTGGTGAGGATAACCTCCGGGCTGTTGGTATGGCGGCGGGGCCCCGGCGTAGTGAGGCTGGTTGGGCACTCCTTGAGGGCTGTAGGGCGGCGGAGCTTGGTAGCCAGTGGCTGCGTTCGGCTGCGCATGGGGCGAGTAAGGAGGCGGCGGGCCGTGATTCTGCACAGCTGAATAAGGCGGCGGATTGGCGCCAGACTGAACTGGATACGGAGCAGAATTCACTGGCGCGGCATTCTGCTTCTGCGCTGGCTGATCCACATTCCAGCCGATGGGTCTATTGCTGCCTCCAGCTGGGTTTGCGGGCTGCGAGTTCGTGTTCCAGCCGATGTTCTGGGACGGCTGCTGTGCCGGAGCTGGATGGGCCGCTGGAGCAGACGGCTGTTGAGGCTGAGGACGGTTGGGTTGCTGGTTGTATCCTGAGTAACTCAGTCTGGCCTGGTCGGCGTGTGAGTTTGAAGTCTGAGATGGCTGAGTATAGGTCGGTTTGGAGACTCTTCCTGTGCTGGATCCAGTCCTTCTCGAGCTGGAGGTTTTCCTAGCATCGCCCACAAGAGCGAATGACAGGAGGAGAACAGCGATGCTGAGGGTTTTCATGAGTCGCAATGACTCTTGTGACATTGTCCTGGCCATTGTCGGCACTGTGCCAAGGAGAGGAGACAAATACTGGTCAATATAGTGTCTTGTTTCTCCCCGGATCCACTGAATTGTGAATTTCCAAGCACAAATTCACGCCTCTTACCTTCGATACAGTCCGCTTTAGGCACTTTCTCTGGCTACGTGGTGGCTTCTGGAGCGACTCTGAGGCGTATGAGGAACTGCGATGGAAAATCGAGGGAAATCCCACTGCACAATTTTCCTCACGCACACTTTTTCGTCAACTTTTTCCACCAGATCTCAACACAGTTTCAAGGCTGCGAAGTATGCTAATTGAATTGTATGGTCGTCACGCTTCAATATCTCTAACGCGTCTCTTCTGGTGCCGTTTTGGCGGGGATTCACAGTGAAATCTCTCGCGAAATGTCCACTTTATCACCAGCAAGATGCCTCCCACTGTCGCCAATCTTGCTCCTGCCACGGAATCACTTGATAGAGGCACTGCGTCCCTCTTGAAAGGTCACTCAGAAATGCGTCGAAGTGGCACCAGAGCCGTGTGCCCACTTTTCACACTGACGGTTGAAAATAAACTGAAGAATGAGCTCATGTACAGTGTTTCTCTGAGTGTAGTTGTGTTCCCTCACTCCGCCAATCTCACTGAGAGTTTCGGCCAGATGAGGTCACAAGCTCCCGTGAGCACAATACAGGCAAACGACTTAAGAGGCATGCAAACAAATCGATCTCAATTTGGAAGAAAAATTCACACATTTTCGGGACCACTCCGCCGCCGCCTTGCCTAAGCCTTTACCTGAGAAGTGAAACCACGCGAACAGATTGAGTTGTTTTAATTTGGGTGTTCTGAATGTCAGAGGCACAACTTCAAGACATCCGACTAGAGTAACAGAATTATCTGGTCATGTGATTTTTTTTTACTCGCAATAATAATTCCAATAATTCAATCTTTCATCATTATGACAAGAAGTTGCAATTTTCACACATTTGCCCAACATTTCCGTCTCCCTAAACAAGCGCACGAGAACAACATTTCAGGGTCAGAGAGACAAAAGTTGTACCCGGCGAGCAAAAACCGGGAATTTCTGCGAAAGAAATAGGGAAGAACAAAACACAGTCTCGTCTTCCAACTGCCAAAATCCATCAGCCACCTTTGCAAAAACATTCCTCTTCGAGCCACATGAAATGTAGAAGAGATTTGCAAGATTGAAAGAGTTGAATCATGGACAAAAGAAACTTCTCGATGATAAATGAACGCTGGCAAATTTGCGATAGTGACTGAATTCACAGAGATTTCCAATGAAATTTCCACGCGATTTTCTCGAGGTGAGTGTCATTTGCATATTGTGCAACAATTTAATGAAACGGACGCGCGATGAATGCAATTGAAAAAAAATATGCGCGAGTATGGCTTTGGCGTGTGGGAAAAGTATAGAGTTTCCTTCTCATCGCGGGGTGAGCAATTGCTTATCGATTGAAAATTGTTGCCATTGTCCAGAAAATGGAGCAATTGAGAGTTTCTTCGATGAATGTAGGAGTATTTACAGATATAGTTGTGGCAACAATTCAAGCTGTAAGTGGCTGAAAAGGGTGTATTTCATCATAAGAGTCCTTAATGACCAAACTTGTTGAATTATTGATCCTGTCCTGAGTCATGTTTCTGAGAAATTTTCACCAAAAAGACGCATTCCTCTAGTCATTGAAGTGACGGCTCGTGGCGCCACACACAAATAGACACGATGGTCACGAAAAAAGGCAATATCGTTCATTAATTAATTAAGAGGAGTGTTAGAAAATAAGATCAAAGGTGGACTGGAATTCATTCGCCAACGACATGGGTTTGAATCTCAACTATTAACACACCCTCAATGCGACTGTGGCGCACCCAAACGTAGGTGAATGTAAAGCTATTGAAATTCTTTTGCGCCAAAATTGGTGCTTTTCAGCTCTCTCCACATGATTACAGCATAAGAGAATTTCCTTTCTTAATTAATTGTCTGAAATATCTTAATAGTGTTGGTGGCTCCATTGCGATGTGATGAGAAGAGCAAATACGAGTGGTCAGAATGCGATATTCCCTGCTGATATTTTAATTAACACCTCAACACTATTGCGAAAGATTTATTGTACATACAGCGTAAATATTCGTATTTTTGCATACGAGAAAATTTAACTATGACTTCGTGAGAATTTCATATTTTCATCTTTTCAACCACATCTAAGGAAAAATTTTATCAGCTTTTTACCACTCTCATTGGTAATTTCAACTAATGTTTATTTCCCGTGCTGATGTCTTTCTCTTGAGCTGCAACATATCACCTTTGGGAAGCGCGAGTGGAATCCGCGATAATTCGGCTAGTCAGTTGCGAATTGGTCGTCGAGTGGTGCGGATCTCTTTGGCGCGCAATGGAGCCTCTTCGGGTGATTCTCATCGTGATGATCCTCCTGACTTGGCCCTCGGTTCAGGGAAGGCTGAAGAAGTGCTGCCCGCGTGGCTTCGAGTTCAGTGTAATCGTGAATGAAGAGGGAAGACAGTCGTACGACTGCATGCCCGATCGTGAGAATATCACAGTGTTCAATGACGAGGATTTCTTTGGGGATTTTTCCGCTGGTGTTGAGAAATCGAGCTTTCCCACCTGCTCGGAGAGACGCCTGCAACTGTTCCGCTTCACGCGAGAGCTTATTTCCGTGTCACCCAACAGCTGTGTGGACGTCATTCAGGGCGACTACATCCTTCTCACGTGTTCTTCAAAGCAACCCATTCCCGATGCCCTCACAGTGCTCAGTGTGCGGAAGTGCTGCGGTCAGGACTCTATATACGATACCAAAGTTCGAGAGTGTGTCTTCCCATCTGACGCACCCCTGTTTGAGAATAGTTCATTGCGAAGTCTGCTTCCTCCCGGCTCTTCGCCCCTCTTCATCCGCGGAGTTCCGCAGTGTCAGAAGAGTGAAGTTATGGTGATGTACACTTCCAGTTCGCACGAGATTGCCATCTCCGGACCAACGCTAATGATCACTACCTTCGATCGGGGACGTCCTGTGACGGAATACGTTGATCCTGACGCTTTCTGCTTGGACAGTTCTCCAACATTGGAGGATGACTCGCGCTGGATGGTGAGAGTGTGTCAGCACGAGAACATCTGCCAGAGGATTCCCTGCGTTCGGAAATGCTGTGGCCACGAGGAGAAGATGGCCAAAGTGGATGGACGCGGAACTTGTCTCTCACATCCCGTGGATATTTTTCCCATTTTCCACATTCTGGATGGAGAGGAATTTCCCGAAATCGATCCACCAACTTTTCAACCCAAAGGTGAGATGTTTTACTCAAAATAACATTTCTGAAGAAATTCCTTACGCGTCAGATCATCAAATGATGAATAAGAGAAACTATGGTTGATTCAGAAGCTGCATTTTATTCAGAATTATCGGAATTAGATTGCGAATAAGCGAAATGATAGAAATTGATTTTGTGTGTGTTTAATTTGCAAATACAGAAGAACAATGCCTTTGTACGCAGTCAGTTTCTCATTCAGCAGAATTTGTGCAAATTTTTGGCGAATCTTTTACTGCTTAAACGCTAATAAGATAAGACAACTTTCTAAGCAACAAATGTAAATACTTGAATCTGTATATCTTTGATCTTACCGAAAATGTGTCTCATTTTTTCCAAAAGTGTAATATATCTGCAGTTCATTGAGTGTGAAATATGATTAATATTAATTGGATTAATCAAGCTACAATCAATCTATTAATAACATGAGAAAATAAATATTTGCCTTTTCTTCTCAGCAAAAAAAAAGTACTTACTATGATTCGTAAAGACGTGTACGTATAAAACGAGATAGCTGGAGCACGTAATACAGGCTCGACTGTTTATCAATTGAATTAATGGTTGTGAAATTTGTAAACATTTAATTTGATATGTTTTCGGCTACTAATCATATTCGTTTTTTTGTGTGAAATTCTGCCATAATTTGACATTTTATCATCACTTTATATTCAGCTGATATTCTGTGAATAGGAAGGACATAAAAGTGTTATGAGTAATTAAAGAAGTCACGATTTTCTCACCTTACACTGTGGAAAGTCGTAGAAATTCCCTCCTCTCTAGGGAGCAAATTGAAGTTCACAGAGAGTTCCTGAACGAGAAAAATGATTATTTTTCCGTTTTAAGCGTATCAGCAAACAAATTCTCGCATTCATCGTTGAGTAATCTAAACAAAATCTCTCGTTTTCCACAAATAACCCACTTTTCGGACAATTCACTAATTGTATGGGGGAAAGAGAGCAACAAGAGTTTTCCTAGATCGTTTTTCATTGAGAATGATCCGAAATACCGAATGAGTATTTCATTCTCAGCTGCTGTTTCATGTCTTGCAATTTTTTCAGGAATCTCATTAGAAACGAACATGTTCGATTTGACCAAATATTTACCTAGAACTGATTTCACCACAAAGAATTTGATTGTCCAGAAATTACAATTTGTGCGATTTTTGCGTATGAATTTCTCTATTTGTGAATTATTTTATCATGACGTAAAACACGAATGTTGGTTTCCTGACACATAAAAAACTCAATTGGAGATAAGAAGTATTTTGGTTTATGTGAACTTCCTTTCTTTGCAATTGGCATTTGCCCATTTGCAATTGTTTGTCTTCTCATCGCACCACACAATCTAGCTAGAGGAAAGCATACAATTCAATAAGACACTGTGGCGTTTATTCTGCAGACAGTCGTGCTTAAAGTAATCAGCTGATTTTATTTCAGATAGCAAATCGAGACACTTTTATCAAATTTGAGCTCAACAATCTTGTTAATCACAGAACAAACATTCTACCGGAAATTCTCGTGCGACCGATTATTTCCTAACCATTGAGTTTTACTTCAAACGAGAAGCATTGTAATTTCCTAGCCATTGAACTTGAAATAGGTGAACATTTAGTCAGAAGATTGGGAAATGTGAATTAATAAAAATTCATGAATTCAAACTGTGCCGTAAGATTAAGGATACCGAAATTAATGGGTCTCATGCCAAGAGGAAGACAATTATTCTCACAAAATTATATCATACATATCCTAGAAATTGCCATTAATCTGATAAATGTTTATAAATGAATGAGAAAAAAGGAACGTTTGAGTTTTGGTTACTTTTTTGTGCCAATTTATTGTTTTCAGAAGGTCGTAAAACCATTAGTAAATTTGCGAATACAAATCTCCAAAATAGCAAAGCTATTGATTAAATTCAATAATATTTTAATAGGGTGAAAACTACTTTGCTTTTCCTGCATTAGCCTTTATGAATTTCGAGAGAAAATGTATTTATAGGGTGACACAAAGTTTTGTATAAAAATTTCTTTTTAATTTTATCATTTGGTGGAAAATTGTATTGAGGATTGGAAAATGGGAAATTAACCATTTCTTCTGAGAGATGCAAATTAATATGAAAATATTCATATAATAGTTACTCTGTACGGATTCTAGTTTATTAGTTTCGCCGCATAGAGTGTATTACCCATTAAATACAAAATGCATGGAATACAAAGTATTTGTAATGCCAGACTTTATTGTTAATGCAGACGGTACACATTTCTTTGAATTCCATAAAAATTTTTATCGTTTTTTCTCTAATGCGGATGAAATGCAATGCCAAATTTAATATTGCCACTTGGTAATTAAATTGTCAATCAACTAAATGAACATGCAGCGAGTGATCCAATAGTTTATTTCAATTGATAACGACGAGGGGAGCAACACTATCATCGCTAGAAAATTATTTGTCTTTTCTATTTATTATTATCTATGTATTCTTGCTAGTAACATGCTTGCTTGACAATTGAGATTAACCGCGGTGAATTTATTGGCTAGATTTTCCCTGAAAAGCGTTTTTATTAATTTTCGCAGCTCCCACAGTCATTTCCAAACATTTGGCTCTGACATTTTTTTTGCGCAGTGCCGCGGCGGAAAATTTGACAAAGGAAGAGGAGAATCACGATCAACAACCTTATCAATTTATTGATGCCCTTTCTCTCATATGCTATGCAGTAATTGATAAAACTAGTGGCTCTGCGTCCTATTTAGACGCTCTTTTTTTCTGCACAATCACCCCCACACTTTGACGCGAAGACTCGCAATTTTTTTGCACGACTCGCTGCGAAAAATCAATCAAAACAGAAAAAAGGATAGAAGACACTCGTGATAATTCAATTCCACCCACTGGTGTGTTATTGCTGAGCAGCGAAAGAATGAATGTGCCTAAAAATAGCCATATATAAATTGCTCCCTCGCTCAATTGTTTCATGAGAGAACTTGTGCATTACTCAGAATTCGGAATCCGTCATGGGCAGGAGTGCGAGAAGTATATCTTGGACGCAGCGGGCGACCCTCGGGACAACCACTATTTCAACTCAAAGACTGGAAATGTGCACTTGGACAATTTGGATCCTATCCCAGAGACCGGCTACTGTGTGGACTATGTCGAGTTTGCACCTGATTTCGTACAGGTGATGACAACATTTTGCCAAATTCTCCATGCTAAATTTGACCAGAGACAGTCGAAGCTTTTTATAGTTTCCTAACGATTCTTTCACACTATCTTAAGTGCTCTAATTAATTTCCTCAACCAATTTTAGCTGAGAACCTTTCTGTGCTTCGAAACACCGCCTGGACATAGCAAAGAGCATTTTATGGTATATGCCATTGGTTTGAGCATTTCCTGTCTCTTCCTGGCCGCCACTCTTCTCGTCTACGCTTGTTTACCAAAGGTATAAAGAAATTAGATTTCCCGGACGGAAATACAAACACTCTGTGAGATGAAATTTCCATTTCAGCTGATGAATCTCCATGGCAAAACATTGGTGAGTCACGTCCTGAGTCTCTTAATTGCCTACGCTGGACTCTCCTACATACAATTTGGCACTGACTTTCAACCGAAATTTTGTCACACTGTAGGTAAGTGACGCCGATCAATGGACCTTCAAGTGATTTCGCCTCGCAGGCGAGACAAATATTTACCCACAAAATAATAAACAATTGAGAGGATGATTGATTGAATTTAATTTTTCAGCCATGTTCATCTACTTCAGTTTCCTGGCGGCATTTTCCTGGCTTAATGTTATGTGTACGTTAATGTGAAATTCACTCTGTTTGAAGTAGCTATTTAATTTTCCTTTCCTCTTTTTTTGCACAGGTTTTGACATTTGGTGGACTTTTGGGTGAGTGACTGAAGTATGCAATAATAAATTAATTTTCCAGAACTATTTTAGGACAAGAATATTTTTGAATGATGAACAGAACAGCTGCGAGAAAAATGACAAAAATTAATAACATCAGTGCACAAAAATAAATTATAAGATATTTCTAAATCTTATCTCATCAAATCCTGTTTTATACTGGACTTCTACGTATTATTGTGTGATTTCAGAACCGTGAGGAATTCAAGAGGCATGAGGAAAACTCGAGATGCTTGGAGATTTGCGTGCTACTCTTTTTATGCCTGGGGAATTCCTCTTGTCTTGACTCTCTTCACCTATGCTGTGGACAGTTTCCAATGGTTCCCTGAAGAATATCGGCCAAATATGGGAGTCAGATCGTGCTGGTTCTCCCGTAAGCACATTTTCAGCCACAATCCTATTGATTAAAATTTAATGCAACTTTCTTCTCTCTCATAGAGTCCAATGGTCTGGGCCACAGACTATTTTTCCTCCTTCCGGTGGGCATTCAAATAGTGGCCAATGTGGTGCTGTTTGTCCTCACGACGATTCACTGCAACAAAGTCAAGAGTGAAATCCATCGAATGCAGAAGAACGATTCTGAGAAGAAGAAGCGCTTCTTTGCTGACAAAGCGCGTCTCGTGATGAATGTTAAACTCTTCATCGTGATGGGAGTGTCGTGGTTCATGGAGCTCCTGGCCACAATATTCAAGGAGCCAATTGAGATGTGGTACGTCTCGGATGCATTCAATGTGCTGCAAGGCGTGTGTGTCTTCTTAATCTTCGTTTTCAAGCGGAATGTCCTGCAAGCTATTAAGAGACGCTTCGGAATGGTTGCAAAGTCAAGCCGAGAGGCCACAGCAGCCACCACGAAAACCACTATCACCGGATCGGCACAGCACATCTGTTCCGACCCACATTCGCCGAGATATGGAAAGCTCAGCAAAAATTCCAGTAGTTCGTCTGTAACAATTTCCACCACCAACAATTGCCGCAAGTTCTAAACACATGACTTCAAAGAATCTAATGAATTACCATCTTACTTACTGTATAAGCTTTTCTGTGTTTATTCACAAGTATTTTAGACAAGCATTGTGACCGATGTGTCTTGTGAGGATGATGGAGAAATGAGAATGAGTAATAAAAGACGTGTTACATTTATGAGATGACAGTTAGAAAAAATAGATAAACGTTATGATGGAGAAACATTGAAGAAACGCGGAAGAAACACTGGCTTTTGATTTGAATATCACACACAGCACACACACATCTTTCCAGTGGAAGTCCTTTGGGTGAAAAGTGAGAGCCTGAATGGAAGAAAGTGGGGAGAATTTTAACCCTCCTATCGGGTTATTGATCCGTTCCATAGTGCGCAGTAACAGAGGCTTGTTGCTCCTTTTCAGTCTTTTCACTTCCGTCGCGGACCAACTGGGCGAGTCCTCTTCGGGAGCCACCACTGTCTCTGTAAGGGCACCAGAAGCTGTAAATCTTAACAGGAATTAAGGACTGACTGTTTAGTGAGTGAAAGTGTGGAGAGAACATGAGTAAGCGCCTCCAAACTGTGGCCACGATGGCGTGCATGAAATCCCTTCTTATGATATTCAACTTAGCCTTTTGGGTGAGTAATCGAGCGTCATCAATATTGCACAAGTGTGTTAATCTATGTATTTGATTTTATTAGGCTTCTGGACTGGCAATTCTTTGCGCGGGAATCTGGATGCAGGTGGAATTGCATAAATACCTGGAATTGAATGCGGACTTCTCCAACACTGGGCCCTACGTTCTAGTCGGAACCGGAGCCCTGATCCTTCTCATCTCTTCTCTCGCTTGCTGCTGCACCGTCAAGGGACAGCCGAGCCTTCTCTATCTATACGGAGCCTTCCTGGCCGTTGTCTTCGTCATCGAACTCTCCCTGGCTAGTTCACTCTACGCTTACAAGGATAACCTGGCCGATGGATTCGATCGTGGCCTGAATCAGAGCATGGCTCGCTACGGTCAACCCGGAACTGCAGACAAAACGGCCGATTTCGACACCATGCAGACCCGCATGCAGTGCTGCGGCAGCCACAGCTACGAAGACTGGAACAAACTGAATCCGGCCAGACCCGTCCCACGCTCATGCTGTCGCACCGGTACCCGATGCGACACCCAGGACGAGGATAAAATCTGGACCCAGGGATGCTTCCACAAAGTCGTTGACTTTCTCACCACCAACATGAAAGTGATCGGAGGCGCCGCTATAGGAGTGACGCTGTTTCCACTCCTCGGAACCGTGCTATCCTGCGTCCTGGCTGCCAACATAAACAAAACCAAATACGAACAAATGGCCTAAAACTAATGCCATGAAATATCCATGACTGACGTCAGACGGCCGAACCAGTTAAGTTTTATCTTGAAGATTTTTCTCCAGTCTCGTATGTTATGGACTTTTGCTCTGGATTCATCCTCTGAATGTGATAAAATCTTGTTTCTCCACTAGAGTCAATGGCAGAAGAGTAATTGAAATTAAAATAACTTATAATCAAATTACCTTCAAACCAAAATATATCTTAGCATTTAAAGGAATTAAAACAAAGACCTATACTGAGCTACCAAATATTGATATTTTGAGACATATTGCAAACTATAATGAAAAAAAAAGTAAAATCAATTTTATGACTTTGAAAAATTATATTGGACAATTATTACTTATAAAATGAATGTATGTGTGTCACGATATTGAATGTTGCACCAAATAAAATCTACTGAACAAAAACACAACGCAATATTGTTATTTTGCAATGACGATAATGACAATGACTACTTCTCAACCATTTCATAAGCATTATTCGCACTATTTATTATGTTCTGTGTTTCTTTTTCCTTTTTTTCAATTAGTCTTTATTCAACATTTGACTGTGATTAAGAATACTTCACACTAAATTCTCAATTTCTTTTCATGAAGAAAATTTTATATGATATACTCATGTTATATCTTCATTAAAATTACATTAGAGGAATTTTTTTCTCATTTAACTATTCTTCCCCTTTTTTTCTCGAAAAATATCAATTTTCATTGGAATTCATCTAATAATCCTCATCGAAAAAGCTAATAAATGAGTTTCTCGACAAAAATTCACCTACAAAAAGCATAAGAATTTAAGGCAAATGGTATTCTTTTCATCATATTTAACCGATTTGAAAAGTCTTCTTGGGATATCTGATCAGGCAAATACATTATGGTGCAAAAGTAAGCTGAAATTGCTGCGCAGAGCTCAAGAGCGAAAATCCTAATAATTTACAATGGCACCAATTCTTTCATGTCTTATCATTCTAATCCTATCTCCCGCCACCGTTCTGCATAAAACCCCGCCTAAAAATAAATTACTCTCAACAGAACTAATTTCACTAAAGGGTAGAAAAATATACATGCTGTGAAGCATCTCGCTAAGGTCGTCTTGTCACTTTCTTCAAAGTGTGAGAAAACTATTTAAGTAGTACATTGATCGCTACACAAATTCTAAGAAGTCTCCACTGATCTACATGGTGGAGGCGTTGCAATAAATATCTTGAAATATGTATCTTGCTTTTTTAATATGAAAGAGATTAAATATTCCTTTATGTACAATACTTTCTTTAGACTGTCTTCGTAACTTTGAGGGAAAAATCTTACGTATGTGAAGCAATAAGCTTGATTGATTCCTTGTCATAAGGGGACATAGTCTTCATTCTATATAGAAATCCTTCATGTTCATCCTCTTTAATATTATGTGGAAAGTTTGAGAGAGAGAGTTAATAGAGTTATTTTATCTAATATTACACTTGTTTGACTAGTGTGATAACACAAATTGTTATTGTTGTTTTGGTGTTTCCGTTCAATCGCATTCACAGAAAATCAGAATTTAGTGGGACACACTCTGGGAGCTCTTCAGGGTTTTCATCGTTTGAGGACGCGGATCGAGGGTGTAGTTTTCCTTGGCGCCACTTGAAAGGAAGAAATAAGGACAGATATTGAATTATTCAGCTGTAAAGTTCAACTGCAGTAATACTCAAAGTATTGATCGAAATGGGAATAAACACAATTTGGAAAATCTATTAAATGCCAATGTGCATTATCTCACATTGGCTTGCCATTGTGAGCATTAAAAAGGCACTTTATATACTCACAAGTATCGCGTCAAGTCCTCGATATCCACCAGCATTGAATCCTGTCCCATGTGCAATTCGTCCCTTTCCATAAGGAACTTCACGAGCGTCTCGTTGAGGAGTTCAATTTGATTGTGCATCTCATTTACAATCACCTGGAGTTGAGCGATGTTGAGGTCTGTGAGGAAGAACCTCGACAGACGCCTCTTCTCCGGCGGGAATTGCACACCGATTTTGTCAAGAGAGTTCCGTATCATTTCCGTTATGGGTGATTGTCTCAATCGCTGTCGCTCGATCTGGAAGAGCAGAAGCGTGAACACAAGAGTGTCATTGGGGTAATGGCAAACAAGCATTGCCGCAATTGAGCTTTCTTCTCTACCTCCATTTGCATGTGAGCCATATCCTTGGCCTGAGCCAGGGCCATTCTCGCCTCAATCTGCAGTTGAGCTTGTCGTGTGAAGAAGTTTGCATCCTCCTCGTCCGCCTCGGCAAGTGGAAGACTCATTGGACGTGTGATTTTCGGTCTCACCGTCTTCGGTGGAGACTTCTTCCTCGCGACATTCACCTTAGAGTGACTCCCATGGGAAAGAGCTGACAATTTGGGGCATGTCTCACTATCAGAACTCAGGCTCTCATTGTCTGACGCTGTTTCATTCATGAAGCATATCTGCAAATTCATCCCTGCGAATAGCAAGGAAATATTCCGATTAATTATGCAAATTTCATTTGCCCTGTTTTCATCCACAAACGCCCCTTCTTTTCTGTCACTCCCTATTGAGATCGAAAATTCAATTTCAGCGAAATTATCACTTTGCCAAAACAACCTCATTATGCCACCCAATATATTTATTCTGATGTCTCTTTAGACGCGGCTTTTAAAGTACCAATTTGTTATTTAAGAATGGCGAGAATTCAATTACTCGCTTTTCTCGAAGGGAATGTCTTCACCAAAGTGGTTTAGACTTTCACAGACTTTCTCACTTGAAACTTTTGTCAATGGTTATGTTAAGAGCTCAGTGTAATAACTATATGTGTTATGAAGGATTTAACTTCCACCGTTGGAAAGAATGTTAGACAATTTGGTGTACAAAAGAAGCATATTTGTGGCATCATAACTACAAACTTCAGACTCAAAGCTAGACTCATTGCCTCAAGATAAGAGATTCTTTGCATTAAATTCTCCTGTATTATTGAAGCAAAGAGAATATGAGCACATATGAAAGTCTCACCACTTTGTAATCTGGACTGAAGACTCGGTTTCCGTCCCGGTTTATCGCTGTGAAGAGGTCTCGTGAGATAGTCGTCCTCAGCATCCATGGCCAGTCTTCTCCGGATCTCCTCCCGATCATTCCTCTTCTGCTGGGTTATACAAAAGGAGAGAGTTCCAATAGAAACATGAGTAACAAAAAGCAATGCAAACAAAGAATACTATACAGATTTCCTGTGACAAGAAGTGTAAGAAAACATACTCCCGCTATAAACACAGAACGCGCTGAGATGCTATCCAGACTCTCGTGATTATCGTATGTCAATGTGTATAGATCAAACACAAATAGACTATCTTTCTTGTACTCTCGTCTCACTTTCCTGCAGTCACTTAAATTAATTTCTCCTTCACTCATTTTCACTATCGGACGTGATTTAATGCCGCTCCGTGTGTTATTTTTTCTCTGCTGCACTGCAAACTTTTTCCCTCTATCCCAACTAGTGAAACACACTGTGCCGCATTTGCGATGGAATTGGGACTTAGAGAGCGTTCCTCATGGTCGAAATTGAAATGCAAAGTGCTCTATGGTTCCGAAAGAGACTCTCGAGCGCCCCAAAACGTCTTCACATTTCACTTCAAGTGGTGGTAAATTTATTGTGTGTTATGTTGTGGAACAAATAAAAGAAGCCAGAGACGGAGAGAAAACTTAATAATTTTTATGAAGGTTTCCCCCGAGTGAGACATCACAGAACGATTCTTTCGCGTCACTCGCGAGGAAGTGACTTATGGTGAAATTGAGACGACTTATTTAGAATAAACAGCACTACTGGAGATGCTCTATAACTGATATTTTGCACAAAACAAACAACACTGTGTGGCTGGAAATACAATTAACAGACAGACGTGGTAAAAAGTCAGCATGGTGGATTGTGCAATAAACGCTGATGGAGTGGCTCTCATATAATGTTGATGGAGGGAAAATTTGTCATGGTTGATAACTCAAGCGATGTACTCAAGGTTTGCCCGTAGTTTTCTCTTATGGGGACGACGACTGATATATTGGCAGCATTTGCTGTTCAATGAGCAGAATTTGCTCAAAGTATTTTAGGAGATACTTTGTTCGTCTTCGTTGTATAAATATGCAACGTCAGTTAGAAAAATCCGTTCAATTAATTATAAAAGAAAGAGAATAAATACATAATATTCTCTTACTTATCCGCCCTCAATTTCCTCTCTTCGCTATCGCGTTTAATTAGAAATCCCACTACAGTGTCACTAATTAGAGACCTGATTTTGGAGCTGAAGACGAAAAACGCAGAGCAATACTCACTCGTCTCTCCTCCTCCTTGGCTATCCTCAGATGATTTTCAATTGCTTCCAAGTCAATTTTCGGTAGTGCCGTCTCAATGTTGTAGATGTCGAAGGAAGCTGCAGAGAGTGGAATTTATCACAATATTTCTCTGACTATACACAGAGGGGGAGTATTATGAAATATTTATAGAACCTGATAAATCTTTGTTCTCCTTCTTTATGCTCGTCTCATCCATCGTTCTTCCGCATTTGCTGACGCCTATCTTTGACGCCTTTCTCTCCGTGGTCACTTCTGTGGGCTGCTCCTTCTTGCGTGGCGTCACGACAGCGACACTTGTGTCCTTATCGATGATTTTCTGGGACACTTGACGCACCTTGCGATCGTAAGAGGGCAACTTGCGAATGGCGGACGCAGTGCTCACGTTTTGAGTGGTATTCCAGGGCTTGCAGAACTCCACGGGAGCTGGCAGCTCAATCTGATCCGACTGCTTGGGCTTCACAATTGCCGTCGGGAGAAATGATCGCGATCTCTGAATTTCACTGCCGCGATCCAACTCCACGAGCGAACTGCGCATCGTGATCTTCTCCTCAACTGCCGACAGCTCAGCATCAGCAATCTTCAAATGTGTTATATTCAGAGAATTACTATTTAGATAACATGGAATTTCTCAACGAATGGATCAGCAATTCACACACACTTCGGTGTCTCTCTTTCACTCGCACTCTCACGCCGCCTCCACCAAATTACTTTCATCTGTCACCATTCACATTATCATTATTGAGTGCCTTCGCCAACCGTTGTATGCTCCTCAAAATCCCTAATTGTTGCCCATTTAGAGGATTCAAAGGCATCTCACTTGTCTGCCATCGTTTTAATTTACTTGAATCAAAAGCGCACCCCAGAGGGAAAATCATCATCCTTACCCATTTTCACCAGCTGCCACGCAGGCCTCCCGACGCACGAGCACGCTCGAGAGTGTGTAAAATGAGAAAAATTATGCGATTTATAAATTTTCCCACCCACCATTAAATCACTTTATCACGTCTCCTCGGGCACCCATTTAATGATCTTTCGCCACACTAATAAGTCCCACAGAAATTTTCCTTTATCACCCCAAACATTCCTCACTGTCACCACCAAGTGGACAATAAAAGTATACTGAATACCACAGAAATGAATTAGGATCGACGGGAGATGTGGGCAATGTCCTGTGTATTATCCTGAGATTTTGGAAATTCTCCCGTCACACGCTTTATCACACATTAAGTGCACATAGCATACTGCCCATTTCATTACTTAAATCCACTGCTTTATAGTGAGTGCTTTTCGGGATAGAGCACTTTCTCTGAATGGTTTTGCATTAGATGAAAATTCATTAGATAAATTGTGTGGTACAGAGAGGGAAAATTTAGTGATATTTTCAACCAGAAAAAAACATTGCAAACACGAAATTTCTGTTAGATAAGTTCTAATTAAAAGTTTGGATTGTTTATGGTGATTTGAATGATAATTCCTACCTGTGAGTTTTGTGTTATTTTGTGAAATTTTACATGCATCGTAAATTTCAAAACAACCGCGAACCCTCCCCGCATGATTGTTGTTTAAAATAGCTTATTAGACGATATGTGATGAATATTAAGCGGAGAAAAAAATTAATTTTCCACATAATAAATCGAGATGGTTTATAATAAATGCACGAGCTGCAATTTTTCCCACTACACGCCCACTTTATTGATGCTCATCCCCACAATTTTCTCTTGAGTATTTACATGGGCGAAAAAAGCAGAGGAAAAAAAATGAAGAGGAAATTGGGGTCACACGCATTTCACTATAAATAAACCCCCTCGTGTGTTTGAAGAGTAAAAAAGCGGGAGGGGGAGGGAAATAGAGTGAGAGAGGAGTGCGTAAATTGTGTGGGAGTTAAATATTTTTTGTTGTTCTACAATTCCATTTGTTAAAGTGTGTCGCCGGGAAAATGCTCTGGAAAATGCCGACGCCAGAGGGAATTTACTTCTCCTTTAATCACTTAAAATTTACATGGCTCGTGTGTGGGTGGCGAGAGAGAGAGATGCTCATGGGTGGAGGAAAAGAGTGAAGCCGATCAACTGGCGAAGCAATTAAATCCGATGATTCGTGAAATGACCTCATTCTCGCAATTGACTCACATAATTTCAATTAAAATACTTCTTGCCTCAGCTTCGACTCCAAGTGAGCGCAGGTTGCATGAAATGTTCGCTTGAACTCGCATGGAATTCACAGATGAAATACGAGATTACATCCGAGAGTGTCTCGTGTCGAACTTTTCGCGAAACCTCCTCTAAATGGCACGATATTGGACGTTGTGCGGGGGTGGGAAAAGGGCTAAAATGGCTAAAATTCAATTACCTTGTTGTGAATCAATGCGGAGAAATTTGAGTCGCTATGTTGATTCTTCACCCAAGGTTGGGCGTCTTGGGCCGCAACGGCGAAACTGCCTTCGGATACGCCCTTAGCGCTCTTCCTATATCCGGATACAATTAGTACAATTTCACGCTCAACTTCCTCGCCGAAATCCCCGACTATGTCAACTGGGGACGCACCCCACAGAGCCGTTGTCGTTTTCCTGGTCTCATCTTCCTCCTCTGCGCCATTTACATGGCCAGCATTCACCATTCTGCTGTCAGCCTTGGGCTCCTGAGCCACCACGCCTGTCAGCTCATCCCTCGTCGCGATATGTTCCTCCTGTCTCTCTGTCTCAATTTCAATTTGCTCGGCAATCTCGTCGTCCCGGTGCTGTCGTTTGATCTCCCGACTCCCATCGATATTCCGCAGGAGGTCTGGCTGGAAATTGGCATGTGGCGATGTGTCTGATGGTGTGTCATTCATGCAAAAGTTGTCCGCCTCTGGAGTATCGTCACTCTTGAGCAGAATATCGGGTGTTGGCAAATCTCGCTTTCCCTTAGCATTCTCCTTCATCCATTTGGCATCAACTGCTGCATTTGATATTTTCTCCTCAACCGCCACCAGTGCCAGATTCTTCTCCTCACAGAATATCTTACATTCTGACGTTTGCAACAGATTTATATTCTTCTCCACATCATTGCCATTCTCCGACACAATATTGCTGTTGCTCGACTCAAAGTGATTGTTATTGTTGAAATTGTTCGCAAAGTCAACACCACCCAGGCTCAGATCATTGTCACACTCCTCTGAGACCTCACTGTCGTCCGTCAAGTGTTCAAAATTATAATTGGTAAAGTGTTCTGTCAGAGTGTGTGCCAAATGCTGAAATCCCGGGTAGTTTGGATTGATAATCCCGCGCGTGTAGTTGGGCTCAGGGGAGCTCATCGATGGTGTCGATGAGAAGTCGTTTCCTGCAAAGCAACCCCAAAAGCGGAATATCCAATAAACCCTCTTCAAATTTTCACATCCTAACCAATTGATTTTTCTTCACATCCCACCCATCACCACCCACTTAATTTCCTCAACAGACAACTAGAGAAGGTGCTCACCTCCATCGTCCATTAAACTGTCTGCTAAGCTTGATTCTGTGGAGCATGAAAATCGTGAGCTGCAATTTTCCTCAGAGTCCTCCTCCTCGTCAAGTGGATCCACCTTGTGCAATCCCAGTCTCAAGTAATTTATTTCACCTTCACCGAGTGATTTCACCTTAAATTGCAAAATTCATCCATTTTAGATTAATGCGAGGAATAAGAGTGAGCTGGAAGTGGGCGATAATTGGGGGCCGGCTTTCACCCCTGACGCTCCATAATGCAATTTTAATTCCAAGCAGATTTCCCATTTCTCACATTGCTTTACAGTTTATGCTGAGCTTGACGCTGAGAGATGAATAGGAAGCGCCTGCTTAATCCCGGATGCCCAGAACACAACTACTCTGTGATGGAATTGAATTTCTTATTGGATCGCATGGACGAAGCTACATCCTTTCCATTTAACATACTCACAGAATATTGCAATGCATTATGTATTTGGGGTTGAGGAATTGGGGACATATTCTCTAAGAAATATCGGATCTATGTGAGCTTATAAGGGTAAGGATATCTCATATTTGTTGAATAAACTATATACGTACAAACGTTGTAATGTAATTTATTAAAAAACATAATAATAATAAAGCGTATACCCTTAATTTAGAAGATAATAATTTAACTTTGGTGACAAAAAGCATATTGGACTTACCTGAAAGGAGTGATTATAGTTTTGACTCGCATCCACGGGAAAGACACCTACATTGTCATTGATTTCCCTCTGGCTATAGAGAAGAGTTGCAGCTTCGGCCAATAAATTGTCAGTAAATGCATTCAAATTGGCAGAGTTACGGCCGTTGTTCTCAATTAAGTGTTGCGGCGTGAAGAATGCTGATTGATTGCCTCCTCCCTCGATCAGTTTCTCCACAAAATTGTTATTGTTGCTGCATGAATGGCTCACTTCAACAGGTTGGTTGTACCGCATTTTCGTCTATCTGTTGAAAATGAGACGTAGAACAAATGAGTTTTATTACTCATTATGCAATCTCACAGTGGAAATGCGGTGAGAGTGCAAAAACCGCGTGAAAGAATTCTGCTTCTGTTTTTATGTCTATATCACCATCGGGCCCACAACACTTAAATTGTAGTGGAAACATGAGAGGAAAATTCACTTTCGAACGCGTATAAAGTGTGAGTAGACTGTATGTATAGGATGAATGAAATTCGATACTGTTCTTTGACTGGAATTTCCCTCGGTGACTGCCTGAGTGACACAAAATAACTGGGGAGGAAGCCTCACAAGAGATGTTTCCCTCACAAAATGGATCTCTTTCTAATACATTTCTCCATTTTCTCTGTATTCTGCCCTATGGAAATTCACCCTTCACCACACTCCACCAACGATTCATCATCATTTGACTTCCGTTTGCTAATCTCAAAGACCAGACATTTTCAGGAAATTCACATTCATCGAGTGGCGAAAGTAGCATTTACCCTAATTCCATTCATACTCAGAGACAGCTCTTCAATCAGAGAATTCTCAAATAAGTCTCGAAAAGCTTTTGATTCTTGACTCGATTTGAAATATTTGATGATAACCCGTCACGTCATCAAAGAGACGAACATCAATTTGACTTCTAAGAACTGTCGTATGCGCAAAGCGTAAAATGAATTTATAGACTATACTTTTGTTATGAGTTATAACAGCAAAAACACGAAAACTGATAGAGACATAAACATCCCACACAAACTATAATTTTTAAGAGCTTTTCTGTGCAAAACTACCAAACTTTCAACTGTATCGATGTGTGTGTGTGTAATCCCGAAAGTCCTACGATATCTAGACACAAAAATGTCATTTAAGTTTTATGAACAGCTCAGCATAATTTTAAATTTCTCACTCATACTATCTAGACACAAAATGTTTTCATTTCGTCAGACACTTCCTGAGGCTCTTAAAGTCATGTTTGCTCACCGTCGATGGTGGGAGTGTAGATACACACACCTGACAATAGCCGACAGACGCTTTTGTCCCCCCCAGAGACAGTGTGCAAGTGTTTTTTATTTTCATTTTTCTGCGCCATGAAAAATTTAGCGACTTTGATATCAATCTTCCTATACAGAATTCATAAGATGGAAAAATATAGATTGTGAGTTCTTTAAAGTAAAACCAGGCCGAAGAAGTTCCAGCAAATATTGACGAAATCTCAGTGAAATTCCCGGAAATGGAGTGGATTTGGCGGAATTGGGAACTTTGCCTTTATTAATGAATTCATTCAACATTGATCCATCTCTTCAGGTGAATGAAAGTCTTCGGAGGTTGTGTTGAGGCACCCGCAGGAAAAATCGCACCACTCACGATATCGTCTGTATTCAGTGGAGCATAAGCTATTTTGGCACGTTAATTTATTATTCTTTCCAGATGCTACAACTTTTTCTACATTGCGTCTTCTCCATCTCAGAAATCTCTACTCATTTTCTCCAGCATCTCTTTTTAACAGACTTATTATGAAAATTTCACCTGTTCCCCAGTGTTTTTTTTTGCTCTGCTCAACAGCGTTGGAGTGTTTGCCTCCGCCAAATATAGGAAGTTCATTTGTAAATTTTTTATTTTACAGACTTTCTCTGGATATAAAATTGCCTTCGAGCGTGTTTGCTGTGCACTTGGTGCCATGTCCCGAGAGAACAATATTTTATTTTTTGAATTTTATTTTCCTTCATCATCATTTTTTCGCATGGGACTTCCTCCGTTTCGACTAAAGTTTTCCCGCTTCTCCGCCCTCGGTTGAATTCTCTAATTTATTACTCATATGATGAATACTGAGTGCAGAGGCGATGGCTTTATTCCGCCACAATATCCATATATTCTTTATCAACGCCTCACTGTCACCTGATGCGACAGTGAGGAAGGATGCGAGACCATTTCCTGACATTCGTCACTTCATAAAATATCCATATAACAACCACGACGACGCCCATCCTTCCACCACGAACCCACGAGAAACCGCAGACTTTTGAACCCCACGTGTGACCCCGCAGGTGAGGGAATCCTTCTTAAAATGCCACAAAAGCCCAAAGATAAGGCTCACCATTCTCATATTGTCTCGAATTTCCGTGCCTTTATTTATTGCTACACTCTTCATAACGCTTTCACCGAGCAAAAGTCATGTGTCTTTCACTTTATTCTCAAAGTCAGTCAGGCGTCTCCGAAGGAAAAAGTCCTTGCACGGTGGAAATTTCCAGACATCAACATGAATTTAGCACATTTTATCGCAACTGTGAAGCGCCATGGGGATACTCCTAATGATCATTGCAATTTGCAAACTACATGGAATTGATAAAACTTTTCTGTAAAATTGGTCACCCAGAATTTCACTTCATGTTTCCACTTTATCAGCGAGATGACTTTCAACTTTTCCTAGCTATTCTTGAAATTTCCACAATTATGGAAATAGATGGATATGAGAGTTAGTCGAGGAGTTAGCAAGTGATTCGAAATACAAAGTGTCCAATTAATTTCCCTTTCACTCTCCGAACAAATGTGATGAAAATTCGATGAAAGTGACGCAAGTGCGATAGAATGTGTGCAATTTGCAATTCATATGGCAAATATTAATTAATATCCTGGTGTCATATAGTAAAATTAAATTAAAGATTATATAATATGTGAAAAGTCATTTTACGCTTGCATCTGCTATAATTAATTGAGGGTAAACTTGAAATAATTTTAATTTGAAAATTCATGGTGCATCAGTAAAATTTATTAAAGTAAAATATTGGATTTGAGATGAAATTGCATGAAAATGAAAATCATGTTTGCACATGTCTAAAATATTGAAGATATCCTTGGCAAAATAGTATGCCATCATCTTTGTGAAACAACCCCAATATCAACAATGTATATTTCTCTATTAGATCGCCCCTTTCCTCTGAAAATGAATTGATCCCATTACCCGTAACTTATTCTCACCCACAAATTCATTTTCACCCGCAACAATGTCCTTCTCGTCAGCCGCCCCACATGTTGTTGGAGAGGCGAAAGTCAGAAAGAATGCTAAACTATCAATATATACTTTTGCCTTCCTTTTAAGGACATTATACTGTGAGTATTTCTCCCAATTTGATATCTCTGTTCCCAGAAGTAAGTTGTAGAGAGGAAATGAAAGAAAAAGTCTCAATCCCACCCAATTTTATTGTATTTGTGTATATGTTGCAGATTGGTTGGAACCTTCTTTTATTATTAAACACACTTTCATGTTCAGAATCCACCCCCAGCCCCCACCCAACCAATGAATGCCATTTCTCATGAACATTTTTGCCTATATAGCACCCATTTATGTCTTAAAGGATAATGCTGCTCTGCAAATACGAGACGAAAGAGGAGGCAGAAAAAAAACACAATGAAGAAGGAAAATATTATAAATAAAACAGAGAACAAGAAGCAAACAGCAAAAGTATCTTTTCCCACCCACATCTTAGATCCTCGTGCTCTGACTTTTTCTTCTACAATTGGAAGTGTGCGTATTTTTCTTTATGTCTTACACACCCTCAATGGCCGAATTTAGATTCTACCTTAAAGAGTTTGATTTAATAATTGTGTGTGGTAAACATTTTTTCGAAGATTAAGTAAATTACGGCAATTTGCCAAAATATTCCCACCTCGACCTACTTAAAAGCACATTACAGCGTGAATAGCAGAAAAAGGGGTTCATTTGAGATCACATTATCGGCTGGAGCAACACCTTCGCGATGGTGAGTGTGGGGTGAAATTTTCCGAGTATCCCTGCCAAGTTTCACCTCTTAAATTGTTATACAATTATGAGGCTTTATATCCCCCTTTGGCACGGTGAAAATCAACTTTTGGGCCACTCGCTCGAGGGTGTGGCGGGAGGCTGAAACGTAAAAACGACGGGGTAACATTACACATATTATTATTGCTACCGTCGCACGCGTGTTGCAATGTTTTACCCTCGCCTTGTCTCCTAAAACCCCCATCCGGCCTTCATCCTCTGGGAGAGTCACCTCATTTTATTGACATGACACGGAGGAAAGCCGGCTCCCCAGAGAAACTTCTCCCATCCGCACACAGCCCAGAACCATTTATTTAATATCATCCGGCGAAGGAGACAAAGTCACATATTCAGAAAGCACCCACAGTTCGATTAATGGAACAGTATGGTTTACCAATCCACCCTCTTACATCACCAGCTCACCCCGACGTCGCCCACTCGAGATACACCAGTGATCTACATATCTCTGTGTCCCCAGAAATCTCTGGTCAAGCACTGTGGAATGGCAACATTGCGAAAATTTCCTGTCTTTAATGTCGCCATTAAAGATATTGCAAGGCACAATCTCTTCGCTGTGAGGATTATCAATTAATAAAGCTCAAATGCTTTTACCAATATGAAACGTTTCTCTCAAATTAAACTTCACATGTAGGTTAAAGTGTCTTTCGTATGCTTATATATCTTTAATGTGACACAAACTCAAAGAGTGAAATGGGTTATAGTCCCGAAAATGAAAGCGTGTGTGTGTGTTTGTGCATTAAATGGATATTAATGGTCATATATCCGACGAGAGATGAATTTTCCTGCCACTTTGATTGCAATGCCGGAACCCACGCAACTCCTTGGCTACAGTGCGACGGAATCAATAAAAATGCCATGATGGTATTTCTGGATTAAACATATTATATAGCATTGACCCTCAGTCGCCTTTATGACCCCAAGCAATTTCCTGCTTGTTTAATGGTACAAATAGTGGGAGAGCTCAGTAACTCTCAATGAGTGACAGCGGATTGTCTCTGCGGAAGGGGAGAAAATTGGATCAGACAGGAACGGTTGAATCCCGAGGAAGGTTCCTTAGATAGGCAGCAAATATAAGTGCATTTGTATTTATGGACGATTTTGCGAATATTGATAAATTGAAATCGTGCAAGGTATTGAATATCCTCGCTTCGAGCTGAATTTAATACGTAATTGCTGCTCTCCCTCAATTCAATAAACAGTCTGCATTCTATGCAGTAAAACTATATTTTCCCCCAGCGCTTTCATATGCAAATATGCATTGGAAAATGTGGAAGTCGTGAGATACATATTAATACACTATAGTAAATTGAAAGCATGTACATACATATGTTCATACAAGTTTAGCTTTTCATGGTGAACAGAAAAAATGTTTCTGATTTAATTAAATCCCTCATGCAAGCATATTGAGCTTCTATGTTTCTGATTTAATCAAGTATTGCTTGTGAAAAAAAGACTGTTATTGAGTTGGAAAGAGGATAAAACGGATACAATAACAAGAAAATTCATCTAGAGACTCTCTGTGGATTACAATTTATGGTGAACGGAGTGAGTTGAAATTTAAGTCAAATGCAACATAATATACAGCTTAGCTCTTAGCGTTCTCGGTGTACAGAAAGGAAATTCTGCCTTGTCAAAACCTGGGACGATGAAAATCCTGAAGCAATTACGAAACACTATTTCTGCCACATTCGGTAAATGTTGCATGAATATGCCTCTTATGCCCTTTTTGTTTATGAATTATGTTCCTCTCGACAGGGTGAATTTCATGAGAAATTTCCGTGAGCATTAATAATGTCCACGTCTCATGTGGCCCTTACAAATTCTCGCCGCACAGTGTGAACAATGTTCAAATTTAATTAATATAAAATACCTGGAAGCCGCGAGCAATACATTTGTGCTTTCAATATTAATCAGACCTCCTCTTTTTAAGTATCATTGAGCAATATCACGCGCTATTAGAGCAAACAAATTATACATGGGGTAAATGTATGATTTTGGAGATTGAGAATGAAAGCAGTGCGCCAAGTGTTATGTTCTATCCTATATCGTACAATTTCAATTTCGATCGATGGAATATATTGTACGGCGTGCGTGTGTATATGGTGTCGGATGACAGTGGGAGTAGGATTGATTGGAAGAACGGTGGGAATTTTCCCGGAATTTTAATATAAAACAATACAAAAGCTGATGCTCCACATCTACAAAAAGCGCGGTGAAGAAACCTTTGCTTTCATGAACTATGCGGAAGGACACGGCGGAATATATAATGAGGATGATAAAAAGGGTGTTAAATGAAAGAAAATGAATTCCTCGTGGGAAAAGCGTACAGAAGTGACACAAAGGCTCCACACGTTTTTCCTTTTCGTCTTTTTCCACTGAAACTCACCCCCAAAATGGCCATGATTATTTCCTGAATGTGGTTAGGAAGTGACGCAAATTTAAATCCACGAGTTTTCTCTCTGTCTGCACCTTCATGAAAATTTCACCACTCAAATTTACCCTTAATTCTTGTCTCCACCACCAACAAAAAACCACCGATGGAATCCGATTTACTGCCTCTGTGTTTTCGCTTTTAAGTCCCAACCCTCACTCGACAGTTTCCCTATAAATAAATTAAAACACGAAACAGCGAAAGAGATTAGGGGAAAGTGACAAAAATGGCCAAAAAGGGTTGTGGAAGGACGCTTTTTGCTGCCACCGACCAGTAACACTCAAGCACACCACCAGAAAACTTTGAGTGCTTTTGTTGGCGAAAAAAGATAACCTCTGAGCAGGTTGAGAGCTTTTCCCGAACTGAAAAACCCTCTCAGCGATTCTGATTTCGTCCTCGAGGAAAATTTTGCTGCACACCATACTCTCCCATGTCTCTCTCCCTAACTCTCTCTCTTGTGCTCATGCTCTCTGGCACATGTGTGAGTGTGTTTTCTTTTTCGGCTGCAACCCCTGTCGAAAGTTCACACATATTGCAAGTGAAGTTTTCGACAGAGTTTTAATACTGTCCTAGTTCTGTAAAAACCTCTCAATTGAATCTTTTGCTGTACGAATAAAATGTAAAATTAATCGTCTAATTAGGACATTTTTAACTACTATCGCATCTTTTGGGCTTTGTCGTGGATAATGTGTTTCGCATGTCTTGTTAGGAATCTTTAGTAACGTAAGTTTACTTAGGCATACACACTTGACGGTTTTTTCTCATTCGGGGTTGAAGAGAAACCGTGGAAAATAGAGAAATATACGGTAAAATTCAATGAATGTGTGCGAGAGGAATGAAACACCACTTTACCATTGAGTGGAAATCTGAGTGTATGACGCTAGAGCACGCTAGTTTTCCACCAACAAATACCACTGAATATCTTTGAGCTTTTCCCCCAATGACTTTTCCGCCGACGCTCTCTCTCTCTCTCTCTCTCTCTTGACGTTCCCGTTGAGCGGAAGTTCACGGAAAAATCATCTTCTGGTCTGGCAGAACATTGACACGATGGAGCGTGAAATTTTCCTCAATCAGTGACGCAACATTTTACGCTCCTTGACTGACAAATAATCAAATAATCCATGCCTCTTCTCCCACCTTCTCATTATTTATTCCCTAAATCCTCACCATGGCAGCAACAAGGAGTCAGGATGTAGACGCAATGGATTGTAAAATTCTTAAAGAGGCGGAATCGTGAGGCAGAAGAATGGTGAAGGATAAGGGGCATAAATTACTCAATTTCCATCCCAAAGAGGACACCAGCAAAAGAACATCAAGATAGCAAGTCAATTTTCATTGAAGGATCAACGGGATGTCGTGAGAAAAGGTCCCATAATTGAGATGTTCTATCGGAAAATTGAAGACTTGACAAACTATTGCGTCTGGAGGAAATTTTCTTCTCCCTACCAAACATCACAATTCTTGCTAGGAAAATTTTTGCGCCTGTGTCTTTGCTACAGAAACACTGTCCAAGCTGCAAGTAGTGGAAATGTGACGAAGAAAAGCTCCTCAAGAGATCGTGTACTGCTATAGCGAAAAAATCACACAAAATATTAGATATCAAAAATAACAAACCGCTTGATTATTTACTTCAAAATACTCCGAGTATATAAGCTAATAATATGAGTGTATAATGTAGAAAGAAATTGTGGTAAATCATGTGTATTAGCTGTGAAATTTTTAGCTTCACAGGAGAACCCATCAATCTCAGCCTTATTTTCCACCCACATTCAAGAAGATATCTCGCAGGTTTTGCAGTGACATGAAAATTAAAGCATGAAAATCTTATCGTGCGGAAGAATGACTTCTAATGGCTTTTATTGTGTTCCTTTCACCATTTCGGGTCCACAAGAGTACATACCGACCGAAAATAAACCTAAAAGATTCTAAATTTGCCATATTCCACTCTCTTGACTTTCACGGCCATATCTATACTTAAGTATCGGTATAAATCAATGTAATGCGCTTTCAAATTAAATTCAATTTGCGATTATTTCCCCAAGAAATTGATGAGAATTGAATTTTTATTTGAAAAACGAACTTATCGCAACTCCAGGGACGCGGAGATAGACAATAATTCACTCACCGTGGTAATAAAATTAAGGAGATTGTAAAGAAAATGTCTGCATGGGGAGAACATCGCATTTAAATATCCCTTCATAGGGGAAGGCATTTGAGGCGCAGCGAAGAAAAATGCCCCCCTTTTGGATACGACATAAAAATGAGAGTTGAGCTGTCGGGGGCGAGAAACGAGGGTGAAATAGATTCATGTGATTGTTCAGGAGTGATCCAACAGGCAAAGAGAGGCATTTTATGGACCAAGAGGCTGTCTATCAAAATATTACTTATTCAACTGCCCATTTGCACTTTATCCCCCCACGAGGGGCTCCGCAAAAGAGAGCACGTGAAGGAGGCAAAATGATTTTTATGGAGTCAGAACACTCGAGATTCCTCCCTCCAACGCACAATCCAAACACAAATCCTCATCCTCTGCGGGGGTGAAGGTGGAGAGAAGCCAGAGAGGATAAAAAAAGTCATGTCGAAGGAAACTCCTGGGGTAAGACGGATAATAAATTATTATGTCTCCTAATGTGTTTAGACAGTGGGTGTGTGAGTAAATAAAAAGATTTATTGAACTGCTCTTTCCAACAATATCACTAATTAAGGAAACTTTTCTACCACACGACTCCTAATCTCAGACCACTACTGCGAGGCCAAATTGAAATCTGTCGCCAAGTGGATTATCTACAACATCATCTCATATAGTTTATCTCGCTGATAAAAAGTGTAAGTTTTTAAAGGCCCAATTAATAATTTACAGTTGAGAAGTCAAATAGAAATTTATTCAGCATGAGTAGACTTTGAACGTGAAATAGCAGCACTCGGCAAAGTGTAAAAAGCTCCTTTGCATTTTCCCTTGTGCATTCTCACCCTTCAAACTAAATATTGATTTTTCCCGGCAGCATCGCCCAATGCTCTTTTTTCACCATCATTTTGCTCCTTGAATCCGCTGAATGCAAGAAAACTAACACAAAATGTTAGCATCAAAGCATAAAAGGAATCCTTTGTTGTATCACGAAGAGGGAATTTCAGAGAGATATATATCCGAAAAAATCAGAAATACACAATGAAAATATATAGGGCAGAAAAGCACTTGTGTAGCTGATGCCTTGTAATATTTCATTTTTATTTCCTCTTCACCTTTCTTCCTGTGATTTTCCCGGCTACACAATCAGTGTGAGTCAGGGTTGTGAGGGTGAAATGTAATCGGAAGATGTTCCATCAAAATTCCACCGAATAGCTTCCCATTTAGACAAGGAGAGGAAACGAGAAATTACTGAAGGTGTGACCACGTTTATTCTGCAGTATAGACAATTTTCCCCACGGGGAAAAGGTCAAAAGGGTGAGGACAATAGCATGACGGCTGTAAAGTTGATTTTTACACACAGCACAATTTATAACCACAAGTACAGGAAAAAAAAATCATCGATAGAGAGTTGAATTTTCTCTCACATAATTTATTTTTAGCTTCAACCCTACGAGAGCCTTCACACCAGAATTTTAATGGATTTCCTCTTTTTCTCTTCCATTTCTGTCAATTCATTGATTGGCAAAAAAAGGGGGGACGAGCAAAAAATTTGAACGAGAGGCAGTTCAAACTCTTCCTGTTGGCAGAAACGAGGGTTTGAGGGACTCAATATTGAGGCATAAAAATTGCTTAAGAATTCACTTCCCATATCTCTTAATGGAGTATATAAATAACGTGAGAGAGTTTGACATTTAGAAATGCTATGAATTAGAAAGCCTACACACATTTGAAATCGATATAAATGTTCGTGGGGAAATAATTTAAAAATCCTTATTGACACTTTCAAGCTGGATTTAAATTGAAAAACTCTGGTCAGCTTTGTATCTAAATTGCTCCCAAAATCTCCTGCATGACACCAAATCTAGCTAAATTCCAAGTAGGCAGAAATATGTATGTGAACAAAAAGAAAAAAAAATTGTCCTCAAAACCTCTTTTAAAAATTCCACCGTCAGTGGTAAATTAAGAAAGTTCAAACAACTTCCAAATTATTTCATTAAAAGTTGTAACACCCACGAATCTCGCATTTTTATTCAACCAGATACTCCTCGTGATTCCTCGAGGGTCATGTTCTGAGCAACATTAAATGGGACACGCTAACTTATGGAGTTTCCTTGTGGAAAATGGCTTGCAGTGAAGCAATTTTTGGTCGAAAAGGAGCACTTGACTAATTTTGGATCCTGACAAGCTCAATGAAAACATCAATTAGCATTTCTGCAGCCCCTTTTAAAAGTTGCTAATGTAATATATAAAGTCCATACACTCTTGAAAATTATGTTGGAAGTCTGGATGTGGACTTTTGGGGTGAAACGTCCATAAAAATTAATTTGATTTAAAGGAATTTCCTCCGCCAATTGAACACTCTTTCGCAATGGCCCGAGGGAATCAAAAAGAAATATAAGACGAAACTTCACCACTCGAGCCAAGACTGGAACAGAGGGTGAGTTTCATTCTCTTTTCCTTTCCATTGAATGCCTTTTGTTGGCCTCATGAGATAAACGGAGAAGAAAGGCAGGGAGAATGGGTGAGATAAGGGAGGGCTGAAAATATTGCAAACTAGTTAGATTTTATTGATACTTTTTCCTCGATTTATTTCCACCCACACCCGCCCCGCATATAGACATGCCCCTGAAATCCCACGGCTCTATCGACATCCGACGAAAATCCGGAAACTAATTTACACACAATTGAGAATAGCAGGTGAGAGAGGCCCTCCCGAGAAATTCGATAGAAAGCCATTGTACGCTGAAGAATGTTGCCCCCAAAGGAAGGGGTGTGAAACAGCGCACATACGGTTCGACGTTGAAGGAAAAATTAACAATTTATTGCACGGCATTAACGATCTCTCTGGGTGAACTTTTCATGCCCCGTCAACTCATAAATCTACACATACCCAGAGTACAGCTCACATAACATCAAATCACCCCCCGAAAAATGCGCGCGAGTTACTTTGGGGCAATTTTTTAACACACACGCGGAGCGGCTCATTCCCATATCGCAGCGAGGAGGGATGATTCAGGAGGCACTTTCGCAGGGGGTGGCCTCGAGGGTGGCGCCGGTAATTGAGTGTACAGTGTAATGGGCCAAGAATTCTCCATGTCATGCATGGAAATTGAGGAAGAAAATATCGTTAGTTCCACACGCAGACGAGTAATGACACTTTTTAGCACCAACACCGAGGAGCCCTGCAAGGATTCTTTCTAGTCAACGGCCTCGCCTCATCTGCCTAAAAATTTAAATTCACTCATGTTTGGCGGCGTGGAAGCATCGTCAGATGACTTGGGAATGAATTGGGGGGAAATATTATATTGCTCAATTGGACCATCAAGAAGACATGGATTCCAAGTCATTTTCGAAATAATTAATTTATACGGATCGCCAAATTCTGCAAAATGGCAGTCAGGGTTCGTGCAGAGCTTCCATATGATTTTATATTTTGTAATTTCATCTAAACTTGCCTGGGGAAAAGTTATCTTAAAAACCATAAACTTTACTACTCACTGTAGGACTTGATGAACTATTAGGTTCGTGAAGCATAATCACATATGTATGCGCTTAACTTTACATGTATGTATATTTTGGATATGGCATTGAAAATTTATGTGATTCTCCATGAATGATGAGCAAACAATTCTTAGATGGATGTGTTGTTTTTAGACGGCAATCGATCAATATTCGTTACAGCAGCGAGCCTAGCTTTCGGTATTCATCAATAAATTATTCACAAAATGACAAAATAAGCTTATCATATTATGAAAAGCATTAGTCAATTCCAGATTTTCTAAAGTGCTTAAGGGATTTATCTTATAAATTGGAAAATTGAACGAATCCGCTTTCTATGTATCGCTGAATATTTCAATTACGCTAATGCTGATCCCTCAATCGCGCGGGATAGTATGATTTTTAAGTCATTCCAACTGATATTTGATATGTACAAGATAGAACTATAAGACTGGCGGAACATAGAGTAATGCTATTCTGATGCACCGTGATATAATTTGAATATATACGACTGGTGGGATTGTGTTTTACGATTTCAATTTATTCTTGTGCCTATTCCCTTTCCATATCTTGGCAGCGAAACAGGAAGGATATCAGGGGGGGATTTCCAGGAACAAAGGAGGAAGAAGAAAAAGGCAGAGCACGGAGAGATAGTCAATTTCCTCCATGTGAAACTAATGATTTTCTTTCTCTAGCTATGTCTCTTTGTGGCAAAAATTTCTGCCATATCGCATAAGTTTCATCTTTCAACGAGACTCATTTTGAATAATTGCAAGGAAAGAAACGGAGCGGGGTGGAAGTGCTGTAGAGGGGGAAAACTGCGGGTGTGGGTGGAGAAATGTGTTCTGTTGAAAAGCTTAATTATGTGTGAATTTGTGTGGGTGACTGTTTTCGCCGAGGATAACACAAGAGGACGCAAATTAAGCCTCTATCATGGCAAATTTAATAAAACTCATTTATCAAAATGATCTTTTATGGAATCTGTTCTCTTCAGGGAGACAGATTCACCATCCTAAATATCATCCTTGTTCTCAACATTGTTATAACATTATTTTTCATGTCTACTGTCTGCACTGGTGTAATTGCATCAATTAATAACAGAGGCTGTCGAGTGAAGTAGAATTTTTCAGAGCCAAGGAAAATTTCATACTTTCACCAGCAAAAATTGGTGCAAAATTTAGTATTTTTCTCATCAAGTAGAATTTTAATTTCCGCAGAAATATTGCTATGCTTTCAGCGAAGCTTTCACTATCTAATTCAACCCCTGACTCACCAGACGCAGGAAGCTTATGAGACGCTCCAATTGGCGAGGGAGCGAACGGACGGAAAAAGCACCCTTGAAGTCTCAATGTTGCCATTGGACCCTAATTATTTTATATCGTGCTCGCCAAGCACGACACTGGGTGGTACTTTTCCCACCCCTTCGACGATGATTCAGAGGCTGGCGAGAGATAAATCCAGCAAAAAGTGCCTGCCATCAATCTAAATTCCTAACCCACATTTGCATTCATTTGAAAACCTCCACCATTGGGGACAATTTGGTCCTTTTCCCTCTTCATTTTGGCGAATTGACAATAAGGGTTGACTACTTACTTACTCTTTGGCCACTTGGTCCTCAATTATCCGCGATTTTCTCCTAAATGAGATGCCGAGCGTCCTTGATCGACTTGCAGTGGAAAGAAGTCCGACAGATGAAGGTGTGAGCAATGTTAATTTGACTCTCGAAACACTCACACTTATTCCATGTTCTGCCAAGAGAGAATCACGGAATTTCACAACACAATCAATCTCAGTCGAGGTGAAGAACTCAACTGAGGGAGAAATAAGAATACCTCTCGGAGTCTCTGTCTCGTAAAAAATACACAATTTCCGGACACCCTCGAGCGAAAAGCTCTCCTGACAGTGGTGAACAGTGGTGAAAATGCGTGGAAAATCCGAAGAAGCTTTGTGGAAAGTTAATCGAGACATTGGGTGTTAGTCTACGATATGCAGAGAATATCCTTAGTAAGAACATGAAATTCTTGTAGTTAAGAAATAACTAAAGTTTGCAATTGTAATGAAATTCTCTATTCATAACAAAATTTATGACTTACATTATTTCAGCATTTGCATGAGTTTTTCGGCACTTTCCTGAATTTCCATGAATGCTTCATCGCTTCTGGCCACTTTAGCTATATCTTCGAGTCTCGCAGGAAGATCTTTTGCTGCAAATTTCAAATCATCTCGAGCTCTGTTATGTGAGCAAAAGTTTACTGTGGCTTGCAGAATGTTTTGGAGCTTGTTCATCACTTGAGAGTTTTCTAATTCCTCTCCAGTGACTGGAGCAATGTGTCTTGCGAGGTACTTCATGATGCCCATGTCCAGGAACTTATCCACAAAGTCCGGATGGCACTCTGGAATTGCGGAAAGGAAGAAAGTAATTTTTGTGATAAGTCGATTCTCTTTCCGAGCCTCCAGAACAGCCACAATCTTGTCAATTTCTCCGCTTGTAAATAGATTCTCCATCCCCGGTTGGAAGTTTGTCACTATGGCAGAAATTGCAGACATCGCTCGAGTGCATATTGGCTCTGGTTGGTTCAGCAGCGGTGTAAGTTCCTGGAGCATCTTATTCTCAATAAGCTGCTGCTGACAGTAGGGATTGTTTTGGGCCAGATCAGTGATTAGACCAGCAGTTTCTGCTCTCACACTCTCAAAAGGGGATTTCAGGCATGGTTTCAGTATGATAAATCCGCCAATTTTGTGGAAATTATCCGCCTGATCTATGCTCAATATGTAGTGATTAATCGTCTCAATAGCATCCACTTGGTCAGACTCTGAGGACGAAGAATCCATGATAACTTTAAGAGCATCAGTCAATTCCTTGCAAACATCCACAGTCATGCTCTTCAGAGCCTCTTCCAGAAACTTCCGATCCTGTAGCAAAGAAAGCGGATGATTAATTTTGAAATAGGCAGCAGAACATTGATCTAACCTCTGGGTTCATCGGCTCCATTGTACTGTCCTGAGGAGCATCTTCCTTCTTAGTAGCTTCCATGGCAAATTTCAGAAGGCCCTGCAATATGAATTGTTTTTGCTGGAAACTTCTCGAAAGTGAGTCATTTTAGGATTCACCTGAAGACTGCTCGGTTGTCTAGGCTGCTCTGGATGATCTCCATTTGCTCCTGAGTTGTCCTTTTCCATGATCAAATTTTTGCTATGACGGTGTAATAAGAATTAATGATTTAAACGTGATTTAATTTTGTGAGATTTTGCACGCTGCTTTTCTGCACTGTGTTTACAAGCTTTGTTCTTTTTATGGCATGTCTGTCAAGTCAATTGAACGAAAACGTGCAGTGAAATGCGTCCACTCGTTCAAAAAATATCGGTTAATACTCTAGAATATTGTGTAAACCGGTTTAACTCAAACCAAGCTCTTGATGTCTAATAAATGTTATTGTTTCCTTCATTTTTACATGCATTTTTCACTATAAACGTAATAATAAAGCCATGACACGATATACATTGATCTGCGCATGTTCGGAAAAACGTAAATATTCCTATTTCGAATAGGCACTTTTGCGGGCAGTGTGCACTGAGTTTGCGTGAATTTTCCCCGATTTTCTATGGAGAAGAAGACTTTGATCGATCTCGGGCAAAATCTCTTCTAAAAGGTGATAAAACACAATTATTATTGTAGTTTTTCTCTTGAAATGCTAGTGAAAAAGCATAATTGACGAAGTGGGATTTGAATATTTACAGAAGTGCAACGAAAATCGCGTAAAATGTGGAAAATTCTCATCATTTCCCTATTTGGCATATTTTTCTCTGCATCCGGAAGCTTGAATCTGGACCCCATTTTCGTGTCAGAACTTTTTTCCCTCCGAATTGATGCGACTTATTTCAACTGGAGCACAACTTTGGCACCCAATCAGTATGTTTTCCGACCGTCTCTTGAGGGATATCCCGATTTGCCATCCTGGATGCGATATATGTACAGTCAAGAGCATCGAGCAGGATTCTTGTACGGCACTCCGCCGGACAGATTGGCTGGGAAGGAAGTGAGACTGGAGATTGTTGGCCTGAACAAGCACACATATGAGACTCGTCAGATAATCCTCTCTCTTTGGATGACGGGAAAAATAGCAGCCCGAAATGTTGTTCAGATGAAGATTGACAATCTCGATTGGGTGCACCTCATGGATCCAGGGAGGATTGAGAATCTGAAGAATATCTACCAGAAGGATTTGTGGCCAGAGAGTTCTAAGGATCTGCACATTGTCTTCATGGAAGCCGCCACAAAGATGGGGGCTCGTCTTCCAGTGCTGCCTCAACTCCATGAGGGCGTAATTGTGCACCTGGGCAGCAATGCTGTGTTCTCCGAGAGACTCCTGGAGCTCCAGGAGGAAGTGAAACCTCTGTACAAAATTTCTACCTGCAATTACAAGAGGACTTCTGTGCAGACAATTTTTGAGAATGGAGGATTTCGATTGGATTGGTGCGCCTTTCGAATTGTTGGTGATGATTCTGGAGCTGAGGATAGTATGAAAAATACTCAAGGAATTGGATTAGATCGTGGTCAGGACAGATGGCTGGGAATCAGTCGCTCAGATGCACCGCAGAGAAACTATATTGATGAATTCACATTCGCAGTGGCTATTCCTGGAATGATCCTGGCAATACTCGTGGCTTTTCTCTCCTGCATTCTCTGCTTCCAGCACAAAACCATGTATGGACAAAATGCTTTCATTTACCTCTTTTATCATGTTTACTTTTGTTTACTTTCTCACAGAGATGATCCTCATTCTGATTATTTCTTTGAAACAATCTTTCATCTGTGCAAAGAATTCAGGTTTTAGTTATTTTTTATTTTATTACTCAGAAATTGGCATTACTTTCTTCTATTTCTAATCAATTGTCTTTTGCAGAGAGATGAAAAAAAATCCAACTGTTCCCATTGTGAAATTAACGCAGGATTCAGCCAATTATCCCACTACAACTCTCTTGAAGAGTCTCAAGGATGCGCCGAACTTGAATGCTGAGAATTTGAGTCTTCATTCACAAAGGTAAGTCCGAGGGCTAAATATATTCAACATGAATAACTTATCCTTATGTTTTCAGTCCTAATCATGGCCAGGAAGCTATCACTGACTCCAATGTGAATGTTTATATGCGCCCAAAGCCGCCTCCATACAAGCGGAATGGTGTTCATATATGACAATCAGCTCCTCGAGTGCTCTTTTGCTGAAGAGACATTTATCATGAAGCGCATCTGTAGTGAGAATGTAGCCAGAATATTACTTTCATGAGCTATTACCGTGGAAAATCATTAAATCATTAAGTTTACTTTATGTAGAGAACGGCAAAAGTGTAGACATCGCATGAGTTCGTTATATTAAACTCCGTGCCATAAAATTTATTTGATGCGTGTGAGCGATGTCGCCATCTGGCGGATAAGCAACGGATGAAATAGTGACAAACGCCTTCTTTGGAAGGAAAGAAGCAGTGTTTTTGGTTTGGTTTCCAAGTTCGGTTTTTCCTGCGTTTCACCCCCAAATCCCAGGAGATTTTCCTGCAAAATTAAAGGTGAGTGCACTTGAGTGCTATTTCCGCGACCGCCCCTTGAAATTGTGCTGTGGATGGGAGTGTGAGCAATCTTCGGGGAGGTCTTCTCCGCCCAAGAGTGACGAAATCTTTTGGCGCGCGTCACTCTGGGCTTCGTGAATAGCCCACTAAATTCGCTGGAATGGGTCTGAATTGCGAGAAACTGCCCCTCAAGGCCCTAATTGAGCAGTTGCGGGTGTTGGCAAAAGAGTCCCATTGATTTTATCGGTGGGTTGCATTCATTATTGACACGCCACGGCTTGGCGTGTGACCTCAGACGGCTCCACTTGAACACCTCCTGCGATAGGGGTTGTTTTCACCCCGCCATGAACACCCTTAGGGCTCGTCCGGAGGCAATGGAAATGGAACAGGTTTTATATTTCAGCCATTTCAACTTTAATTCCCCTCGCGCGAGTCTCGAGTGTCGCTGTTTTTGGGTGTATTTGATGACTCTGTGAAGGAGGCTCCGAAGAGCGGACAGTTTGACTGTGTTGAGAGGCCGCGAAAAGCTATAGCAATGTGAAATTTATGATCATTTTTCTCCACTCTTGAGACTCAAGAAATATACAGAGAAATGCTATGCTCTCGCCGGCTGTGAGATAATATTTTTATTTTAGGAATCACTCAACACACTCAAGAGGCGAATTGTGACAAAATCGTGCACGACAAGATGGATTTCATCACGGGATCTTATATTTTCTCGGCAATATTCTCACCCACATTCGAAGGAGAATCGCAAAATTCTTCACGCGAATCGCCTCAGAGTTCGCGAAGGAAATTAATTGGAAAGGAATTGCATGTGACGCTCATAACACCTTCTCAGTGAATTGCTTTCACAATCTCGCGGGAGTGTTTATTGATTTTGTCTGCAAATAGATCTTGCGCCTCGGATTTAGAGGCTCTCCGAGGTGCATTGATACGTAGAGTTTCACCGTTGTCTTGAAACAGCCCGGATATCGAGTGGGTGTCGCTGGACAATTAAGTGAATCACTCGGTGAATTAGCAATTGTAGACATCCCAGAGAGATGTTTCTTTCTGGAGGCGGAACGATACATACGGCTCTAGAGCCATTCAATATTCACTGAGGCCTCTAACAAGTCTGTACCGGTGGAGCTTGAAATTGCTTCTCAGCAAAAGTGAGGAATTCAAAGAGATCTTGTTCTTGATCGATAAATGATCTGACAACAGTCAAAGCATTAACTTAACACATAACGAAATTTTTAAATCTTCGGACAAGCTCTTTTATGTACTAAAAACATTGTCAGGAGTTAATAGCTTCCATGAACACACTTCATCAGACAATCACGTCTGTAAAGAGGCAATAAAATAAAATGAATCACAGAAATGCTTAGCAATAAAAATAGCTGGCAAGATAATTTTCCAATCTTCTCTTATCAATTTGCTCATTCATGCATGAAATTTGAAAAAAAAAGTAAACAAGTATCCGAACTGTACAACTCACCTTATCAGGCACTTGACTCAGAAATACTTTTGATTGATTCCTTATCTATTTATTACTCTTTCTTCCGATTCTCCTCGACTTCGTTGTGTTCCCATGCAAACACACAAAGATTTGTAGTTGCATTCGTAATGTGAATGACATAATACCGTAAACTCGCAGCTCTTCGGTCATATGTTTATTTATGAATAAAAAGAGGAGGCAAATGTAAAGTGAGTTGGAGTAGTTGAATGAATGTGTGGATTTCTACATACGAAACAATCTTCTTCGTTGTGTTGACTTTGTAAGTTCTCCGATAAGTAATCATCATTAAAAAGACAATTTTGTGAGAAATATTTATTTCGTGACAAAATTTATAACAAAAAATTGAGTATCAAGATGATTTTGTACTTTTAGCTTGTGATAATCAAATTATTCTCACAGTGAATCCCTGAAATATGTCAATTTAATCAGTGACTAAAATTGACGTGATTTTATCTCTTCTTCAATTGTATATCTGACGATATGACAACATTGTGATTTTAAAAAGAAATTCTCGTGAATCATTGTGAGTCGTTCATGTGAAAAAGTGTTAATCACTAGAGTATTCAATTTAGCAAGAAATTAATTACTTTCGAGAGGAGTAAATTGCAACCAATATCCACCTTCAGGGGTTGATGTGAACAATTTGGGATTGAGACAGAAAGGATCTCTAGTCTTAGGATCCACTTTCAAGCTGTAGTTCTTGATAATAACAGCCACAGCAATTTTCACCTGCAACATAGCAAATTTCATGCCCATACAAATGCGCGGTCCATCACCGAATGGCATGAAAATGCCCGCATTCTGAAACTTCTTAGCGTTTCCATCGACAAAACGATCGGGATCGAAAGCTTCGGGATTTGGGAAGTGTTCAGCATCTCTTTGAATTATATAGATGGGAATGACGACGGGTGTGTTGGTTTCAATGAAGACTTCTTCGTCATCGCGAAGAGGAAGACTGCAGCCTTTGGTGCATCTCTTTGTCAAGTACGGCAATGGAGCATTGATTCTGAGACTTTCAAGTAAAACTCTGTGCAGATATTCGCACTGATTACTGTTCGGAGTTGCAAGACTCTCCAGAGAGTCCAAGCTTTGTAGCTCATCTCGTAATTTATCTTGAACTTCCGGATTCTTAGCCAATTGGTAGAGAGTGTGTGCCAAAACGTTGCTGCTCATCTCGTATCCATCGATGAAGAATGTGAAAACATGGCCAAGGATCTGAGCTGGTGGTGTTCCCTTATTGATTTGCAAATGCTCCATGAAAGACATGAAATCCTTGCCGTCTGTGGGATTTTCTTGACGCTTCTGAGTCACTTCTCTGATAAGTTTCTTCAGATATTCCACTACGACTGACTTTATGAGGCGAGGCCGAAGAATGCCTTTGAGTACTGGAAATAATTGTATGAGCAAGAAAGAAATGAGAAAAGATCCACTTGGATTCATCAATTCTTCCCCTATTTTCATCATTTCGGAATTATCGTCCTTAAAAGCGCCTCCATCAACACGGAAAATGCAATTTCCAACAACGTCTACGGAAAATTTAGTCACTAATGTTCGTGCTTCCAATACAACGGGACTTCCGGACGATTGTACAACTTTGTCCAAATGCTGAACAAGTCTTTTGGAAATTTCCTCTATGAGAAGAAACATGGATTTCATCTGAAATAGACACAAAGGAAGAATATCAATTGAAGGACACTTGAAGCAGACAAATTGTTGTACTCTGTTATCCGTGAAGGCAGGAGCCAGTTCTGCTCTTCTCTCCTTCCATTCCGCTCCCTTGAGCATGAAAATCGTCTTCGTAAACACTGGATCACTGTCTTTGTTGAACATATCAGCGAAATCATTGTCATGGAAATTCTGGAAATTCTTCACAGTGACCATTTTCACAAGTTCAGGTTTCAGCAGGAGAATTTGAGGCTGCATCATGTTGAAGAATCCCGCCAAATTAGCCTCTTTCTTCCATTTGTAGTATATTTCCTCCATGTCGTACACGGGACTTCTCTTCTGTGTGAAGATCGATGGGAGATTTCCCACAATGAAGGCAGCTTTGGGACCGGGAATTCCTCGCTTAACCCAATGCTTGTGGTTCCTTTTGAAGTAGAAGTAAAGACACACAACACCACTCACTAAAACGCACAGGATCTCAAGGAGAGACATTTTTCTTCCTCAAGATATTGTTTTGACTGCACTGTCAGCGCTTTTGCAACAAACACAGAAAATCTCACTCGTCTCTGTGCGTGGATGAGTTAGAATTTTGGAGTATTTTTAGAAAAATCGCGTCAAACTACTAAGCGGCGCTGAAGTGTGTTTGTGAGTTTGATCAATGATGCGAAGAATCTCCTAGCGATTTCCAATAAAATGCGAGAGAGGCAACAAATACAGAAAGAGATACAATCTAATCCAAACTGCTGGTCTGTGAATCGCGGCCTTGAATTCTTTCACAGAGAGTGAATTTAGCTGTCGTAAAATGGGAACATTATTATAATGTTTTTCTTTGTGGTTTTTCAGGCTGCGGCACAGAGCAATGTTTTATATGATTCCTATTAATGCCTCTTTTTTTCAGATCTCATTGCTGCAAAATGACTGATCCAGGATTTCCTGCCCAACACACGACGGCCACGATGACCACAACGGAGACTCACGTGAGCCCACAAGTCCGATACGATCCCACGTACGTTCGCACCGTGCCTGGGATTTTGAAGATCGTTTGCATCATCCTCAACCTCATCGGTTTCATCTGCATCGAGGTTTCCGCCTTCAGTTACCACTCCCGTGGCAGCTTCTTCAACTCTGTAGCCATGACGGGTTTCTGGTTTACGGGAATCATGCTCCTGCTTTATATTTTCCATGTGCTGGAGAAGTTCTGGAGGCTTCCCTGGCTCCACATTGAGTTGGTCTTTTGCGCCATTTGGACACTTCTCTACGCTCTGGCAGCGGGTCTCGCCGCAGCAATGGGCCTCGAAGCATACACAGCAGCTGCAGTAAGTGCCAAATATTCCATAATCTTAGCAACCTTCCCTGAAATTCCTAACGTGGAATCCTTTTCCCAACAGTTCTTTGGATTCTGTGCCATGGTGGCGTATGGCTATGATGCTTTTCTCAAGTACAAAGCCATACAGACGGGACAAATTGCCCAGGGAACTCGCCAGCAGACAACCGTCCAGCAAACTGTCACAGCCTAAATTACCCACTTTACTTAGAAATGCCATGGATCGCGATCAGAGTGCATTGTTGTCTCGCAGATTTCTTCTCATTCACAATCTCGCTTCTGGCATGGAGTGATTTTGGGAATCGTTTCTTTAAGGCATTTTTTAAATAGTATTTCCTATACGACTGCTTCTACTTCATTGTCTTTGCATTTTCTTTGATATGAGACAGGTGTAATATTTGTCTGTGTAAGATGTAATTTAAATAATTTTTTATTACGCGGAAATTGAAAGTTTTTATATCGAGAAATTACTTAACAAATATAAAAGAAAATCAGTAATTTATGTTGCAGAAAGTTTGTTGCAATTGTTGAAATTTACGATATTGTTAAATATTAACACGAATCAAGTTGAAGAGGAAAACCTTTTGTACCTTTTTTGAGATAGTTATTTGATATAACTGTTTTTTCAAAAGTAATAACAGCACTTAAATTTTCACAGGTGTTTTATTAACTATACGCAGTTTTTATTGTAATTTTATACGTATTAGTTCTATACAGTGCTCTTTTTGATAATATTTAAATTTTGGACGTCTTTGTGCATTTCTGACGCGATCTTCGATACTCCCGAAATATATTTTATATTCACATATTTTCTTAATCACTGTTAAACGAATGTTGAATCTCACCGCGTGAGATTATCATGAACGAGTATCAAGAGAAATTTTTATAATCATTTTTGTATCTCTATGTCTCTCTGGGAAGAAACTGTTGTACTTTGTCTACATGTTTTTAGTGTTCACGGACCAAAATATAGAGAGAAATATTTGGAGATAAGAGAAATAACCAAGAACAATCAGTGGAAAGTGAAACTTAATTGTTGCACCTCACGAAATGTTAACATAAGTCGTAAAATGTATATTTTATTGTAATTTTAAATGAATATTTTGCGTGTGTATAATAAAATATACAAGTTGATGTACATTATTTTTTGTGATGTTTCTCCCATGTTTCATGCTTGCAGCATGGACAGTATGAGAATTTACTACGCCTGGCAGTAGGGAAAATGAGTGAATTAGCGGGAAATATTCATCGTTTCACTTTCTAAAAGCACCAAAATTAATGAACCTCCTGATAGACGACGGAAAACATGAACCAGAATAGATGTTCCGGTGTGGGGAAGTTTTATAACTTCATTGTGAGATTTTGGCCTATTTCTCGCGCAGAAAAAAGGCTATTAAAAAACGTTTATTGTATATTTTCAGCTCCCAAAATACTCCTCAATCGTGCTATTGTTGTAAAAGTACGTCTGAGTGCGCCATCAGTTGCCTCGGGATTATTTCTGTGTCAATATAAATTCGTTGAACTTTGGAGGACCCGGCGCCTCCACTTGCAGCGGAGGCGCCTGGTGATTCGTGATTAACCCTTCGACTCTCCACGAATTACTGAGTTTCGAGACAGTCAAAGCTCCGAATGGGCAGATAGACTGCCTTCCAGTGTGTCTGTGGGCAAGTATCGCGTGTACTGTGGCAAATTGATGTGGCTCGCGATGAAATTGTATGTATGACAAATGCGATATGATCACGTTGGAGGCGCACTTTTCGTGCGGTGCTCAGCTGTTTCACTCTCTCACCGTCACCGGGAGAGACACAGCAGCTCCCAGAGGAGTTAGCCAGAGTGTTGTCAGTTGACATTCGAGCGCCAAAGTCGCAAGTGATCGCGCGCGGACTGGCAAGAAAGCGTGGTATCTCGTGTGTGATGGTCATAAAATTAAAAATAATTAGTAGAATCTCTCCTTTTTCCTCCCCCATTGAATACTGGGTGCTCAATATCTCGAATAGGCGAAAAGTGTCTCTTCACAACGCACAAAATTCCACCATGGTGCTGTTTTGTGTCTGATGTTCACCCACAAAGTGATAGAAAAATTGTGTAATGTCTGAAATTGGCTCATTGAATTTCACTGGAAACGCCTTATCGCATATTTCTTCTATCAGTTCAAATCTTCTGTGATTTTCGCGAACGATTTCGGCCCGAACCACCTTTTTTTTCGCTAAGTCGTTCGCTCATGTACCCCTCAAGGAGCGTATCAGTGAGACAATTCAACGAAGAGAAGTGGTCGTGACGACAAAATCTAGGTGCGATGCCTTATCACTTGGTCAATGTGAAGCACGTTATCGCCATTCAATGTTTAAGGATGATTACCGAAGCCGCAAGACACTGAGAGTCTCGATCGATTTTAAACTTCTCTCTATGGACATTTTTATAGAGTCGCCTCGCTATCACCATTCAATCTCACAAGCTCGCGATCACTCAAATAGGAGCAGTCGCAAAATGTGATTAAATGAGTAAACAATTGCATGAGAATAAGTACATCGCACATTTAATGCCATCCAAGTAATGGAGATTTTGCTCCAATTTGTCACTGAGTTGCGAGTCGATTGTGCGGGAAATTCACTTTAGTGACATTGTGCTAATAAAAATGGCAAAATAGTGCGCTAAAATATGCGACAGTGGGTGTTGCTTTTCTTTCTCTAACACACGACACAATTCAACGCATCTACTGTAGCTCAAAGAGAATTCTAAAAAAAAAAGAGAAGCACATGTAATTATAAGAGATGATTCGCTTCTTTTCCTCAGCTTTTAGCTATATGGGTAGACAGCAAGCAGTGAGGAAATCGTCATGTTTCAGTTGTGAGGTCTTCAATTTCGCTCTTCATTTGATGTTTTCAGACTGATTAAAAATAGTAAACAGTAAAACATATCGAATCACATAAGATCTAACCACCAGACAATATTAATCGGGATTGTGAGACAACAGAACCGAGACACTTTGTTAATTATTTCTCAATCCTTGATGAATTCAAAAGATTTAAAGTCGCGATCATCACATTTTCGTGCAAAACATCCAAGAAGAATGCTCGAGTAATTGTGTGTCGTGAGAAGAATTATGTACTATGGCGAGAAGTGTAGGCAAAAAGAGCTGAAAAGAAATTATTTTTATCGGGAACTCCCGCGTCTCTGAGAGTTGCCGCCAATCAGCCACATGGCGCACGCACTGACCGAGTCATTAGGTCAGTAATGGAACAGATGATTGAATTTCAGAAGAGACACCCAATGAGCTCATCGTAGTATCACAAAATTCCCTCCCAGTTATTCTCACACTACAAGAAATTCCACGAAAATCGCACACTCTCGACCTCAAAATTCTGCAATTTTCCCATTTTCCTAGAAGGGCATCTCAACTCCTCCCTGCAAGATGTCACGCAAAAGCCAGAGACTCTGACCAGTGTTGCACGATACTTGAGAGAGTGACGAGCTTTGTGAGTGACTATAGTGAAAAGCCACGGGACTCGCGATGGAGTCGCCGCCGGCAAATGGATCGGAATCAGTGTCTAGTGTTCAGAGGAATCATAAGACAGTGGCGGAACTCCACTTCAACGCCATGAGTGGCAACCTGAAGCATAAGAATGCTTTGGACACGCCAACGACGACGGAGGAGTCTGCCAGGCTCTTGCCCAGCACCTCCAAGAAGTTCATAATAGTGCCATCGAGTGTGAAGAAAACCACACTCACGGTCACTTCGCCCACGGACAGCGTTTCTTCGTCCAATGCGAGCCCCATCATGTCTCCACTGCCAACGGGAGCCCGACCCAAGCACTTCAACAGCATGAGATCGGTGAGATCAGGTACCTCAAGCCACTGTTTTAGCCTTAAGAATAGGGTGAATATTTAGGTCAATTGAAAGTTTGAGAATGTTTTCAATTACACACAGATTTGGTGTGAAAATCGTCAATTTCTTATCTATTAGAAAAGCTACAATTATCAATTTATTTACTTTATGGCACTCTCATATCTACGCTGCTTCAGCGTGCTCTCGTAATAAAATGTTAGCCAGAATTATTCAGTTACGATTGAATCAAAAATAACAGAATTATTGGCTTAATTAGATACTGAGCATAACAACTGAAAGAAAAACTATTTCAAAACATCACCAATTTTATAACACCATAAATTTAAAAATAGTTTAATTCACACCTTTAAGTAAACTATTTTTAAATTAATTATAGTCCACACGGAAAATGAATCAAGTTCTAAAATACTTATTCGTAAAGTGCTTAACTATTGTTGCTTGTTCTGTTCCTTGCCGGCAGGAGCTCTCATTCACCAGGACGGAGGACTCACGACGTCCACTCCCACCGTCGGCCACGCTCCGGCTGGTCTGGCCCGGTCAGGATCCTACGTATTCAGTGACTGCGGATCAGCTCGCCTCTTCTCTGACGCCACTTCGGTGCGATCGCTCGCCTCGATCGGAATGGGCTCCACGGACGGGCGCAAAATGGTCATCCGGCGTGTGCCGAACTCACCCAATGAACTCCTCACCATCCTCAATCCCCCCATGTAAGTGAATGGCTCCAGAGGTCACGTCCAATTTCCCTTAATTAAAATTAACAATGTATCGATTCGGAAGTGGAAGTGCGCGGACACTATAATTTTGCTGTCTGCGCGCTCTAAAGAAACATGTCAACATTGGCCGCTTTTTCAGCGCACACCTTCTCACAATAGTGCAAAATTCACACTCTTATTTATGGCATCCGCACAAGATAAATTGACTAGACGATTGGGAGGGCACTTTTTTCCTGCCCAGAAGTTTCTCATTACATGCTCGCGTGACTCTTGTGCCGGTGTTGAATTGGACGATATGTGTGTGCCGAAAATGCTGTTAATTAACTACAATTTGATGAATCTTCTCGCATTTGCGCAATGTGACCAGATTCCGGTTGGTTTATCTCTCAATTTTCTCGCACTCGCGATCAATCCCCGAAACAGTTGCCTCCACTATTCACTTAATATCACATTTTTCATCATTAACAACCCAATACAGTGACAATGGTGAGCTTTTCGTGGTCATAGGGCAATTTTTGCTGATCACAAGAGATGATCTGGTAGAAGAAGAATGTCAAGAGACGAGAAGTATTTCATATAATCCAACTGGTAGTTGAACCAGAGAAATCTGGAATTTCCTATCACGAGCATATTCCCACGTAATTTCATATGCAATGATCTTTTTATGCTAACTCATTGATTAACAGTGTGCATTTCATTGAAATTGACTCTAATGCAATCTTTTTCTGCAATACTTTCACTTCTGTTCTCACAGAACGCAGCTAAATATGTCTTGTGCTTCGAAAAATTAGAGAGATCACACGCAACATTATGATCGCATGATAAGGAAAACAGATAATTTACGACCCATTTAAGTTCTTAAATTCTCACCATTTGCGCTCTTCCTGCATTTTGTTATCATCTTCCGGTCATTTGATCATCTCTAAGCTCTATTACTTGCAGAATTTTCCTCACAACTCCTCTCGTCCCTCATTGCACAGCATTTATCACTGAATTGTGGTGCACTTTTATGCCATGGTGGGTGATTTTTCCTTGGGTGATTTTCATGTACCTCATGGGGAAAATTTTTATGACAATTGCACACTTAATGGGAGCTTCTCGCTGAATGTAATTCATGATATCATATGACTCCGTGTGTCACTCTCTGTCTCTCTCTCTCTCATTCTGTCTCTGGTGAATTGACGTCAAAATGTGGTGTGTTTACACAATGTCTGAAGAGTGGATCTTTCTCATTTTGAGAGCATCTACTTCTATTTCATGGGGTTAAATCTGGCTGTTGAATGCGATTGTTCACAAAAATTTACAGCCTCAGATGATGGGTTGACTTCTGAGATATACAATTGGAAGCGAAAATGTCTCTCTCGCTGCGGATCTGTTTGCACAGATGATCAAAACACCAGGTGACACAATGGAGTTGATGGTGGGCTCTTCTGCACTTGAGAAGAACCTGTGTTTGCGATGTAATTAATTGGAGCACACGTAGTAGAGTTGAATTTATGAAGGCACCGCCAACTTAATGAATTAACCAACACAATAAATTGTCTGAATTTTGTCTGGCATTGGGAAACCTTCCTTTTTTCCACTGACTCTCTGCCCATGTGAATGAAATGACCGCCAGAGCGAGAGAGACTCAATTGAGGAAATTGCACTCTATAACAAATTGCTAATGAACATCCCGATTGTTGCACACTTTTTTGTCCGTCATCGTAAACAAGATTGACCGCTAAATTGATCGTTGCATTGTCAAGTGCATTTATTCAAATTCACCTCCGCAAGAAGTCCGTGGGTGATCGTTAAGTGAGAAACTTTTGGAAGGAAAAGTCATTGTTCATGATTGTTCGCGAATGTTTTCTACAAATGTATGTTGTCATTGGAAAAACACACTAAATAAATCTATTATTGCGGTTTTGCTCTGACTTCCTTTGAAATGTTTTGCTAGGGTGTGAAAAACTATTTAATCATATTGAATTTGTAAAGCTTTTAATTCAGTATAATTACTTTTTTACCGACTGCCATTTGTATGTCAAATAACATTAAAGTTTATGGACAGTAGCAAGATAACGATGAGGAGATTTATGGATTTTTAATTTGATGTAGACAAAACATGAGAAAATGCTCGGGAAAATGAGTGTAAATCATTTGAAGATCACAACCATGGCTGTAAAAGTCATAAGTTGAGAGTGAATGGTTGCGGTTACGAAAGTGAAATTAGTGCATACATCTTCATGTACTGAGTGGGCTAAGAGAAACGATATCACCGCATTTATTTGATTACTTAGCACCTGACTCCGAAGCTCCGTGCGCGAGAATGAGGCCGAAGTGGCGGAAAAGTGGCAGTCTTTTAGTCTAAAAGTGAATCTCGATGGGGAAAGAAGGTGTCTGACGCGTGAAATGTCGGGAGAAAACAGTGCAAAGGTGGTGCTGATGCAGAAGGATGGTACTCTGCTCACCAATAACTTCCGGGAGCCATCACTCTTTAAATTTCCCACAAACTCACACAGGTTGATTGATTGATGGCCAGCCAAATGAGGCGAACAATCAAGACAATGAATGCACTTTACGTCTCATTTAATTAACATTCAACTGCGGTTTTTTGCAGACCGCAAGAGGAGGACTTTGAGAATGACAGCTACGCTGGGATATCCGATAACTCGGACTCCGCCAACCTGAAGCCGCGACGGCAACACTGGGCCAACAAGATGCAGTTCGTGCTGGCGTGCATCGGGTACTCGGTGGGATTAGGCAATATGTGGCGGTTTCCGTATCTCTGCTACTCAAGCGGCGGAGGTAGGTCGACCTCCTTCCTCGCACTTTGCTTCTTCAGCTTAGATTGAGCTCAATTGCCACTCATTATCTTTCACCCACTCTCGGCGGCAGAAGACAGACTCATATCGCAACTTCCTATCTTTCGCATCTATTAAGCACTCACCAGTAGCTGCTGATAAGGCTTCTGAAATTTCAGCAAATTTGCAGATCGCGGGAGTGTGTGGTGATTCAGAGAGCTTCTGCATACATTTAAGTCCATCTTCAAGCAATTGAGCCTAATTGTGGCACAAAAGCCTCATCAAACTGATCCAGATTCATTGAACCCGAAATTCTTATCTTATAGGAGTGTTTCTGGTGCCATATTTCATCATCTTGATCATATGCGGAATCCCCATGCTGTTCATGGAACTCTCCGTGGGACAGTACACAGGAAGAGGACCGATCGGAGCTCTCGGCCAAATCTGCCCACTCTTCAAAGGTATGCACATGCTGAGGATTTTCCGCGCTAATTTGCGTGCTAATTGTTCAATGGTTTAACACGGCAAACCCACCCAGGTTGTCGTCGTAAATCATCGCGAATTTGAATAAAATGCCAGAAATTAGCAATTAATTTTTATGCCGCGTAAATTATTATCTAGTTGACATTCAAGATCACATAAGAATATAATATTGTAAGTTATGGCTTGTTAAATGTATGCTTGTCTCGTTTTTCAGGAGCTGGGCTGGCGAGCGTCGTGGTGTCTTTCCTCATGTCCACGTACTACAGTGTGATCATAGCGTACGCCATCTACTATTTCTTCACTTCCTTCCGGCCAGAGCTTCCCTGGACAGATTGCAGCAATCGCTGGAACACGCCGGACTGCTGGATCCCGCAGCGTCAAGAATCCAATCTGACGCGCCCTCACATCTCCAGGACTCCACCAGAGGAATTCTTCGAGAACAAGGTGCTGCAGATCAGTCCGGGAATTGAGTATCCCGGTGGAATGCGATGGGAATTGGTGGCGTGCCTCGTTTGCGCGTGGGTTCTAGTCTACTTTGCCATCTGGAAGTCCATCAAGTCCTCGGGAAAAGTGCGCTATCTCACCGCCACTCTCCCTTTCGTGCTCATCTTCGTCTTCCTAGGTCGCTCCCTCACGCTAGACGGTGCCGAAAACGGGCTGAGGTACTTCTTTCAGCCCAATTGGTCACTCCTGCGCAATGCCAATGTCTGGATCAACGCGGCATCGCAGAATTTCAACTCTTTGGGCATCGCCTTCGGGTCAATGATCTCATTCGCCAGCTACAACAAGTACAACAATAATATCCTTCACGACACTCTGGCCGTGTCCTTCGTCAACGCGATCACGAGTGTCTTGGTGGGAATTTTCGCATTCGCCACTATTGGCAACATCGCCCTCGAGCAGTCCACGACGGTTGAGGCGGTCATCAGCGATGGGCCAGGACTCATCTTCATCGTGTACCCGCAAGCGATGGCCAAGATGCCGGCCTCCAATCTCTGGGCCGTGCTCTTCTTCTTCATGCTCCTCTGCCTGGGACTCAACAGCCAATTCGCCATTGTGGAGGTGGTTGTCACGTCCATCCAGGATGGATTCCCCAACTGGATTCGCAAGAAGCTCGTGTACCACGAACTCCTGGTGCTCATCGTCTGCGTGGTGTCCTTCTTCTTTGGCCTGCCCAACCTCATCCAGGGTGGCATCTATTTCTTCCAACTCATCGACCACTACGCCGCCTCCATCTCCATCATGTTCCTCGCCTTCTTCCAGATCATCGCCATTGCGTGGTTCTACGGGGTGCCGCGTCTGTCGAAGAACGTCAAACAGATGACTGGAAAGACACCATCGTTCTACTTCCGCTTCTGCTGGCTCATCGGAGCACCCATGCTTTTAATCGTAAGTGAAGGATTAAATCCCCTTCTCGCCTTCTTCTCACAATTTTCGTCTGTCTCTAGTCACTCTGGGTATTCAGTTTAATCAATTACGAGCAACCAACATATCACAATGGCCTGTACAGCTACCCAAATTGGGCCATTGCTCTTGGCTGGGCCATTGCCTCAACATCTCTCATCTGCATTCCAACATACGCAATCGTCAACATCGTCCGAGCAAATGGTGAAACATTCCTTCAGGTACTCGCTATGATTGTTTCGATGTTCAATCTGTCAAGCATCTAGCAGAACACTTTATAGATTTCTCTTCTGTTGCAGAAATTAAGAAATTCCATTAAGCCCAACATTTACGAGTGCAGAATCTGCGGAGAGCATCACTGCGAGCATGATTTCCCCGAGGATCAGGCTGTTGCTGAGTTAACTCCGATAGTTCAAGGCGCTCCTGCCACGAATTTTCCACTAGTCTTGCAGCCACCGCCTCCGGGAAACCACAGGCCACTTCAGGCTTCACCAGGCATCCCCGAAGTCAACACTAATAATCATGCTGAGACGAGAAACTGATGAGTGGCTGTTGAAAGGCAATAGATTGCAAAGTACCAACTAGATCAGAAGCACACGTACAATGTAGAAATCACTACTTTGCAATAGGAAGACATAAGACAGAAATTCAAAAGAACAAATTTATAAACGGTTGTGATTATATAAAGACATTGAGGAATTGAGAGAATAAATGCTATCGAGTATTATTTCTTGAGAGAGCGAGAAAGAGCGTGCGAGAAGGAAGAGAAGCAAAAATATCATGAACAATCAAGTGAATAAAAATGTAAATAATTTACCTGTGCTTTTCACTCTATGTTTATTTCACCTGACATCGAGCGGATTAAGAACGACACTCACTTTATTAGATTAGTTTTTATTTCAAAATAAATTTCACGTTATTAAATTACAGTTGCATAATACAGACAGTAGTTGCTTGCATTTTCTTTCATCTCGTTTGAGTTCTGCATTTAATAATACATTTTGGTAAGAAATATAAATTGTGTTCATAAATATTATACACAGAACTCCAACCGTGAACAATTAATTTCGAGTATTTATTGCTTTTGTTATTTTCACTACAATTCGTTGTTTTCATTCAATGTTAAAATAAAACGATTAATTGCATCTTTTCTAGAGTTCCTCGGACGGTTGTGTTAAGCGCAATAAAGAGATAATTGTATTTTTCTTTTATTAAAAAGTAACACTTTTTGAGAGGAGTGAAAGATGGTGTAAAAAGTGTGGGATCGTTCAAATTGACTAATCATTACGAGCTTTGTTTTCTACTGAGCAGAGACGAAAAAGACTTCACTGTCAGATGAAAGATGGAAACTTTTCGCGTTTCTCACGTGCATTGCCCACCTCTTGAAAAACTTTTAACAAAATTAATAAAAAAAAATACATATACAAATTTGTAATATTACAATAAATTATAATATTTAAAATTATTGACTATACACACGTTCCGTCGTGAGAATAGAATCTCAGTAGTGATGATTTTTTAGAAGAATATTCGTAGTTCTCAATATTCGTTGGCAAAGTACGTCGCTAAATGCTATCAAAGTTCGCTGCATGAAGCATTTTGTGCGCTGCACTTAGCAGAGGACGTTTCTCATCGGGGCCGAGAAACTCCTCACAGTTTCGTTGAATTGCAACAGTACCGAGCAGAATTCTAGTCTCAATCCTGGGTTTCTACACCGTCAACTCGAGACGAGCCACTTTTTATCCCCTTTCGTGCCATCAAAGGATTCTCCTCTCAATTTTACAATTTTTTTTCTTTCTCTCTTCATAAAATATATAATAAAAATATTTCTTGTTAAATAATACACACAGAATAAAATCACCACAGACAATCATTTACAAAATGTATAACAATATTTCTCTCTTTGTCTCATAACATTCTCTTCACTCTCTTCGAGCATCGCTGCTGGAAGACGGCTTTTGCATCAATTAATTTATTATACAGTTCACTGATGACTAAATTATTACGTTATAGTACGTTTTTAGCGAATTATTAGCGAGTTTTAACCCTTATCTCTCATACGGTGATATTTCCGTCGGTTAATTCGTAACTTAGTTGCGATTTTTCACTCCTTCACTCAGATTTTTTGCATTTTATCATGTTTCTTTTTCTCTCTATTATATAGAATATACTTAAATTATAGTGTTCAAATCCTCCAGAAACCGTCGAAGATTTAGATAGATGAAAAGTGAAGTTCAAACTACCTTTGAAGATGAGGTAGTTCACAGTGCTTAGCGTTGCAGATTTATGTTTCCTTTGGAAAGTAGGCAGTTTCTCAAGAGTTCGAAGAAGCCTTCACCACTTGGATCTAACGAAACTACGTGGTATTTTCGGTTAACGGAGGAGTTGCTGAGGAACACGAGTCACTCCGCGTGAGGCAAAATATTTCACTCTCAGACGGTTTCTATTCCTTTGGCAGTTTTATAGTAATTTTTATCGTCTTCATGACTCGCTTTTTGACCACAGAGATTCCCGTGTTCCTGTCTTTATCTTACTATCTAAAGTTCTTTTCTCGTTGAACACTTGCTGTTCACTTTTTCATCTTGCATTAAATTGCTAAATTCCATATCATTCATCTATACAGCACACTCTATACATTTGGAATGTCCGGAGCGAGAGATCCTCGTGATCTTCTCGCACCCTTTCTACGACAGATAGTCGGGGGCAGGTTCTGGTACCGTTTCCGGATTGGCAAAGAGTGGATTGGGGAACTCTGGTGGATGAGGTAACGGACCCGTTGTCTTGGGTTGACGTCGGTAGGCCATGAGCCAGCATGAGACAGCCACAGCCACGGCCACCAGCGCCAGCAGGGCAGTGATCACAAGAGCAATTATCAGGCCCACCATCGACACGCAGATGTCCTCCACTCTCTGAGCGGCCGGAGAGACTGCAAAACAATCGCGAGTTAGCAAATACTTTCCAACACGCAATGGAAATCCATTAAAACTCACTGTTACTGGAGTCGCCGAGTCGCTCTTCCTTCCTCTCGAATGTGAGAATTGCATTCGATTGAATTACAATCTCTTCGCGCAATTGACCCTCCAGGCCGAAGTTTCCGGCCAGAGCGGTGTTCGTCCTGTTCACGCTTGTGTCTTCAATCTGACGACGTCTCCTACGCTTGCCGAAGGCATCGTAGCCACGGCAATTCACCGGCTGACACCGTCCAAAGCAGACACGAATATTGCACTGGAAGCGAATGTTGTCACTCGAGGGGAACTTGAAGGCATTGAAGCTGGCGAGGAGACTATTGGTCTCCGAGTTGTATTCCCACTCGCCAAAGATGCTCGGATCAGTGGCACATCCATCATCATCTGTCACAATATACTCGTTCTCCACGTTCTCTTCCATGGTCTTGGCCACACAGCCACGCGCGAAGCCACCGTAAATTGCTGAAAAATTGTGACAAATGTTAGTCATTGCATAATAGAAAAATAAATATGATTGATAAAGGCATAAAGCACATTATTTCATTTACAGCAATGTTTAATATCATTCAACTCAGAGTAAATAAAGCATGCTCAAATAGTGTTCAAAATAGAACAATAACGCTGCTCTGCATAATGCGTCATTTAGCAATTTAAACTTCACATATCTAACTTTTAACCAATCCTCAAGTCAATATTTGATCAGAAACACTTACGTGTGTGAAAATTTTCACAAAGCGCGAGAGAAAATTATTGACTGCTAATAGTTTGTTCATATTAACAGAGCCACATTGCATAATAATTGGGGGATGAAATCAAATAAAACAAATTAAACTTACTCGCTGGTTGCACGTCGACTTGCAGCATGAGATTATCACCAATTTCCGCGGAAGTGATTTCCTGGCCATTGTTGCTGACAATCTTCATTGAGCAAATGGGCGGCGGTCCCGTGTTAGCGATCGTTCCGGCAGTCGTCAGCATTGAAACATTGAAGCCAATGGTGACGTTCTGTTCTCCAGTCTGATACACACATTTTATGTGATATGCCTGCGCTTTGTACGTGACCAATTTTGGATGTTTCTGTATCACAAGGACGAAGCTGGCGATTCCGTTGACATGGATGAGACCACAGCTGCCAAAGTGAACCTTGAACAGTTCAGTCCTTTCGGCAGAGTCTGAATCCAGATTCACCACTCTTCGGCACTCTTCATCCTTGCTGTGACCCTTCACATAGAGAACGCCATTGAATCCAGGCTCTGCAATGTGGATCTTCACTTGAACACCATCAGCGAGACAGCTCACGATCATTTCAGGTTGAGGGAAGTCAGTTCGGAAGTTCGTATGATTGCACTGAATCTCAGGTTCTCCAGTGTATCCTGCGATACACTGGCAAATGGCTTGATGATTAGTAGCATTGCATAGAGCATTAATACCACATCTCTTGTCCACGCACGGATCCTCACAAGTTTTCGTCTCGAGATTGCAGTAGCGATGATCAGGACACTCGTCGTTGCTCTCGCACTCCGGACGATCGGTCCTGATGCACTCACCGCGTTCGGTTAGTCGGTATCCATGTTCAATTGGACAGATGCATCTGCCTCTCTCATCAATAACCATTCCTCGTTCCAGGGCACAAACACAATGTCCAGTCTCATCAATTTTGAAGCCTGCTTCGGGACGGCATTGCATGCATTCGTTGTAGATATTGAGGGCAGATCCAGGAGGACATACACACTTTCCATCTATGTCTCTGACAAAGCCCTTCTCGATGTTGCACAGGGATCTCTTGTCGCACTGAACAGCAGCATTGCCTTGATAGTCTGGCAGGCAAACGCACACCATTGTCCTCACGGGGATGGTATCGAACACCTTGCATTCGGCATTGACGCCACAAGGTCTGGTGGCATTGCAAGGATTTATACACTCGCTACCAATACATGCTGTTTGAGTAGGACAATCACCGTCGTTTCTGCAAATCTCCTCAATTATGCGACAGCCTTTCTCGTAGTCAGACACATAGCCAGGAGGACAAGCACATTCAGGACGATGGTTGTAGACCTGGCAGATTTCATTGATGGCACAAGCAGCAGTCTTCTCACAAGGATTCTCGCACTTTGTGTTGATGCAGGCCTTATCCAGTGGACAATCTGAGTCACTGCGACATCCCAGAATGAGACAAGCCTGCCGAGGATCTCCACTGTATCCTGGTGGACACTCACACACGGCACGATGATTGATGCCATAACACTGAGCTCTCTCCCCACAAGATCTTCCATCTGCTGCACAAACTGGTACACATTGTCTGTTAATACAGCTGTGTTGTCCAGAACATTCATCATTTGATCTACATCCAATTCGGATACATTCAATTTCAGGATTTCCTTCGTATCCCTGTTCACATGAACACACAGGCTTGTGATCTTTGATACGACATTCTGCATTGGGGCCACAGTTGCAAGGATTCCTGCAAATTCCATTCACGCACGCCTTATCGCTGGCACAATCTGAATCCGCAATGCATCCTCCCACCTTCAGTACAGGTTCAGTTGGCTTGCACGTGCCACTTCCGCTGCTCACATATCCTTCGGGACAAATGCATATCATTGTCCTAACCGGAGATGACGGAACAACTTCACAGGTTGATGGTCTGTGGCATGGTTCGAGCACAAGACAAGGATCTTGGCAGTGATGATCAATACAGGCAAGTCTAGGGGAACAATCCGTGTCCACGACACACTCAGGCACAGGCTCTGGGCGACAATCGACGTAAGGATTGCCCACAAATCCAGGTGGACAGCGACATACTGCCATGTGATTCTGCGGGCGACATTCAGCTCTTGGGGAGCAGATATTTCCATAGACACATGGATTCACACACTGGGCATTTTCACAGTTCTTATCAGTGGGACAATCGCTGTTGCTGCGACAGCCGACAACGTGGCAGCGCTCCCAAGGATTGCCTCTGAATCCACTCAAGCAGCGGCATTGAGCCTTATTTTCATAGACATAGCATTCAGCGTTGGTGCCGCAAGGATCTCTTACCAAGCAGGGACTGACGCAGTTCTGATTAATGCAAGCCTTGTTGGAATCACACTCAGAATCTGTACGGCAACCAACCGTTCGGCAAGCAACGTTGGGATTTCCATGATATCCATCTTCGCATGAGCAAATTGCTCTGTGGTTTTGAACCAAGCATGTAGCATGAGTTCCACAATTGCAAGGATTGCGGCATTGGCGGTTGATACAGGCCTCATTGTCTGGACATTCACTATCACTAGAGCAGCCAGGTGGAGTTTGGATGATAAGTTGTCGACATTCTCCGTTTGTATCAGGCACCCAGAGTTCCGGACACTCGCAGATCATCGTACGCACGGGAACACTATTGAGGACACTACATTTAGCAGAGGAGGCGCAAGGTTTCAAGACACCACAAGGATCTTGACATCTGTTTTCTATGCACGCCAACTTGCTGGGACAATCTGTATCCTTCACGCATTCCGGCTGACTTGGTGGGATTACTCTGCGTTCACAATAAGAGAACGGATTGCCGAGAGGCAGTTCCTCAGGACAGTAGCACGTTGCTCTGTGATTTCTTGGGTAGCAAAGGGCATTCTGGGCGCATGGAGGATGAGCATCGGTGGCGCATGGATTTACACAGTGGCTATCAACGCATGCTCGATTGTCTGGACACTCGAAGTCTGAGTGGCACTCAACGCGCACACACTTCTCGAAGGGATTACCTTCCAGACCTGGATTGCATCGGCAAGCTGCTCGATGGCTGTGTCCATAGCATTCGGCATTGATAGCGCAGGGATCGTTCACGACGCATGGATTCACACATTGTCCGGTAAGACAAGTCTTATCATCGCTGCAGTCAAAGTCGGAAGTACATTCATACTTTACGCATCCTGCTTGAGGATTTCCTGAGAATCCAGGGCGGCAATAGCAGATAGGATAGTGATCCACGACTTTGCATTCTGCATTGGAGCCACAATTGCAAGGATTAGCACAAATTCGATTGATACAAGACTCAGAGAGGGCACATTCGGAATTGGATTTGCACCCAACTGTAGCTTCAGACGGTGGTTGGCAGAAAACTCGAGGGTCTCCCGTGTATCCCTGAGGACACTTGCAAACAGGCTCTCGGTTTTCAATGAAGCACACCGCTCCTCGACCGCATGGATCCCCAGTTGTGCAGGGATTAACGCACCGCTCATTGAAGCACTTCCTGTCGAATGGACAATCGTCATTCTTGTAGCATTCTGCTGGTTCCGGTCGCGATGGTGTCTTGGGTATGGGTGAGCACTCTATTAGAGGATTGCCCTCATATCCAGGAGCGCATGAGCATCTTGCACGATGATTCGAAGATGTGCATTGAGCATTGATGCCACACTGCTCAATATGACATGCCACAATACAAGCTCCGCGTTGGCAAATCTCCGGATCAGCACAGTCAGCATTTGATGTGCATCCCACTGGTTGTTCCAATTTTATTGGAATACACTTGCCAATGGAATTGGTGATAGTGTCTCCTGGGCACTTGCACAGCATTGTTCTATAGGGAAGAGTGTCCACCACTGAGCAAATCTGATCTTGAGATGTGCATACGTTGGATTTCGTGCAAGGATTTTCGCATCTTCCCTCAAAGCAGGCAAGCTTGGATGGACAATCTCCATCTGTACGACACTCAGGCTCAACAGGTTGTCGTGGACGGTAGCATTCCACAAATGGATTGCCAGTTGTTCCGGGGAAGCACTCGCAAAGTGGTTGATGATTGCGTCCTGTGCAAGTGGCATCTTTAGCACAAGTTTCTGCTTCACAAACTGGTCGACAGACGCGATTGAGACGATCGCACGCTTCATGATCAGCACAATCCTCATTGTACTGACACAATCCTGTGATACATGATACCATTGGATTGCCCTGAGTTCCAGGGGGACACGCACAATTGGCTCTATGATTCTGAGCAAAGCACTCAGCCCCTCGTCCACACTGGATGGGCCCGTATGAGCAAGGATTGAGGCACTTTCCACTATAGCAAGCCTTATCATAGGGACAGTCGTCGTTGATTTGACACTCTGGCCTGTGACACTGAACGTGAGGATCGCCACCCCAATCTGCTGGGCAGTAGCACAGAGGACGATGGAGAGCCACACGACACTCTGCATTTCCACCACAAGGATTTGATTCAGCGCAGGGATTGAGGCACTTCTGGTTCACACAGGCCTTGTCATCTGTACAATCGGAGTTTGATCGACATTCTGGTGTTGGCGCCGAAGGCTCTCGGTAGCAGTTGACGAATGGATCACCCACCATTCCTGGTGAGCAGACACACACTGCGCGATGATTCTGGGCTCGACATTCGGCTGTTCTGGCACATGGATTGCCATCTCTGCATGGATTCACGCAAACTCGATTTCTGCAGGCTTCCGTCTGGGCACAGTCACTGTCCGCAGAGCATCCTTCATCCTTCAATGGAGCTGTAGAGAAGAGAATACAAACATATAAATATGCATTTTTCAATGTGAAATACATCCTGAAAATAAAGTGATGAGGAAAGGATGAGGGGGTGTAATTTTTCAGAAATTTTGATATGTACAAAAATATATGTACAAAATTTTGCCAATAAATTTGTGTGAAATTATTTACTTATGTACAAAATAATGTTTTTTTTTAACTAAAAGAAACCTGTAATGATTCTTTGAAAAATTAATTAGTATGCAGTAAATAGTTAATAAATAAAAGTAATCGAGTAATTTACCTAATTTGCATTCAATTTCTGCATCGCCAATATATCCTGGTTCGCATTGGCAAACCATAGTTCTGAGTGGAAGAGTGTCCACCACATTGCAAATAGCATGGGCAGCACATGGCTTAGTTTCATAGCATGGATTCTTGCAAACTCCACTGAAGCAGGCCAACTTGCTCGAGCAATCGGCGTCCATCGTACACTCGGGAGCTCTTTCAACAGGAACTGCAAAAGAAACCATGAAAGATTAAGCTTTGTCGATAGTACAGAATTGATTGGTACTTACTGAAAGAACAAGCCACATTTCCATCTCCTGTGTATCCTGGTGGGCATCTGCAGGAGGCTCTATGATTGTCCACCCGACAGAGAGCCCCAGGCGCGCAGTTGCAAGGGTCCTGGCAATGTTCATTGATGCAGGCCAAATTAAATGGACAATCAGCATCCACAGTGCATTCTGGCCGATTGCAGCTAATGAGAGGGTTTCCTCGGTAGTTATCTGGACAGAAGCACCTGGCTTTATGGTTGTAGTCTGATCGGCAAATTGCATTTGTTCCGCATTGAGTGTATGAGCAGGGCTCAACGCATTCTCTATTGACACAGGCTTGCGTAACAGGACAGTCAGAATCAGAGCGACATCCAATCTCAAAGCAAGCCAGATGAGCATTTCCAGTGAATCCACTTCGACAGACACAGACAGGCCTGTGTACTCTCACATGGCACTCAGCGTTCTGGCCGCAAAGTCCTCCATTCGATTCCAAGCATGGGTTTACACATTTCTGGTTGATGCAAGCCTTATCATTTGAACACTCACTGTCGCTTTCGCATTCCGGTCGCACGGCAGGCTCAATGTGACGATAGCATTCCACAAACGGAGATCCCGCGAATCCAGGCGGACAGGAGCACACCGCTTTGTGATTAATAGCTGCACACAGAGCATTGAGTCCACAGGCGTCGATGCATGGATCGCGACATCTCTGATTGAAACACGCTCGGTCTCGAGAGCAATCTGAATTGATGACACACTCTGGGTATGTGCAAACAGCAGCTCCATTGTGCACCCGACAAACTCCATTAGCGGCACAAGGTGATGGGTTGCACGGATCCACAGGTTCGGCCAAAGGCACCTTGCACTCCACAAATGGATCACCAATCATATTAGCAGGACATGAGCAAATCGGGCTGTGATTTATCACATGACACTGGGCGCTGTAACCACAAACTCCTGGACAAGGGTCGACGCACTTGGTGTTGATGCAAGCGAGGTTTCTAGAGCAATCAGAGTTGATGGTGCATTCTGGCCGACAACCAGTTCCAAATGGATTGCCGAAGTACCCACTGAGGCACTCGCAATGGGCATTTTCTCCCACCCGGCGACACAGTGTATTAAGGCCACACGGAGATGGGTAGCACGGATCTCTTGTTTCGACTTGATCAACTCTTTCTGGTGTTCGAATGCAGTGGCGGAATGCATCGCCAGTAGTTCCAGGTGGACATGTGCAGATAGGAATATGATTTGTTACAGAGCACTGAGCCTCAACGCCACATGTTCCAGGGCAAGGATCAACGCACTTGTTTCGGATACAAGCCCGATTCATTGCACATTCGGAATTACCAACGCATTCAGGTCGACATCCTTCGTACGGATTGCCATGATACTCTGGGATGCATTCACAAATCTCATTAACGCCCTCAACACGACATCTGGCGTTAATTCCACAGGGTGAAGGTTGACAAGGTGTTGGAATTTTCGGAGGTGGAGTTGGTTCAGCTATTCAAAGATAATAAGAAAAACCATAAATATATGTACTCAGTCAGAAAAATAGTTTAGATTAAAAACAAATTAGCCTAATTGCCAATATTCAGCTTAAGCGAGAAACACAAGTCTCACCTTGAATAAGAGAACATTGATAGAATGGATTTCCCGTATATCCTTGGGGACAATAGCAATTTGCAGAATGCAGAGCAGCGCGACACTCTGCCCCAAAACCGCAAATGTCTACACATGGATCTTGACATCTCTGATTTACGCAAGCCAATTGAGACGAGCAATCTGAATTAGTTACACACTCAGGACGGCAAATTGGTGGTGCACCAAAGTAACCATCGAGGCAGGCACATGAAGCACTACCATCAACAACATTACATTTGGAGTTGAATCCGCAAGGTGAGGGCACACATGGATCAATATACTCAATTTTGGGAGGTGGATCCACTAAAACAATCAAAAACAAGACATGTAAATAGTACTTCCTATCAAAGCAAAAAGTCT